CTGCACACGTCCAGTGTTGACAATCTTACACACACCAAGTGTTGACAATCCTGCACACGCACAGTGTTGACAATACTGCACATACCCAGTGTTGATAATCCTGCACAGACCCAGTGTTGACAATCCTGCACACACCCAGTGTTGAGAACCCTGCACATGCCCAGTGTTGACAATCCTGCAGACGCACAGTGTTGAAAATCCTGCACACGCACAGTGTTGACAATCCAGCACACACCCAATGTTGACAATCCTGCACACATACAATGTTGACAATCCTGCACACACTCAGATATTTTTTTTGTCAGTAGCAACTTGAGAAACTGCAAGTCGCTTCTGGTGTGAGAGAATTGGCCGTCTGCAAGGACGTTGCCCAGGGGACGCCTTGATGTTTTGATGTTTTTACCATCCTTGTGGGAGTCTTCCCTTATGTCCCCGCAAGTGGAGCTAGAGCTGATAGAGGGAGCTCATCCAAGTTCTCCCCGGACTCGAACCTGCGACCTGTCGACCTTCAGTCCTGCCGGCACAGGGGTTTAACCCACTGCGCCACCGGGGGCTCCAATCCTGCACATGATCAGTGTTGACAAATGTTGATAATCCTGCACACACCCAATGTTGACAATCCTGCACACACTCAGTGTTGACAATCCTGCACATGCCCAGTGTTGACAATCCTGCACACGCCCAGTGTTGAAAATCCTGCACACGGTCAGTGTTGACAATCCTGCACATGTCCAGTGTTGACAATCCTGCACACGCCAAGTGTTTGTTGTTTATATTGCCTCCATACACACTACTCTCATTCATGTCACATAAAGTTATGGATTGGAATCATCTCAGGCCTGCAAGATGCAGACAGACATCTGAGTCATGCACCTCTCTCTTTCTCTCTCACAAACACACTCTCACACAAATTGTACTTTTGCACACATGTACAAAAATGTGGAAACACCCTGGACAGCTTGGTGGTCAGTAACAAGGAAATGTGTATCCACACATGAGGTGCAGTTGACCAATGAAATATAATAAGTCAAGATGGTCTCAGTGGGGATCGGCTCATTGGGTGCAGTGCCTAAAGACCTTGGCTTGCACTTAAAAACAATCAGAGCTGACCAAGGTACCATCTGTCCGGTGCAAAAGGCCACCCTACTGGGATCTGCACACATTATTCGCCGATACATCACACACTTCTAGACACTTGGGAAGTGTCCAACCATCCTAATACAAAAGTCAGCATAGGGATCTTGTTAGCTGTGTACTAATCTTGATATGTATCTAATAATAATAATAATAATAATTATTATTATTATTATTATTATTATTATTATTATTTTGTGTGTTGTCAAAGGCTTTAATGGCCGGAATCATTGAGTTGTTCTAAGTTTTCCAGGCTGTCTGGCCATGTTCCAGGGGCATTCTCTCCTGACGTTTTGCCCACATCTATGGTAGGCACCTTCAGAGGTTGCGAAGTGTGTTGGAAACTAGGCAAGTGGGGTTTATATATTTGTGGAATGTCCAGGATGGGAGAAAGAACTCTTGTCTGCTTGAGGTAAGTGTGAAGGTTGTAATTGGCCAGCTTGATTAGCATTGAATGGCCTTGCAGCTTCAAAGCCTGGCTGCTTCCTGCCAGTATTAAAAAAACCCTCTAAAATCAGGACAGTAAATAAAGAGGAACACTAAAAAAACAGGGGAATTCCAGACAAGAAACAATCAGGGCCAGTTAACACATCTCAACAAAGGATTCTCCCAAACAGGGAGCAGCCAGACTTTGAAGCTGTTTGAGACAAGTCTGAATGTTGCAATTGATCACCTTGATTAGCATTTAATGGCCTTTTAGTTTCAAAGCCTGGCTGCTTCCTGCTTGAGGGAATTATGGTTAGGGGTCACCACAACATGAGGAACTGTATTAAGGGGTCGTGGCATTAGGAAGGTCGAGAACAACTGCTTTAGAGGAGGGGGGGGGGGCTGGAGCTACACTTTAAAATGTACCTGTTCTGACTTACAAACAAATTCAGCTTAAGTACAAACCTACATAATCTCTTTCGTTCATAACTTGGGGACTGCCTGTATTATTATCACTATTATGACTATTATCATTATCTAACAACGACAACAGCATTAATAATAATATTAATAATAATATTACTAATAATAATAATAATAATAATATAATTTTGGCCGGAGTTAAACTTCAAAAACATTACAAATACATTCGACAACAAATTGGCCTACGAACACATTTGTAACTTCCGGACTACCTGTATTATTATTATTATTATCATCACTATGATTACTACTACCATTATCAATAATAATAATAATAATAATAATAATAATAATAATAATAATATTTTTGGCATGAGTTACACTTCAAAAACATTACAAACACATTATTATTATTATTATTATTATTATTATTATTATTATTATTATTATCATTACTATTACCATTATCAATCTATATAAATAAAAATGTAATGTTTGTTTGTGGGATTAACATAACTCAAAAACCACAGGACGAATTGACACAAAATTTGGACACTATACCCCTATCAGACCAATAAGTGACCATCACTCATACCACCCCCCCCAAAAAAAAAAAACAGCGGAAAGGACTTTAAACCCCCCAAAAAGGTAATGATGATACAGGAAAAAAAGGGAAGGAAAGGGAGAAAGAAAGAGAGAGAGAGAGAGAGAGGGGGGGGGGAAGGGAGAGAGGGAGTGAGGGAAAGAAGGAACGAGAGAAAGAAGCATGGAAGCAAAGAGCGAAGGAAAGAAGGAAAGAGGTAGAGAAGGAAGGAAGGAGAGAAGGAAAGAAAAAAGGGAAGGAAAGAGGGAGTGAAGGAAGGGGAAAGAAGGAGAAAAAGAGGGAGGGAAGGAAAGAGAGAAGGAAGGAAGTGAAAAGCAAAGGAAGGAAAGAAGGAGAGAAAGAGGGAAGGAAGGAAAGAAGGAAAGAGAGAAAGAAGGATGGAAGCAAAGAGCGAAGGAAGGAAGGAAAGAGGTAGAGAAGGAAGGAAGGAGAGAAGGAAAGAAAAAAGGGAAGGGAAGGGGGAGTGAAGGAAGGAGGAAAGAAGGAGAGAAAGAGGAAGGGAAGGAAAGAAGGGAAAAGAGAAGGAAGGATGGAAGCAAAACGGAGGAAGGAAAGAGGAAGAGAAGGAAGGAGGAGAGAAGGAAAGAAAAAAGGGAAGGAGGGAGGAGGAAAGAGGAAAGAAGGAGAGAAAGAGGGAGGGAGGAAAGAAATAAAGAGAAGGAAGGAGAAGCAAAGAAAGGAAAGAGGAGAGAAGAAAGGAGAGAAGGAAAGAAAAAAGGGAAGGCAAAGAAGGAAGAAGGAAGAGAAAGAAAAGGAAAGAAGGAAAGAGAGAAAGAAGGATGGAAGCAGAAAGCAAAGGAAGGAAGGGAAGAGGTAGAGAAGGAAGGAGAGAAGGAAAGAAAAAAAGGAAGGAAAGAGGGAATGAAGGAAGGAGGGAAAGAAAGAGAGAAAGAGGGAGTGAAGGAAAGAAGGAAAGAGAGAAGGAAGGATGGAAGCAAAAAGCAAATGATGGAAAGATGTAGAGAAGGAAGGAGAGAAGGAAAGAAAAAAGGGAAGGAAAGAGGGAATGAAGGAAGGAGGGAAAGAAGGAGAGAAAGAAGGAGGGAAGGAAAGAAGGAAAGAGAGAAGGAAGGATGGAAGCAGAAAGCAAAGGAAGGGAGGAAAGAGGTAGAGAAGGAAGAAAGGAGAGAAAGAGGAAGGAAAAGAAAAAGGAAGGAAGGAGAGAAGGAAAGAAGAAAGTGGAAGGAAAGAATGAGGGAGCAAAGGAAGGAGGGAAAGAAGGGGAGAAAGAGGGAGGGAAGATTGGCCACAGCAACACATGACGGTTTCCAGCTAGTAATAATAATAATAATAATAATAATAATAATAATAATACTTGCTATTATTATTATTATTACTAGCTGTACCCACCATAATACTACTACTTATTATTATTATTGTACAGCTAGTAATAATAATAATAATAATAATAATAATAGCAAGTATTATTATTATTATTATTATTATTATTATTATTATTATGGCAGGTACAGCTAGTAGTAGTAGTAATAATAATAATAATACTTATTATTATTATTATTATTACTACCACTAGCTGTACCCGCCATAATACTACTACTTGTTATTATTATTATTATTATTATTATTATTGATAATGGTAACAGTAATAATAATAGTAGTAGTAGTAGTAGTAGTAATAATAATAATAATAATAACAAGTAGTAGTATTAGGGCGGGTACAGCTAGTAATAATAATAATAATAATATATAAAATAGTAATATATTTTTGAAGGAGTTTCACTTCAAAACATTAAAAATACATTCAACTTCAGGATAAACCTAGAGATGCCATCAGTTTCAAGCATAGGCAAACTTTGGCCCTCCGGCTGTTAGGAATTGTGGGAGTTGAAGTCCAAAACACCTGGAGGGCCAAAGTTTGCCCATGCATGGGCTCTCTTATTCATAACTTGGAGACTGCTGCCTGTATCCCCAGCTCTTTAAGCCACTCCTCATTGGACTTGGACCATTTTTCTGGACTTGCCCATCTCCTTCTTGAATTGAATTGGACATTTCAGGGCTATTGCAGGTGAGCAGACCTTCAAAACACTAGCCTAGGATGGCATCCCAAACCAGGCTGGCATTAGAAAGGCAGAGACACACCTGTGAGCCATCCCAAGGTTCCTGTTCCCACCCAGAGAGAGGTGTCTGTTGACAACAAAGGCAGGCAAGGAACCCTCTCTCTCCATCCATGAAGCAGCATCCCTGGCTTTGGGCTTGGAAAGAGGGCAGATGCGTATCACACCGCAAGGCTCCCCCTGCCCCTCCCCAAGCCCCCTTCCCAGGGAAACCAAGCCCAAAGCCAAGAGTAGGGGTTTCCCCATTGGGGGGGAGGGTCTCCCCCTTATTTGGCACCCAAGGGGGGGAGCAGGGAGCCGCCCTTGCAGCCCCCCCCCCCCAATCCCTCTCCACTCACTGGGCTTCTCCTCTGCAGCGGCTCCTCCCTTCTTGCTGCTGATGCTGTGCCTTCTCCTTCTGCTGCTGCTTGCCCACCTTCTTCCCCTTCTCTCCTGCTTTCTGCCCCTCCAGATTTGGAGAGGACCCGTGTGGACGCCAGAGAGACTCAACGCGGGTTAACCCTTCAAGGGGAATTGGGAAAGGCAATGACAAGGGAGGAATTTCTAGCAGAGAGGAGAGAAAAAGTGGAAGGGTGGCAAGGCGGGTCTTGCTAGAATGGGGGGGGGGTAATCTAGGTTGCTAGAGTTGGGGGGTGGGGTAATCTAGGTCCCATGCCATGTATATATGTGTGTGTGTATATATAGTTGCAATATATATGTCCCATACTATTTGCACATAGATTCCATACCATATATGTGTGTGTGTGTGTGTGTATAGTTGCAATATATATGTCCAATACTATTTGCACATAGGTCCCATTCCATATATATGTGTGTGTTTGTATATAGTTGCAATATATATGGATGTGTATATATAGTTGCAATATATATGTCCCATACTATTTGCACATAGATTCCATACCATATATGTGTGTGGTGTGTGTGTGTATAGTTTCAATATATATGTCCAATACTATTTGCACATAGGTCCCATTCCATATATGTGTGTGTGTTTGTATATAGTTGCAATATATATGGATGTGTATATATAGTTGCAATATATATGTCCCATACTATTTGCACATAGATTCCATACCATATATGTGTGTGGTGTGTGTGTGTATAGTTTCAATATATATGTCCAATACTATTTGCACATAGGTCCCATTCCATATATATGTGTGTGTTTGTATATAGTTGCAATATATATGGATGTGGATATATAGTTGCAATATATATGTCCCATACTATTTGCACATAGGTCCCATTCCATATATGTGTGTGTGTGTGTGTATAGTTGCAATATATATGTCCCATACTATTTGCACATAGGTCCCATTCCATATATGTGTGTGTGTTTGTATATAGTTGCAATATATATGGATGTGTATATATAGTTGCAATATATATGTCCCATACTATTTGCACATAGATTCCATACCATATATGTGTGTGGTGTGTGTGTGTATAGTTTCAATATATATGTCCAATACTATTTGCACATAGGTCCCATTCCATATATATGTGTGTGTTTGTATATAGTTGCAATATATATGGATGTGGATATATAGTTGCAATATATATGTCCCATACTATTTGCACATAGATTCCATACCATATATGTGTGTGTGTGTGTGTGTATAGTTGCAATATATATGTCCAATACTATTTGCACATAGGTCCCATTCCATATATATGTGTGTGTTTGTATATAGTTGCAATATATATGGATGTGTATATATAGTTGCAATATATATGTCCCATACTATTTGCACATAGATTCCATACCATATATGTGTGTGGTGTGTGTGTGTATAGTTTCAATATATATGTCCAATACTATTTGCACATAGGTCCCATTCCATATATATGTGTGTGTTTGTATATAGTTGCAATATATATGGATGTGGATATATATAGTTGCAATATATATGTCCCATACTATATATTTGCAATATATATGTGTGAGTATATATAGTTGCGATATATATGTCCCATACTTTTTACATATAGGTCCCATACCATATATATATGTGTGTGTGTGTGTGTATATATATATAGTTGCAATATATACTATATAGTTGCAATATATATGTGTGTATATATATGGTTGGAATATATATGTCCCATATTATTTGCACATAGGTCCCATTCCATATATGTGTGTGTGTGTGTGTGTAGAAAGTTGCAATATATATGTCCCATATTATATAGTTGCAATATATATGTCCCATACTATTTGCACATAGGTCCCATTCCATATATATGTGTGTGTGTATTGCTGCAATATATATGTGTGCGTGTATATAGTTGCAATATATATGTCCTATACTATTTCCACATAGGTCCCATACCATATGTGTGTGTGTATAGTTGCAATATATATGTCCCATACTATATAGTTGCAATATATATGTGTGTGTATATAGTTGCAATATATATGTCCCATACTATTTGCACATAGGTCCCATACCATATATGTGTGTGTGTGTGTGTGTGTGTGTGTATAGTTGCAATATATATGTCCTAGTCTTCAGGGCAGCAGAAAACAAGCTTGCTCCCTCCTCCCTATGACTTCCTCTCACATAGTTATACATGACCCTCATCATGTCTCCTTTCAGCCTTCTCTACTTCAGGCTAAACACGCCCAGCTCTTTAAGCCGCTCCTCATAGGTCTTGTTCTCCAGACGCTTGATCATTTTAGTTGCCCTCCTCTGGACACATTCCAGCTTGTGAACTCTCACGTATTTATACATGGCTATCATGTCTCCTTTCAGCCTTCTCTACTTCAGGCTAAACACACCCAACTCTTTAAGCCGCTCCTCATAGGTCTTGTTCTCCAGACGCTTGATCATTTTAGTTGCCCTCCTCTGGACACATTCTAGCTTATCAACATATCCTTTCAATTGTGGTACACACATATACATACACATACACACTAGCTTGGAGACCTGGCATTGCTTGGGTTATTTGAAAAAGTCAGTGCTTAATTGTACACAAATGCATAGGGTTGTGGCTGAACTACAACTCACATCATGCGAGGTTAACCCCAAGAAACTCTATCAGTACTAAAAGTTTGTTATGTTGGGCAAGTTTGCTCTAGATGCATCATTGATGGGGTTTAGAGTGCTCTCTGGCTGTAGGGTAAACTACAACTCCCACTATGGTGAGTCAGTCCCCCCAAACCCCTCCAGTAGGTTGAGAGTTCTGTGTGCCAAGTTTGGTCCTGGCTCATCATTGGTGGAGGTCACCAGTTCCCTGGCTGTGGGTGAACTGCAACTCCCAGAAAGGAAGGTTGGTTCCCCCCAAAGCCATCCAGTAATCAAATTTTGGCACATCAGGTCTGTGTGCCAAGTTTGGCCCAGATCCATCAGCGTTTGGGTTCACAGTGCTCCCTGAATGTAGGTGAACTACAATTCCCCAAATCAAGATGAATTTTCCCCAAGGACCTCCAGTATTTTTTGCTGGTCATGGGGGTTCTGTGTGCCAAATTAGTTCCAGGTCCATCATTGGTGGAGTTCAGAGTGCTCTTAGATTGCAGGTGAACTATACATCCCAGGATCCATCATTGTTTGGGTTCATAGTGCACTCTGGATATAGGTGAACTACAATTCCTCTAAATTCCTCCAAAGACCTCCAGTATGCTTTGTTGGTCATGGTGGTTCTGTGTCTGCCAAGTCACTTCCAGGTCCATTGTTGGTGGAGTTCAGAGTGCTCTTAGACTGCAGGTGAACTATACATCCCAGAATGTACAATTCCAAAATGTACAGACCAATTTCCCTCCAAAAATTTGGGCATATCGGGTATGCATGCCAAGTTTGGTAAGGATCCATCATTGTTTGGGTTCATAGTGCGCTCTGGATATAGGTGAACTAGAACTCCTCTAAATTCCTCCAAAGACCTCCCGTATGTTTTGTTGGTCCTGGGGGTTCTGTGTACCAAGTGTGTTCCAGGTCCATTATTGGTGGAGTTCAGAGTGCTCTTAGATTGCAGGTGAACTATACATCCCAGGACCTACAACTCCTATAAATCATGGTGACTTCTCCACAAATCTCTCTAGTATATGTTCAGTTGCTGATCATAGAACAGAGACTGTAGAACAGAAGCTCTCCGAAGCTCTAGGTGCTCTTACTGCCTATTACAGGGAAAACCAGCTGATCCCTAACCCATCTAAAACACAGACATGTGCCTTTCATCTCAAGAACAGAGAAGCATCCCGAGCTCTGAAGATCACCTGGGAAGGAATCCCACTGGAGCATTGCAGCGCACCCAAATACCTGGGAGTCACTCTGGACCGTGCTCTGACCTACAAGAAGCACTGCCTGAACATCAAGCAAAAAGTGGGTGCTAGAAACAATATCATACGAAAGCTGACTGGCACAACCTGGGGATCACAACCAGACACAGTGAAGACATCTGCCCTTGTGCTGTGCTACTCTGCTGCTGAGTATGCATGCCCAGTGTGGAACACATCTCACCACACTAAAACAGTGGATGTGGCTCTTAATGAGACATGCCGCATTATCACGGGGTGTCTGCGCCCTACACCACTGGAGAAATTACACTGTCTAGCCGGTATTGCACCACCTGACATCCGCCGGGAAATAGCAGCCAATAGTGAAAGGACCAAGGCAGAGACATCTCCAGCTCATCTCCTGTTTGGGTATCAGCCAGCACGTCAACGACTTAAATCTAGACATAGTTTTCTAAGATCTACAGAGACACTCGCTGGAACACCTCAGCAAGCGAGAGTCCAAAAGTGGCAGGCTCAAACCCAGAACCTCAACCAATGGCTGATACCAAATGAGAGACTCCCTCCTGGGCACACAGAAGACTGGGCGACTTGGAAGGCATTGAACAGACTGCGCTCTGGCACCACGAGATGCAGAGCCAACCTTCAGAAATGGGGCTACAAAGCGGAATCCACGACATGCGAGTGTGGAGAGGAGCAAACCACTGACCACCTGCTGCAATGCAACCTGAGCCCTGCCACATGCACAATGGAGGACGTCCTTGCAGCAACACCGGAAGCACTCCACGTGGCCAGATACTGGTCAAAGGACATTTAACCAGCTACCAAACTCACAAGTTGTGTATTTTTCTGTTTGTTTGCTTTGTTCTGTTAGAAATGTAATATAATGGACTGGCTGCTCTGACACGACAAATAAAGTTGCTGATCAATTCCTCTGTTTGCTGAGTGCCACAGAAAAGAATGGGAAAGAGTTAAGGGAGAGGCAGTGGGCGGAGTCAGACTAAATTTTTTTCTAAGAAATTGGATTGAAGAGGACCAAACGGGATTCTTACCAAATAGATATATTTGGTAATATCAGGCTAGTATTGGACTTAATAGAATATTACGAAGTGAATAACCAGAAACAATTTGCCATACTAGCCCAGGATGCAGAGAAGGCTTTCGATAATCTAAATTGGGATTTTTTAAAAATATTAATACAAGAGAGAGAGGCAGTATTCTTTTCTATGGCAGACAGCAAACAGAAGAATTGATCAGCAATTGATCAAAGGTTTGGGGAGAATTTGCCATCATTTATAGAAGTTGTAACATGCAAATTCCACACCAATGGAGAGAGTCAGAATCACTGGGATGCCTGTGGTGGAGGAAAAACAGAAAATCTAGGGTAATATGTAAGTGGACATCCCAGATAGTAGAGAGGATTGGGGAAAATTTGCCATTATTTATAGGAGTTGTATCATGAAAATTCCACACCAATGGAGAGAGTCAGAAACACTGGGATGCCTGTGATGGAGGAAAAACAGAAAATCTAGGGTAATGTGTAAGCGGACATCCCAGATAGTAGAGAGGATTGGGGAGAATTTACCATTATTTATAGGAGTTGTAACATGCAAATTCCACACCAATGGAGAGAGTCAGAAACACTGGGATGCCTGTGGTGGAGGAAAAACAGAAAATCTAGGGTAATGTGTAAATGGACATCCCAGATAGTAGAGAGGGTTGGGGAGAATTTGCCATTATTTATAGGAGTTGTAACATGCAAATTCCACACCAATGGAGAGAGTCAGAATCACTGGGATGCCTGTGGTGGAGGAAAAACAGAAAATCTAGGGTAATGTGTAAGCGGACATCCCAGATAGTAGAGAGGATTGGGGAGAATTTACCATTATTTATAGGAGTTTTAACATGGAAATTCCACACCAATGGAGAGAGTCAGAAACACTGGGATGCCTGTGGTAGAGGAAAAGCAGAAAATGTAGAGTGGTGTGTAAACTGACATCTCAGCCACATACACACATACACATTTTCAATTTTATTATGTACTAGCTTGGGGACCCGGCGTTGCCCGGGTTATTAGAGAAAGTGGGTAATGGCGGTTCTGTATGCCAAGTTTGGTCTTTATTGGTCTTTGGATAACGGCTGCATTATTTTCAGGAAGTGAGTGAAGGTACTTGAAGTCCCATCATCCATGGGCCATCCTCCTACAAACAGCAGCAGGATATAGAGTGGGTCATGGGGGCTCTGTGTGCCAAGTTTGGTCTTTATCAGTCATTAGATGAGGGTGGCAGTGGTGTCAGTAAGTGAGTGAAGGTAGTGCAAGTCCCATCATCCAAAGTCCATCCCCTTTCAAATTGCAGCAGGATGTAGAGTGGATCATGGGGGCTATGTGTGCCAAGTGTGGTCTTGATTGGTCATTAGAAGAGGGTTGCAGCAATCTTTGGAAGGGAGTGGAGGTACTTGAAGTCCCATCATCCATGGTCTGTCCTCCTCCAAACTGCACCAGGATGTAGAGTGGGTCATTGGAGCTCCATGTGCCAAGTGTAGTCTTGATTAGTCATTGGCGAGGGTCTCAGTGGTCTCAGGAAGTGAGCAAAGGTACTGCAAGTCCCATCATCCATCTCCAAAGTTTTCCAAACAACACCAGGACGTAAAGTGGGTCATGAGAGGTCTATGTGCCAAGTTTGGTCTTGATCCGTCATTGGATGAGGTTTGCAGAGGTCTCAGAATGTGAGTGAAGGTACTGGAAGTTCCATCATCCATGGTCCACCCTTCTCCAAAACTGCAGCAGGATGTAGAGTGGGTCATGGGGGCTCTGTGTGCCAACTTTGGTCTTGATTGGTCATTAGATGAGTTTTGCAGCAGTCTTGGGTAGTGGAGGTACTTGAAGTCCCATCATCCATGGTCTGTCGTCCTCCAAATGCTCCAGGATGTAGAGTGGGTCATTGAAGCTCCATGTGCCAAGTTTAGTCTTGATGAGTCACTGGCGAGGGTCTCAGTGGTCTCAGGAAGTGAGTGAAGTGACTGCAAGTCCCATCATCCATTGTCAAATTCTTCCAAACCGCACCAGGATGTAGAGTGGGTCATGCTGGGTCTCTGTGTAAATTGTGGTCCTGATCCATCATTGTTGGCAGTTGTAATGGTCTTAGGAAGGGAGTGCAGGTATTGCAAGTCCCATCGTCCATGGTGCATCCTCCTTCAAACTGCACCTGGATGTAGAGTGCGTCATGGAGACTCAGTGTGCCAAGTTTGGTATTTATTGGTAATTGGATGAGGGTTGCAGTGGTCTGAAGAATTGATCAATGGTACTGCAAGTCCCATAATCCACGGTCCATCTCCGGCCAAACCACAGCAGGACGTAAAGTGGTTCATGAGAGGTCTATGTGCGAAGTTTGGTCCTGATCAGTCATTGGATAAGGTTAACAGCGGTCTCAGAATGTGAGTGGTGGTACTGCAAGTCCCATCATCCATGGTTCATACTCCTCCAAACTGCAGTAGGATGTAGAGTGGGTGATGGGGGCTCTGTGTGCCTATTTCGGTCTGTATTGGTAGTGTTCTGACCCAGCCCCCGGCCTTTCCTTTCCTCTCTTTCTCATCTCGGAATGTTGGATTTGAGGCTGGCCACTCAGAGACCATATGCAAATTTCCTTCTGTCATGCCCCGTTTCTGCCATGAACCCTCTTCTCCACCAGGGGCTCCTATTGAAGCTGGCCAATCAGAGACCATATGCAAATAGCACCACAGCGGCAGCCAATCAGAACGCTGCCACATACACCGCCCTCCACAATTCCTCTGTCCGATACAAACACTCTTCTTTATTATATATATAGAAGATATAGATATAGATATAGATAGATATTGATAGATATTTATTATACTGATTATTATATTATATTATATTGTATTGTATTGTATTATATTATATCATTATATTATATATTATTATATTATAATATATTATGTTATATTATGTTATATTATATTATATTATAGGTAAAGGCTGTCCTCTGACATTAAGTCCAGTCATGTCTGACTCTGGGGTGTGGTGCTCATCTCCATTTATAAGCCAAAGAGCCGGCGTTGTCCGTAGACACCTCCAAGGTCATGTGGCCGGCATGACTGCATGGAGCGCCCTTACCTTCCCGCTGGAGCGGTACCTATTGATCTACTCACATTTTGCATGTTTTTGAACTGCTGGGTTGGCAGAAGCTAGGGCTGACAGCGGAAGCTCACGCCGCTCCCCAGAATCGAACCTGCGACCTTTCGATCAACAAGCTCAGCAGCTCAGTGCTTTAACCCACTGCTCCACTGGGGGCTCCATATTATATTATTATATTATATTATATTATATTATATTATATTATATTATATTATATTATATTATATTATATTATATTATATTATTATATTACTATATTATTCTATTACTATATTATTATATTACTATATTATTATATTATTATATTATTATATTATATTATATTATATTATATTATTATATTACTATATTATTATATTACTATATTATTATATTATTATATTACTATATTATTATATTATTATATTATTATTATATTATATTATATTATATTATATTACTATATTATTATATTATTATATTATATTATATTATTATTATATTATATTATATTATATTATATTATATTATATTATATTTGTTTTCTCTCACTTCCTGTTGTCTCACCCCTGTTCTTAACTATGTGTCATTCATAAATGAGTTGTTTGTAACTCGGGGACTGCATGTTTATGCATTTCCCACACAAACTTTTAAAAAACCCACTTAGTTTCGGTGTAGATTTCACATTTGAAATGGAGCTTGATGTACGCATGCATATTATGTCAACGTTGGGTTGTGGTGTACACCTTTGACAAAGGAACACACTAAATAGCATCCGTCCTGTTGTTTATTGTGTGTGTGTGGAGGAGGCACCACAACCCCAAGCTGTACGTTCATCCCACATAGTCATTGGCTTTGAAAGAAAAGCATACCAGAACTACAGATCCCTGATTGGCTATCAAACAGCAATGGTCACTATGGAAAGATGTGGTCCTCCAATGGTGGGCAAGGGGTGGCATCCTTCATCTCTCCGACTCATGCTTCCCAGATGCTCTACTCAGCTGGGAATTGGAGAAGCAAGAGTGAATGTTGTCCGGTGGCATATTCTCCTACAGATCCTTGCAGAGAAGGAAAGGAGAGCTTCGATGCAGCTTCAGCTCCAGATCTAGAGCAGCCGGGCTTCCAACCAAGGTGCGTGTTGTGATATAAGAAGCTTGTCTTTCCAGCGGTTGGTTGGTGCAAAACACATCGGCACAAACGGGAACATCCCAGGTCCTGCCACGGTGCAGCACAGAGCCAGTGCCATTGCAGGGGAAATGAGGAGCGGCTTAAAGAGAAAAACAGACAAAAGAAGGCTTGCTTCTGAAAGAAGGAAACTGCATTGCCAGCTCAGCATTGTAGGGAACAGAAGCACAATCGACAAAGTTTTCCCCATTTAATCTATTACTGTCTACTCTAGCAAATAATCCTTGTTTATTTATTTATTTACTTTATTTCTATACCGCTTTTCTCAGCCCTCAGGCGACTCAAAACGGTTAACAACATCATTACAAAACATCACAAGACAAGTATAAGGCAGTTAAAAACAATTGTAACATAAACAATTAAACATCAGAATAACAATCATTAGCACCTCAACAGTGAAATCAGAATCCAGTCTCATCATCCATTATTCCGTATTCCTATGTTCAGTTACACTGTTTAATCAAATGCTTGTTTGAACAGCCAGGTCTTCACTTTCCTCTGAAACGCCAGCAGGGAGGGGGCCAATCTGATATCTGTAGGCAGGGCATTCCACAGCCAAGGGGCCACCACTGAGAAGGCCCTGTCTCTCGTCTCCACTAGGCACACCTGTGATGCAGGCGGGACAGAGAGCAGGTCCTCCCCAGATGATCTTAGTGTCCTAGTCGGTTCATAGGAGGAGATGCGTTCGGAGAGGTAAGTAGGGCCAGAACTGTTTAGGGCTTTATAGGCTAAAGCCAGCACTTTGAATTGTGCCCAGTAGCAAACTGGCAGCCCGTGGAGCTGGCGCAACAGAGGAGTGGTATGCTCCCTGAGTGCCGCTCCTGTTAGCAACCTGGCTGCCGAACGCTGGACCATTTGAAGCTTCCAAGCAGTCTTCAAAGGCAACCCCACGTAGAGAGCATTGCAGTAGTCTATATGGGATGTAACCAGAGCATGGTCTACCATGGCCAAGTCAGACTTCCCAAGGTACGGGTGCAGCTGCCGCACAAGTTTTAACTGTGTGAATGCTCCCCTGGTCACCGCTGAAACCTGGGGTTCCAGGCTCAGCGATGACTCCAAGATCACACTCAAGCTGCGAGCCTGTGTCTTCAGGGGGAGTGTAACCCCATCCAACATAGGCTGTAACCCTATGCCCTGTTCGGCCTTGCGACTGACCAGGAGTACCTCCGTCTTGTCTGGATTCAATTTCAATTTGTTCGCCCTCATCCAGACCATTACAGTGGCCAAGCACCAGTTCAGGACCTGGACAGCCTCCTTAGTAGCAGGTGGAAAGGAGTGACAGAGTTGGACGTCATCCGCGTACAGATGACACTGTACCCCGAAACTCCGGATGATCTCCCCCAGTGGCTTCATGTAGATGTTAAACAACATGGGATCCCTGTGGCACTCCACAAGACAATGGTTGTGGGGTAGAACAGGTGTTCCCCAACAACACCTTCTGAGATTGACCCTCTAGGAATGACCGGAGCCACTGTAAAACAGTGCCTCCAAGACCCATTCCCACGAGGCGTTCCAGAAGGATACCGTGGTCGACAGTATCGAAGGCCGCTGAGAGGTCCAGCAGAACCAACAGGGACACACTCCCCCTATCCAGTTCCCGGCGTAGAGCATCCACTAAGGCGACCAAGACTGTTTCAGTTCCATGTCTCGGCCTAAAGCCAGACTGTGCCGAATCCAGATATACGCAATAATAATAATAATAATACTTTATTTATACCCCACCACCATCTCCCCAAGGGACTCAGAGCAGCTTACATGAGGCCAAGCCCAACAACACATCAAAAACAACAAGCAATAATAAAACAACAAGCAATAAACAAAATAAACGATACAATGCGGTCAGGCAGGTAGGCGGGTCCCAAACCGTTCAGGGTTTGTGGGTCAGAACCTGCACCTTGAGGGAGTAAACCTTTCTCCCAAGGCCTGACAGAAACATTCTCATGAGAATCTGCTCTTTGCACCGAAGCCTCTCTGTCAGCATCTGCATGAAACTCATTGACCAAAGTGTCTCCATCTTGCGGTCATAGAATCATAGACCGCATTTGTTTCTAAGTGTTTACAGACCACTTCCATAACAATCTTTTCCAGAATCTTGCCTGGTATCGACATGAGGCTGACCGGGCGGTAATTGTTTGGGTCATCCTTTTTTCCCTTCTTGAAGATTGGGACCACATTGGCCCTCCTTCAGTCTGCTGGAACTTTTCCCGTTCTCCAAGAACTCTCAAAGATTATTGCCAGTGATTCCGAAATGACTTCCGCTAGTTCCTTCAATACTCTTGGGTGTAGTTGATCTGGCCCTGAGGACTTGAACTCATTTAGAGTGGCCAGGTATTCCTGGATGACTTGTTTCCCAATTTGGGGTTGGATGTCCTCTAATCCCTCATCCATTCCATCTTTCTGAGGTTGAAGATTACTTTCTTTTGTGAGAAGACTGAGGCAAAGAAGGCATTAAGTAGTTCTTCCTTTTTCATATCCCCTGTCAGCATTGCCCCATCTTCTCTTCGAAGAGGCCCTATCGCCTCCTTATTCTTCCTTTTTCTACTGACATAAGAAAAGAAGCCCCTTTTTATTGTTTTTAATGTCCCTGGCAAGCCTGAGCTCATTTTGTGCTTTAGCTTTGCGGACCTTTTCCCTAAAGGAGTTGGCTATTTGTTTAAATTCTTCTTTGGTGATTTTTCTATTTTTCCACTTCTTGTGCATGTCTCTTTTGTGTCTTAGCACAGTTAAAAGTCAGTCCCAGCATCCCCCACATCAGCAGCAACAGGGGACTGATTTCCCTCCTCATTACCCACATCAGACACAGAAACATCAGGAGACTGAAACACATTCACAGGTTCAAGCACAGGCTCAGGTTCAATCAAAGGCTGAGTCCCAACAGGAATATTCAGGGTGGGAGAAAGAACTCTTGTCTGTTTGAGGAAGATATGAATGTTTCCACTGGCCACCTTGATTAACATTTAATGGCTTGGCGGTTTCAGGTGTGACGTCTTACTGCCTGGGGGAATCCTTTGTTGAGAGCTGTCCCTGATTGTTCCTTGTCTGGAGTTCCCCAACTTTTTCAAATAACCAAGGCAATGTTGGGGACCAGAGCTAGTTAAGAAATAAGGAATAACTCGAACTTTCCTCAGAGAAATACTCAGACTTTGCACAATGCACACCTTCGCTTCTAGATAGATGCGTGTCGGAGGTGAGCCATGAGCCACAAGACGTAGGCAAAGGGCAAGAGAGACGGCCCTAAGGACAACGAGGGAGTCATTGATGTGCATGCATGCCAGGACCTTGGCCCAAGTCTGGACCACGGCCCAAGGATGCTTGCCATAGATGTAGGCGAAACGTCAGGAGAGAATGCTTCTAGAACATAGCCATATAGCCCAAAAAGCCTACAACAACCTAATGCAGAATGCTTTGAAACAAGCCTGACCTGACCAAGAACTCTCTCTCTCTCACCACTGTATTCTCAGACGCCCGTCCCTTCATCCGCTTCCAGGGAATCCTCTTCGGGCTCTGCTCTCGGGGCCATCCGAGCCACAGGGGCGCTTCCCAAAATGCCCCGGCGGAGGACATACGGGCAGGAAGGACCGGATGGGATGTCAGCAAATCCTGGAAGGGGAGACAAGACAAAATACAAGAAATATCCCTGTGCAAATGAGTATAGTATTAGTATCAATCCGGCCAGACCAACCACTGGCCTGGAGATCGGAGATTTACGATTCTCAGAAAGGAAATTTATTTTGAGTTTTGGCCCAAACAAGAGAGATGTTCATGTCTCCCTACCTGGCTGCCTAGTGTTTCCATCTCACCAGGTGTTGGTAATAATAATGTTAATAATTATGACAATAATGAATTAATCATAGAATCCTAGTTGGAAGAGACCTCGTAGGCCATCCACTCCAACCCCATTCTGCCAAGAAGCAGGAAAATTGCATTCAAAGCAAGATGTCTTGGGGCAACTAAAAGGGACACTTCTGAAACTCTGCTTTTCCCTCTGCTTCTGGTCCCTGGCCTCGGCTAAAGCCAGAGAAGCCAGTTTTAAACCAGAGAAGGATGAATTTCCTCTGTTTGCTTTTCCCGCTTCTGGCTCAAGCCAGAGAAGCCAGTTTTAAAGCCAGAGAAGCCAGATATAAACCAAAGAATGGTGAATTTCCTGTTTGCTTTTCCTGCTTCTGGCTCAAGCCAGAGAAGCCAGTTTTGAACCAGAGAAGGATAAATTTCCTCCGTTTGCTTTTCCCGCTTCTGGCTCAAGCCAGAGTAGCCAGTTTTAAAGCTAGAGAAGCCAGTTTCGAACCAGGGAAGGATGAATTTCCTCTGTTTGCTTTTCCCGCTTCTGGCTCAAACCGGAGAACCCAGTTTTAAAGCCAGAGAAGCCAGATATAAACCAGAGAAGGATGAATTCCCTCTGTTTGCTTTTCCCGCTTCTGGCTCAAGCCAGAGAAGCCAGTTTTAAAGCCAGAGAAGCCAGATATAATCCAGAGAAGGATGAATTTTCTCGGTTTGCTTTTCCCACTTCTGGCTCAAGTCAGAGAAGCCTGTTTTAAAGCCAGAGAAGCCAGATATAAACCAGAGAAGGATGAATTTCCTCCGTTTGCTTTCCCCGGTTCTAGCTCAAGCCAGAGAAGCCAGTTTTTAAGCCAGAGAAGCTAGATATAAACCAGAGAAGGATGAATTTCCCCACTTCTGGCTCAAGCCAGAGAAGCCAGTGTTAAAGTCAGAGAAGCCAGTTTTGAACCAGACAAGGATGAATTTCCTCTGTTTGTTTTTCTCGCTTTTGGCTCAAGCCAGAGAATCCAGTTTTAAAGCCAGAGAAGCCAGATATAAACCAGAGAAGGATGAATTTCCTCTGTTTGCTTTTCTCGCTTTTGGCTCAAGCCAGAGAAGCCAGTGTTAAAGTCAGAGAAGCCAGTTTTGAACCAGACAAGGATGAATTTCCTCTGTTTGTTTTTCTCGCTTTTGGCTCAAGCCAGAGAATCCAGTTTTAAAGCCAGAGAAGCCAGATATAAACCAGAGAAGGATGAATTTCCTCTGTTTGCTTTTCTCGCTTTTGGCTCAAGCCAGAGAAGCCAGTTTTAAAGCCAGAGAAGCCAGATATAAACCAGAGAAGGATGAATTTCCTCTGTTTGCTTTTCTCGCTTTTGGCTCAAGCCAGAGAAGACAGTTTTAAAGCCAGAGAAGCCAGATATAAACCAGAGAAGGATGAATTTCCTCTGTTTGCTTTTCTCGCTTTTGGCTCAAGCCAGAGAAGCAAGTTTTAAACCGGAGAAGGAAGGAATTTCCTCCGCTTGCTTTTCCCCGCTCTTGGAATAAAACAACTACTTGTAAAGACCACCCAATGAAACAGAAAATAACACTTTGAAACTATTAACGAAAGGATTCAGAAGTCTCGGAAGTTTTGAAAAGTTTTGGACATTTTTTTCTGTGAAAATTGGAATTGATTTTAGAATCGAACCACCACACTACATCCGAAATGGGGTTTGAATCATTTTTTTAATCAAACAAGCCCACTAGGTACATCAGATTAACAACTGAGAAACCTAGTTGCCTTGCATGAATGCTGGTGAGTGCCATTTTCCCCAAAAGGTTATGACTCTAATAGGTCATGGGGACTACCTGTCCTTAACTAGGAGTCATGTGTAACATGGGGACTGCCTTTAATAACAATAATAATGTGATGATGATGGCTCCATTTGCTTCACTTACCCTTCATGACTACTTCAGGAAGCCCATAGGGTTCGTACTGGGTGTCATCGAAGGCCACGGAGACCCGCTCCCGCCTCCACTGGCTGGCCTCGGGCCCCTCGGTCTGGGTCTGGGCATCCCTCCGTCTCACCTGGGATGCCTCCAGAACCGGACCCTTCCTTTCCTCACTATCAGCAGCCTCTCCATCCTTTCCTGAAACAAATGATCTGCCACCATCTCCTCTTTCCACGCTCCTTGCCTTCCAGTGGGCGAGTTCGTCCTGCAGGGTCTGGTTTTCCTGCACAAGTTGAGCGAGAGAAGCCTCCAGCTGCAAAGAAATATCAAAAGAACAGAGTGGCCATCATCTCTGTTTGGTCAATTATGTTGGGATATGTAAAAATCAGTTGGTGAGTGTATTAACTGAAAATGCAAAGCACGAAGCTGATTGGTTGAGCTAAGCCCAAGAGACTAGCTGAGCCTGGGAATTTTGGCAACAGTTGCATATCTGGGCAGTTCTTGCTTCATGAGCCGCTGGAAGAAGATCTTCCACATGGACACCTAAAGGAAAGCAAGAGTCATCGCCATCTTGAAGCCAGGCAAAGACCGTAATGATCCAAAAACCTACAGGCCAATCTCCCTGTTATGCCACCTCTACAAAGTTCTGGAGAGACTTATTTTGCATAGAATTACGGAAAAAATAGACCCATGTCTGATTCCAAGGCAAGCTGGATTCAGGAAAGGCAAAAGCTGCACGTCGCAAGTGCTGAACCTGACTTAGTACATAGAAGATGGCTTTGAAAGGCAGTAGATCACAGGAGCCGTCTTCATACACCTGTCAGTGGCTTAGGATACTGTGAACCACCGCCTCCTCCTGAGAAAAATGTATAATATCACAAAGGACGACCACCTCACCCGCCTCATAGGAAACCTGCTACAAAACAGGAGCTTTTTTGTTGAGTCCCAGGGTCAGAGAAGCAGATGGCGGAAACAGAAGAACGGCCTGCCTCAGGGAAGCGTGTTTGCCCCATCCATGTTCAACATCTACACAAATGACCAGCCACTGCCAGAAGGGACAGAGAGCGTCATCTATGCTGATGATCGTGCCATCACCGCTCAAGCAGGGAGCTTTGAGATGGTAGAATAGAAGCTCCCTGAAGCTCTAGGTGCTCTCACTGCCTATTACAGGGAAAACCAGCTGATCCCCAATCCATCTAAAACACAGACATGTGCCTTTCACCTTAAGAACAGACAAGCATCCCGAGCTCTGAGGATGACCTGGGAAGGAATCCCACTGGAGCATTGCAGCGCACCCAAACACCTGGGAGTCACTTTGGACCGTGCTCTGACCAACAAGAAGCACTGCCTGAACATCAAGCAAAAAGTGAGCGCTAGAAACAATATCATACGAAAGCTGACTGGCACAACATGGGGATCACAACCAAACACAGTGAAGACATCTGCCCTTGCGCTATGCTACTCTGCTGCTGAGTATGCATGCCCAGTGTGGAACACATCTCATCATGCGAAAACAGTAGATGTGGCTCTTAATGAAACATGTTGCATTATCACGGGGTGTCTGCGCCCTGCACCACTGAAGAAATTACACTGTCTATCCGGTATCGCACCACCTGACATCCACCGGGAAGTAGCAGCCAATAGTGAAAGGACCAAGGCAGGGACATCTCCAGCTCATCTCCTGTTTGGGTATCAGCCAGCACGTCAACGACTTAGATCTAGAAATAGTTTTCTAAGATCTACAGAGACACTCGCTGGAACACCTCAGCAAGCGAGAGTCCAAAAGTGGCAGGCTCAAACCCAGCACCTCAATCCGTTGGTGATACCAGATGAGAGACTCCCCCCTGGGCACACAGAAAACTGGGCGACTTGGAAGGCGCTGAAGAGACTGTGCTCTGGCACCACGAGATGCAGAGCCAATCTTAATAAATGGGGCCACAAAGTTGAATCCACGGCATGCGAGTGCGGAGAAGAGCAAACCACTGACCACCTGCTTCAATGCAACCTGAGCCCAGCCACATGCACAATGGAGGACCTCCTTGCGGCAACACCAGAGGCACTCCAAGTGGCCAGATACTGGTCAAAGGACATTTAATCAACTACCAAGTTTGCAAAAAAAAAAATTGTGCTTTTTTAAATCTGTTTGTTTGTTTTGTTCTGTTAGAAATGTAATACAATGGTCTGGTTGCTGATGACACGATAAATAAATAAATCAATAAATAAATAAATATGAAATAAATAAATAAACACTAAACCATTTAATTTTTCCAAAAAGTGCAATCCACCAGCCAATGAATTTGCAGCTTTTAATGTCAAATGTATCTAGTTCCTCAGTGGAACTGGGTGTTTGGGCCCAAAATGGGAAGAATAGTCACTAAGTTGGCAAAAAGTGAATTTGAGACTAGGATGCACTCTGCAAATTAAATTCAAATTATTTACTGTATTTATTTTGGCTGTAAAGGATGCCTAATGTTTCCCATTCCAAATAGCATTGCGAGGGCATGACTCTCTCTTTTTAATATTCCCTGGATTTTGTGAACAGGAAAATCTTACTTGTGTGAGTTCTGCATCTTGAGGATTTTCTCCCGCTTTGGCGTCTTGTGTCAGAGTGGGTACCTCTCCCGTACCCGCTTCCACACCTTGCTTGGAGTTATCTCGATGGGGTTCCTCCTCGCTGTGCTCCATCAACACCCGTAGCCTTTGTCCCTCCGCGTTGGCCGCATCCAAGGCCTTCTTGGTATCTTCCAGCTCTTTGCGGAGACCTATTATGAGGCGGTCCTTCTCTTCCGCATCGGCCAGGAGCTCCTCAACATGGTGGGTTTGGGTTTCCATGGCTTGCGCCAACCGCTCTGTCTGCCTCCCCAGCGTGGTCTGCAGACTTTGGAGCTTCTGCTGGACCAGGCTGGCTTGGGCTTCTGCTTCGGCTTTCCCAGCAGCCAAGGCCCGGAGTTCCTCCCGCAAGGCTTCCATGTTTCCCTCCTTGGAGAGGTCCTCTTCTTCAGCAAAGGGTGGCATCTTCCCCGGAGCATTTGCTTCCACCTCCGCTTGGACTTCCTTTGGAACATCTAGCTTTGCAGAGTCCTCCTCCGACTGAAGCGTTTCGCCTTCCCTCTTCTCTGCAACCTGCTTTCCATCCAAGACCTGGTCGTCTTGGTCCTCCTTTTTCTTTTGCCAAGAAAGAGCTCTCAGCCCCAACAACGGTGCCTGCCTCTCCGGAGCCCAACTTCGGGTCTTCTCTTGCTGCCAGCAGGTCTCGAGGAGGGTCTTGCGTTGGCTCTCGGAGGCATCCAGGCGCCGGCGGAGGACCAAGACCTCCGCTTTGAGGTTCTGCACTTCCTCCTGGCCCTTTGGAGTGCTTTGGCCGTGGGGGCCCCCCAGTAAAGATCCTGAAGAGGGTCACAGGAGAAAGGTCTGATGAAATCAGGAGATTATCAAAACTGGGTTGTTGTAGGGTTTTTTTGAGCTATATGCCCATGTTCTAGAGCAGTGTTTCTCAACCTGGGGGTCGGGACCCCTGGGGGGGTCACGAGGGGGTGTCAGAGGGGTCCCCGAAGACCATCAGAATATACAATATTTTTTGTTGGTCATGGGGGTTCTGTGTAGGAAGTTTGGCCTAATTCTATCATTGGTGGGGTTCAGAATGCTCTTTGATTGTATGTGAACTATAAATCCCAGCAACTACAACTCCCAAATGTCAAGGTCTATTTTTCCCAAACTCCACCAGAGTCAACATTTGGACATATCGAGTACCAATTTTGGTCCAGATTGGTCATTGTTTGAGTCCACAGCGCTCTCTGGATTTAGGTGAACTACAACTCCCAAACTCAAGGTCAATGCCCACCAAGCCATTTTAGCATTTTCTGTTGGTCATGGGATTTCTGTGTGGTCTGATTCAATTCCATTGTTGGTGGAGTTCAGAAAGCTCTCTGATTGTAGGCAAACTATAAACCCCAGCAACTCCTAAATAACAATAGCAATCTCCTCCAACCCCACCAGTATTCAAATTTGGGCGTATTGGGTATTTGTGCCAAATTTGGTCCAGTGAATGAAAATCCATCCTGCCTATCAGATATTTACATTACGATTCAGAACCATAGCAAAATTACAGTTAAGAAGTAGCAACAAAAATAATGTTATGGTTGGGGGTCACACAACATAAGGAACTGTACTAAGGGGTCGTGACATTAGGTAGGTTGAGAACCACTGTTCTAGAGGCATTCTTGTCAGAGATTGGCGATCCCCAACAGAAGGAATGCTAGATCAAGCAGACACTGAGTTGCAAAATAAGGACTCTGCAGGCTTTGAGTTACAAAAGAAACAAAGTTTACTAAGTACATACGACAGACACGTCTTTCTACAGCGAGCTACAATTCATGAAGAACAAAGAAGTAGTCAAAACCGAAAGCCTCTGCACATCTGCTTATCTTCTCTTGATGAGACTGGCAACTCCCTTCTGTTCTCAGCAAGAACCTTATCTTACTTTCTCAAGTTGTCCGGATGCCTGACCACCGTCTCCCAAAGCAGTTGCTCTACTCTGAACTTAAGAACGGAAAACGGAACGTTGGTGGACAGGAAAAGAGATTTAAAGATGGGCTCAAAGCCAACCTTAAAATCTCTGACATAGACACTGAGAACTGGGAAGCTCTGGCCCTTGAGTGCTCCACCTGGAGGTCAGCTGTGACCAGCAGTGCTGCAGAATTCGAGGAGGCACGAGTGGAGGGTGAAAGAGAGAAACGTGCCAGGAGGAAGGCGCGTCAAGCCAACCCCGACCGGGACCGCCTTCCACCTGGAAACCAATGCCCTCACTGTGGGAGAAGATGCGGGTCAAGAATAGGGCTCCACAGCCACCTACGAATCCACAAGAAAACCCATCATGGAATACCCTCTTACTCGTCCAACGAGAGATCGCCTAAGCAAGCAAGCAAGTAAGTACTTTCTCAAGTTTGCTTAATCACAGCCTCAAAGTATAAACATTCCTGCATGGCATTTACAATTCACAGTGGCATCCATCTTTGCAATATATAGAAGCACATTTTAAACACATACATAACTAAAATAATCCTGACAATTCTCTCCTGACGTTTCGCCTGCATCTATGGCAAGCATCCTCAGAGTTTGTGAGGTCTGTTGGAACTAGGAAAATGGGTTTATGTATCTGTGGAATGACCAGGGTGGGACAAAGAACTCTTATCTGTTGGAGCTAGGTGTGAATGTTTCAACTGACCACCTTGATTAGCATTTGATGGCCTGGCAGTGCCTGGGGCAATCTTTTGTTGAGAGGTGGTTAGATATCCCTGATTGTTTCCTCTCTGTTGTTTTGCTGTTGTAATTTTAGAGTTTTTTTTAATGCTGGTAGCCAGATTTTGTTCATTTTCATGGTTTCCTCCTTTCTGTTGAAATTGTCCACATGCTTGTGGATTTCAATGGCTTCCCTGTGTAGTGTGACGTGGTGGCTGTTAGAGTGGTCCAACATTTCTGTGTTCTCAAATAATATGCTGTGTCCAAGTTGGTTCATCAGGTGCTCTGCTACGGCTGACTTCTCTGGTTGATATATAAATCCCATTTTCCTATTTTCCAACAGACCTCACAACCTCTGAGGATGCCTGCCATAAATGCAGGCAAAATGTCAGGAGAGAATGCTTCTAGAACATAGCCATATAGCTCGAAAAACCTACAACAACCCAGTGATTCCGGCCATGAAAGCCTTCGACAATACATTATCAAAACTGCTAAAACAAACTGAAACTAAATTCAGGCAAGACAGAGGCACTCCCAGTCCATCGTAAGGCTGATCAGAATGTGGGATTTCAGACTGTGTTGAATGGGGTCCCACTCCCCTTGAAGACACAGAGTCACAGTCTTATTTGTTTATTTAGTTATTTACTACTAGCCGTTCCCTGCCACGCATTGCTGTGGCCCAGACTGGTGATCTGGAAAATAAGGTTTTGGTGAGCATTGACCTTGAGTTTGGGAGTTGTAGTTCACCTACATCTAGAGCGCACCATGGACTCAAACAATTATGGATCTGGACCAAACTTGGCATGAATACTCAATATGCCCAAATATGAACACAGATGGAGTTTGGGGGAAATAGACCTTGACATTTGGGAGTTGTAGTTACTGAGATTTATAGTTCACCTACAATCAATGAGCATTCTGAACTCCACCAACGATGGAATTGAACCAAACTTGGCACACAGTTCTCCCATGGCCAACAGAAAATACTGGAAGGGTTTGGTGGGCAGTGTCCTTTGGTTTTGGAATTGTAGTTCACCTACATCCAGAGAACACTGTGGACTCAAGCAATGATAGATCTGGACCAAACTCTACAAGAATACTCAATATGCCCAAATGTGAACACTGATGGAGTTTGGGGAAAATAGAATCTTGACATTTGGGAGTTGTAGTTGCTGGGATTTATAGTTCACCTATAATCACAGAGCATTCTGAACCCCACCAACGATATAATTGGGCCAAACCTCCCACACAGAACCCCCATGTGGGCCACAGCAACACATGGCAGGGGATGGCTAGTAATAATAATAAAACTTTATTTATATACCGCTCTATCATGGTCATATTTATACATGGCTCTCAACATGTCTCCTCTCAACCTTCTCTTCTTCAGGCTAAACATGCCCAGCTCTTTAAGCCGCTCCTCATAGGGCTTGTTCTCCAGACCCTGTATCATTTTAGTCACCCTCCTCTGGACACATTCCAGCTTCTCAATATCTCTCTTCAATAGTGGTGCCCAAATGAAGAACTGTTTAGCAGTGGAACTCACTGTCACAGAATAATAATAATAATAATAATAATAATAATAATAATAATAATATTTATTTATACCCCATCACCATCTCCCCAACGGGAACTCGGAGTGACTTTCATGGGGCCAAGCCCAAACAACAAACTATAATATAGTGGAGTATAGTGAAAGCTCCTTCTATGGAGGGTTTAAATCAGAGGCTGGATGGTCATCTGTTGGGAGGGCTTTGATTGTGACTTTCCTGAATGAAGACAGAAGGGGGTTGGACTGGATGGCCCTTGGAATCTCTGATTCTGTGATGACGCGTGTGGAGTCTGGGGAGAAGACTCACCTTTGTGTTTTAAGGGCGTCCCTCCTTTGTCCGTTGGCTGCTCCGAGCGGGAGAAGCTGGTGCTTCGGCAGCGGCTGCCACTGGAAGGGGCCACCTCTCTCCCAATAAGGCCCTGGTTTAGAAATCGGCATAAAGGGGAAAGTGAGGCACAGGGCAGATTGTCGAAATCTCCGAGTGCTTCCCTTCAGTGTATAGTATTGGGGAGGTGTAACACTCACTTTCTGCTGTTCCCTGCTTCGCCGTTGGTGCCCCACATCCTCCGACATCCGTCTTCCTCGACATCCCAATGTACCGGCCTAGAATAAAACCAAAACAAGGCCAAATTTCACAACTCATCCCAGACGTCTTCGGTCAGAACAGAAGACCCTTTGGGGAGGTCGCAAAAGACCATTGGAAAACATATATTTCCGATGGTCTTAAGGACTCCTTTGGCAGAGAAGACTGAAGATAATAATAATAATAATAATAATAATAATAATAATAATAATACAAACCTCTATACAACTTGGATGGATTACAAAAAAGCATTTGACTCACTGCCACATTGTTAGATCATCAAATGTCTAGATGTCATCGGAATTTGTGAAAATATTACAAAGTTCACCGAAAATGCGATGAAACAATGGAAAACTGAGTTGTTCGTGGGCAACGAAAACTATGGAACGGTTAACATCAAGATTTTGGGCTTGAGTGTTACCAGTATGCCGATGACACTCAGCTGGTGCTGAAGATGGAAGGCCGACCGGACTCTGTACCCGATTGTTTCCATCAGTGCCTCGAGGCCGTGACTGGATGGCTGCGTGCCAGCAGGTTGAGGGTGAATCCGGCAAAGATGGAGATCCTATGGCTGGGTGGACCAGGCAATGGGGACATCCAGCTGCCTACCCTGGATGGCGAGGCGCTATGCCCGTCATCGTTGGTAAAGAGTCTGGGAGTCCTTTTGGACCCTCTGCTGACAATGGAGGCCCAGGTCTCCGCCGTGAGCAGAACCGCCTTTTTTCACCTGCGGCAGGCTAGACGGCTGACCCCCGACCTGTCCAGGGACGACCTCACTACGTTGATCCAGGCTACAGTCATCTCAAGACTGGACTACTGTAATGCCCTCTACATTGGCCTTCCTCTGTCGGTGATCCGGAAGCTCAAGTTGGTACAAAATGCAGCTGCTCGGCTTCTTGCGGGAATTCTGATGAGATGCCACATAACCCCAATCTTACTACAGCTGCATTGGTTACCCATTGAGCACCGGATCACTTTCAAAGTGATGGTACTCACCTTTAAGGCCTTGCATGGTCTGGGGCCGATGTACCTGAGGGACCGCCTCACCTCCTACCAACCCCAGAGATCCCTCCGTTCTGAGGACCAAGATCTATTGGAAGTCCCCAGTGTCAAGACCTTGCGTCTAACAGCAACCAGACACAGAGCCTTTACAGCAGTGGCACCATCGCTCTGGAATACTCTGCCACCTGAAGTCCGTGCCTTGCGGGATTTATCAGCTTTCCGCAGGACATGTAAGACATATCTATTTCAATGGGCCTTTGATCTCTGATTGTTTTTAAATTGCTTTTAAATTGCTTTTAAATTGTGTTCGATTTTAGCCTGTTCTTGTAAGCCGCTCCGAGCCCCAGGGGAGTGGCGGCATATAAGTTCAAATAATAAATAAATAAATAAATAAGAGAGGAATTTTCCAGGGTAACTCACTGTCACCACTGCTGTTCATTATTGCACTGATCCCACTGTCAGTAATTCTACAGAAAACAAACCTAGGCTACCAAACAGCAAGAAGTTCACCAAAAATCTCTCACTTGCTGTACATGGATGATCTAAAGCTTTACGGAAAATCAGAAACAGAAATCCAGTCATTGACCAACACAGAAGCTTCAGCACTGACATCAGTATGGAGTTCGGCCTAGACAAATGTGCCACAGTGGCATTAAAGGAAGGGAAAGGCGAGGGTGTAGCGATGCCAAACGGGCAAACCATAAAGCGCAATCAGCCTGAAGCCTATAAATATCTGGGCATACTACAGTTGGACAATATCAATAATGGGCATGTGAAAAATGTGGTCAGCAAAGAATATATCCAAAGAGTCAGAAAAGTTTTGAAGAGCAAATTAAATGGCGGAAATACGATCAAGGGTCTCAACCCCTGGGCCATCCCCATCATTAGCTACATGGCTGGGATTGTGAACTGGACACAAACAGAGCTGGAGGATCTGGACAGAAAAACAAGAAAACTTGCCACAGAATAAAACTCCTTGCAGAGTACATTGCTCAACAAGGAATAGTTCCACTATCTATGTCCCCGTAGGATCCACCCCTCCAGAAGACTGTTGGTGAATTTCTCAGCTCAAAAGTTGACCTTTTTTTGATAATTTGAACCCAACCGCCTGACGAAGGCTCTTGTGAGTTGAAACTGGTTGCTGGTTGGAGTCAATTCATGTGACTACCGGAGTCTACTCATATGTAATAAAGAACAGGACATTTACTCACACAAAGACTTTGTTTTATACTTCAAGAGAAGAACCAGTTGTTTCTACTTAATGTGAATGTGGCAGTCCTGTTTTTTTTTTATATGTGTATTTGTAATATATACATTGAGTCAATTTAGTTATTTTCACATTACCACAATCAGTGGATTTTGGTCTCCACAGAACTTGAGGCTGAGCAATAATGTGCAACTGTATACCTGCTCATCAAAAGCGCAGAGGACACGAGGCCTCTTCCAGAAAATTAGAAACATTGGAGGTAAATTTCAGGCAAAAATTGGTATGATAAGAAACAAAGATGGCAGGGACCTAACAGAAGCTGAAGAGATCAAGAGAAGGTGGCGAGACTATACAGAAGATCTGTATAGGAAGGATAATAATATTGAGGATAGTTTTGACGGTGTGGTGAATGAATTAGAACCAGACATCCTGAGGAGTGAGGTTGAATGGGCCTTAAGAAGCATTGCTAACAACAAGGCAGCAGGAGACGACGGGATCCCAGCCGAACTGTTTAAAATCTTAAAAGAGGATGCTGTCAAGGTGATGCAAGCCATATGCCAGCAAATATGGAAAACACAACAATGGCCATCAGACTGGAAAAAATCAACTTATATCCCCATACCAAAAAAGGGAAATGCGAAAGACTGCTCAAACTTCCGTACAGTGGCCCTTATTTCTCATCATGCCAGTAAGGTAATGCTCAAGATCCTGCAAGGAAGACTCCAGCAAGACATGGAGAGAGAGTGGCCAGATGTTCAAGCTGGGTTTAGAAAAGGCAGAGGAACGAGAGACCAGATTGCCAATATCCGGATGCTGGATAATGGAGAAAGGCAGGGAGTTTCAGAAAAACATCTCTTTCTGCTTCATTGACTACTCTAAAGCCTTTGACTGTGTGGATCATAATAAATTGTGGCAAGTTCTTGGTGGGATGGGACCAAGTCGCCACAGTCAGAACTGACCACGGAACAACAGACGGGTTCAAGATTGGGAAAGGCGTCTGGCAAGGCTGCATCCTCTCATCCAACCTTTTTAACTTGTATGCAGAACACATCATGCGAGGATGTGCGGGGCTTGATGAATGCAAGGCTGGGGTGAAAATGGCTGGAAGAAACATGAACAACCTCAGATATGCAGATGACACCACTCTGATGGCCGAAAGCGAGGAGGAGCTGAGGAGCCTTCTAATCAAGGAGAAAGAAGAAAGCGCAAAAGCCGGGTTGCAGCTAAACGTCAAAAAAACCAAGATTATGGCAACAAGAATGATTGACAACTGGAAAATAGAGGGAGAAACCGTGGAGGCCGTGACAGACTTTGTATTTCTAGGTGCAAAGATTACTGCAGATGCAGACTGTGGCCAGGAAATCAGAAGACGCTTCCTTCTTGGGAGGAGAGCCATGTCCAATCTCGATAAAATAGTAAAGAGTAGAGACATCAGACTGGCAACCAAGATCCATTGCCTAGTCAAAGCCATGGTCTTCCCTGTAATCACCTACGGATGTGAGAGCTGGACCTTAGGGAAGGCTGAGCGAAGGAAGAGAGATGCTTTTGAGCTGTGGTGTTGGAGGAAAGTGCTGAGAGTGCCTTGGACTGCGAGAAGATCCAACCAGTCCATCCTCCAGGAAATAAAGCCCGACTGCTCATTGGAGGGAAGGAGACTAGAGACAAAGCTGAAGTACTTTGGCCACATCATGAGGAGACAGGAAAGCCTAGAGAAGACAATGATGCTGGGGAAAGTGGAAGGCAAAAGGAAGAGGGGCCGACCAAGGGCAAGATGGATGGATGGCATCCTTGAAGTGACTGGACTGACCTTGAAGGAGCTGGGGGTGGTGACGGCTGACAGGGAGCTCTGGCGTGGGCTGGTCTATGAGGTCACGAAGAGTCGGAGACGACTGAACGAATGAACAACAACAAGAAAAGAGCCGGGTTTTAAGGTTCTTTTTAAAAATTTCTCACAGTTGCAGAATTAGAGTTATGAAACAGCAACCAAAATCATGTTATGGTTGGGGGGGTCACCATAACATGAGAAAGTGTATTAAGGGGTCACGGCATTAGGAAGGTTGAGAAGCACTGCTCTATTAGATAGTCATTGAAAAAGTATAGCAAAATGTACTGCAGGATGTCCCATAAAAACAAAGTTTTGGCAGTTTTTTCAATGTTTTAATGATAGAACCAATTAAGGAATGACATTTATAACCCAGGAACAAAAATTGTATTGTGCATTACTATTATTATTAAAGATTCTCAGCCTCACAGACTTTGAATCTGCTCCTTGGCTTTCCAGAGTTTAGATGGAGCCACCTTGCAAGCCGCCAAGGGACACTTGCCCTGTTCCCTTGTAAAATTGCACTCTGCAGATGAGCTGCAGCCTTGTTAAATTATCTGTCCACCAATTGGGCGGAAAAGGTGATGGAAAATATTTGGCAGCCGCTCTTAGTGGCGCCTCCTTGCAAGTAAACATGGGGGATAATTAATGGTGGCAATAACATTGGCCAAGTGAGGAGAACTGAAGTCTCGTAAAGCTGTCACGGAGTCAAGAAACAGGGACTGCGGCTCAAGGGTGCGGCTTTCACAGGGAAGCGGCCACTCCATGGGGGAAAGTGGCCTTTTTGTCCCACTGTTATCATAATGGGGTCCTTGACAGCTCTTTCAGGAAAGACTGAAGTCGAGCATGCCCCCCCCCACCCAACAAGGGATGGTAACTTATAGTTCTGCAAAGGACAAGGGTACCAGACTGCACAATAGGGGTTAAGCCTTGGTCAATTTGCCAAGATCCTAACAACAATGAGTACCCCATGACACTTCGGGAATGGCTAGACCTTGGGGTCTCTGCCTCTCTCTCGAGCTGTAGTTTTCCAAGGACCATGGGACCGGCTTCCATCCCAGCACTGCAGGGCTTTGTGCCTTGGCCCAGTGGAACTCCATAGACTCCCTTTGGTGCCTTTTTGAATTCTGCTACATTTCTGGACTTCACTCTCTTCAAGGACTCGCTCTCTACCCATGAACTTTCTTCAAGACAACTTATGAATTCATGCTGTGTCCTGATATCGTCTGCTTTTTATAATTGGTATTATCTGGGGCCCTGGATGGGAAGATACCTGCATATGATTTCCCTGTGTATAATCTCTATATTTTTTTAATGTTTCCTTGTATTCCTGACCCTTTGCCCCTTCTCCCTCCAAAGAAATATGTAAGGGAACCCCCTGGCCTTCAGAAACAAAAGCCATTAGTTATTACTGAAACCTCCTGCCAAAGACACATTTGCAGGGATAAAAGAAGGAGATTCTTATCCCTAGCATCAGAGATGGCCACTAGAGTAAAGAATTGTTTGGCAAAAGTTTCTGTCACTCTTCAAGTAAGATAAGGGGAAATCTTCCCCTCTGCTTTTGTTTACTTCCCATTGATAGCATTAACCTCAGGCTGCCATCATTGTTCTCCTGTCTCACAGCCAGGAAGGATCTGGATATTTTTACACATGTTGATTCACAACACTCATGAACGCAATAGATGGACCCTGTTTGAGCTTTTTGTCTCAGGCCACATGGCATTTCCTTTGTTTAAAGACTCCTTCCCAGATTCCTTTGTGCTCTCTCATCCCGCCTCCCTCTCTCCTGATTTGCTGTTGCCACCAGATGGCAGAGGTCTCACCATTGGATCCTACAGAACACTGGAGCTTCCTGATTGGTCCAGAGGCACCAGGGGCAGGAGGGCCGCCTCCCAGCTATTCGCCCATTGCCCAATCATGGCGGGGAACAACAGGGAAGCCGGGGTGGGGAGTTTGAACTCTGCAACGTTGAATTCACTATAAATATGACTGTATTGGTGTACTCTCCTCATGCTCTGCTGGCGAATGATTGCAGCTCGGCATCCTTTTCAGCTGAATCGCAAATAAAACCTCGATGGCTTTTCTTCAACTTGGTGAGACCTTTCATTGGGAAATCAGGGAAAAATATGGGATGCTTCTCTGTCTCACCAGGGAAAAAGAACTCTTTGATGAGTCTAATTGGTCTCTGCCTCCTGGCAAAGACTCCTAAATTTTAGCTCTGTATCAGGACTATTGCAGTGGTTCTCAACCTGGGGGTCGGGACCCCTGGAGGGGTCGCGAGGGGGTGTCAGAGGGGTCGCCAAAGACCATCACAGACAGTATTTTCTGTTGGTCATTCTCTGTTTCTGGCCTAATTCTATCGTTGGTGGGCTTCTGAATGCTCTTTGGTTGTAGGTGAACTATAAATCCCAGCAACTACAACTCCCAAATGTCAAGGTCTATTTTCCTCGAACTTCACCAGTGTTCACATTTGGGCATATTGAATATTCGTTCCAAGTTTGATCCAGATCCATCATTGTTTGAATCCACAGTGTGCTGGTACGGCTGTACCAGGAGCTCCAACTTTATTTTCTTTCTGTTATCTGTTTGCAGTCATACGGCAGGCCTCCTGTCCATCATAATTAAGCTTTGGTTCCGCCCCTTGTTCAGGGCTCTGGGAGGGAAAGGAGCCATTTTTTGGGCAGTCTCACATAAGGAAGCTAAACTATAGGACGTAGACCAGCTCGTCCCGTAGAAAAGCTTCTTTTCTCAAGAGCATCCAGGGAAAAGGAACATCCGGGGAAACAGAAACAGAAATTCCAGGGAAAAGGTCCCAAGGCTCTGGCTGAGAGCTCACAGCCTCTCAGCCTCACAGCAAACAGAGGGAAAACAGCCCTGAAGTTCTCAAAGAATTCTCTGAGGGAGGACAGCACTACAGATCCACAGAACTCCAGCTGAAATGTGTTCAAGCCTCAGCTGGTAGGTCTACTCAATATCCAGACGCATTTGGAATCCGTAGTAGGACCCACACTGATGAGGCATAGATAGTAAACAGCCTGGGAGAGGGCGGTGGTGCTCAACCTGTGGGATTTCTGGGAGTTGTAGTCAAAAACACCTGGGGACCCACAGGATGAGAACCCCTGATCTATGCTGACGATCGTGCCATCACCACTTAAGAAGGGAGCTTTGAAATAGTTGAACAGAAGCTCTCCAAAGCTCTCGGGCAGTGGTGCTCAACCTGTGGGTCCCCAGATGTGGGTCCCTAACAGCTGGTAAACTGGCTGGGATTTCTGGGAGTTGTAGGCCAAAACACCTGGAGACTCACAGAATGAGAACCTCTGATCTATGCTGACGATCATGCTATCACCACTTAAGAAGGGAGCTTTGAAATAGTTGAAGAGAAGCTCTCCAAAGCTCTAGGGCAGTGGTGCTCAACCTGTGGGACCCAGATGTGGGTCCCTAACAGCTGGTAAACTGGCTGGGATTTCTGGGAGGTGTAGTCCAAAACACCTGGAGACCCACAGCATGAGAACCCCTGATCTATGCTGACGATCGTGCCATCACCACTTAAGAAGAGAGCTTTGAAATAGTTGAACAGAAGCTCTCCAAAGCTCTAGGGCAGTGGTGCTCAACTTGTAAGATTTCTGGGAGTTGTAGTCCAAAACACCTGGGGACCCACAGGATGAGAACCCCTGATCTATGCTGACGATTGTGCCATCACCACTTAAGAAGGGAGCTTTGAAATAGTTGAACAGAAGCTCTAGGACAATGGTGCTCAACCTATAGGTCCCCAGATATGGGTCCCTAACAGCTGGTAAACTGGCTGGGATTTTTGGGAGTTGTAGACCAAAACACTTGGGAACCCACAGAATGAGAACCCCTGATCTATGCTGACGATCGTGCCATCACCACTTAAGAAGGGAGCTTTGGAATAGTTGAACAGAAGCTCTCCAAAGCTCTAGAGGAGTGGTGCTCAACCTGTGGGTCTCCAGATGTTTTGGCCTCCAACTCCCAGAAATCCTAACAGCTGGTATTTCTGGGAGTTGTACTCCAAAACCCCTGGGGACCCACAGGTTGAGAACCACTGGTTTACAGTCAAAGAGGCCCACGTAGATGCCGTGGCTCCCCAATTGCCCGGACTCAGATCTTTGGCCGGCTTACCTCTGCCTGCTTGCCATGTTGCTTCTTCGACTGGGCCAGCTCTGCCTTGGTCAGCTCCAGCTGCCCTTGCAAGGCCCATAACTCCTTTTCCTTCTCCTTCAAACGGGTCTCTGCTTGGGTGAGAGCCAACCTCAACTCTGAATGGAGGGAAGAAGAGAATTCAGCAGAGGAGTAGTAAGCCTCTTACAGTCAGGAAGTTCTTAATGTTCAGGTGGAATCTCATACAGGGAACATATCACCCTCCATTACGCCATCTCTACTGGTTGCCGGTCCACTTCCGAGCACAATAGGGCCTATAAAGCCTTATACGGTTCTGGCCCAGCTTACCTTTTGGAACGTATCTCCCTCTACGTCCTGCCTCGGAAATTAAGATCGTCCGGGGAGGCCCTGCTCTCGGTCCCACCCTCTTTGCAACCGCGTTTGGCAGTGATGAGGGACGGGGCCTTCTTGGTGGTGGCCCCCCACCTGTGGAATACTCTCCCTGGCAAAATTAGGTCGGCTTCATCCCTCCTCTCTCATAGAAAACATGGTTTTCGGACAGTAGGTTTGGCAGCATTTGCAGTGTTTGAACTGACAAGGACAGGCTTTGGACTGAGTTGTTGTTGTTGTTGTTGTTGTTATTATTATTATTATTATTATTATTATTTCATATATTTATATCCCGCTCTTCTCCCCACAAGGGGGACTCAGCACGGCCTCACATGAGTATCCGAGGATACTAACAGCATAAATACCATAAAAATTACAATTCACAATAAAATCATTTTAAAACATTGTACAACATTGTCAGTAAAATTTAACAATAAATTAATAAATTGATGAGGAAACACAACATACAAACAATCTACAAACCCACCAAGAAAATCCAACAAATGCTACGTTCAGCAAAGGACAAGAGGGATCCTCTCACCTCTGCAGGAGTCTACCGTATACCATGCAGCTGTGGACAAGTCTACATAGGGACCACCAAACGCAGCGCCCAGACACGCATCAAGGAACATGAAAGGCACTGCAGACTACTTCAACCAGAGAAGTCAGCCATAGCAGAGCACCTGATGAACCAGCCTGGACACAGCATATTATTTGAGAACACAGAAATGCTGGACCACACCAACAACCACCATGTCAGACTACACAGAGAAGCCATTGAAATCCACAAGCATGTGGACAATTTCAACAGAAAGGAAGAGACCATGAAAATGAACAAAATCTGGCTACCAGTATTAAAAAACTCAAAAATTATAACAGCTAAACAACAGAGAGGAAAAAACCAGGCACAGATTAACACCTCCCAGCAACAGATTTTCCCAGACTCAGGCAGGCCTTCAAATGCTAATGAAGGTGATCAGCTAAACATTCACACCTAACTGCAGCAGGGAAGAGCTCCTTGCCCCACCCCAGCCATTCCACAGCTATATAAACCCATTTTTCCTACTTCCAACAGACCTCAACCTCTGAGGATGCTTGCCATAGATGCAGGCGAAACGTCAGGAGAAATGCCTCTAGAACATGGCTCTATAGCCCGAAAAAACCCACAAGAACCTAATAAATTAATAGATTAATGTGCCAGTAAAACCAAGCCGAGCCGGGAGAATCCATGTCGCAAAATCCAAATTTCCTTTTCCTATTGCCACTGGCCTCTTTCTTTTCCTAAATCCGGCTATTTGACAAATAGTAATAATATTTTAATGTATTTTAATCAAATGTTTTGCATAATGTTGTCGTAATGTATTTTGTATGTTGTTGGCATCGAATTGCTGCCGTTGTAAGCTGCCCTGAGTCCCCCTTCGGGGGTTGAGAAGGACAGGGTAGAAATATTAGAAATAAATAACTAAATAATCTTCAGGTGGACCAGGCTGTGGCTCAGCTAGTTAGTAACCGGCTGCATTAAATCACTACTGACCTAGAGGTTATAAGTTCGAAGCCAGCCCGGGTCGGAGTGAGCTCCTGACCATTAATACTCTAGCTTGCTGTTGACCTATGCAGCCTGAAAGACAGTTGCATCTGTCAAGTAGGAAATGTAGGTACCTCTTTATGCAGGGAGGCTAATTTAACCAATATACAACACCTGCATCGCCCCTCCTTCACCGCGTACTTCCTAACGCCAGGAGAGGGACGCACGCCAGCGTTGTCTCCCTTGGCCTGCGAGGAGGAGGAGGAGAGGAAGACAACGCGTGCACACACGCGCACTTGTGAGGGAAGGAGGGAGGGAGAGTGAGCTGCCTCTGGGTGTTGTTTGGGGCAGGGGCGACTCAGGAGCTCCTCAAGTGCGCCCCCCCCCCCCGAGACGCACACTCTACACAAAAGCGTAATTTGCATACCGCCTTGAGCCGCCCCTGGTCTTTTGTGTAGTATTCAGAATAGCTATCAAGAATGTAGCTAGAATACTGTGTGGAACAGAACCCCGTTAGTGGTCTGTTCATTTCCTAAGGAAGTCAGTTCAGAGTTTTTGGCTAGATTCCTAAGGGGGATTTTTGGGAGTTACTTTCAGAGATTCATTTCCTGAAGTGATTTTCTGTGCTGAAACTTTCAAGACTTGTAACCCAGAAGTTTTTAAGATCTTTACTCAAACGCAACCACAAGCTTTTTATGCCAGTATTTTACTGAAACCATTACGCATTTGTACCTGAATATTTCAAGCCTGTTCAATAAACGTTCTTGTTATTTTTATCAACTTATACCAGCCTTAGTGTGAATACCTTTGTGGTCAAAGCCTTATTCAAGTCAGCTTTTAACAGCCTCTAAGAAAACTATAGTGGCACAGTGTGTGTTCACAGATCAATTTCTGAACATAAACTCAGCCTGTTTATTATTAATATGGTGGCAGCGGAAATCTTTTGAAGAATCATTTTAAGTCTCTCCGTTCCAGTGGTTCCCAGTTCCTAACTTTTAAATAGACAGTTGATTTCAAACACCATACTCCCCCTACCTTTTGTGAGATCTATATTTTGGTGAGCTAATCTTTAGTGGAGGTGTCATCGTTATAATTTGGAGAAGCAGCTTTGGGATTATTATATATATTTCCCCGTCAAGGAATTTTAATTTAAAATCTCTCTCTTACATCGCTGCGTTCGTTATATATGGCATCGAATTGTGCTGACCGCCCTGAGTCACCTTCGGGCTGATATGGGCGGGGTAGAAATAGCGTAAATAAATAAATAAGAGCTGTTCAACACATGCAAGAGAAGCAACTCCGACCACCGCAAGCCATGACGAAACAGCAAGGGCAGCACAGAGAAAGGTACCAGTAGGCAACTCAAAGAAGTGTTCCAAGTCATACAGTTAAAAGGATCCAGTACCTTGGTTACTTGTCGTCAGCTTCTCTCCTGCAGATGTAGGTTCTTGTTCCACAGACTGGACTTCCTTGCCGTTTTCGGTAATGCTCGAAATGTCCTCTTGCCCAAGTGGAGCACTGCTGGCCTGAGCCTTCTAGGAAGGAAGATTGGCATGGTCCAGTGTCATATGTTCAATGAATTATTATCTTAACTGGTTTATCATGAGTTGATCAATTTTAGCAACTATCTTGCCTTGTTATTTGCTTTGAGAATCCGCCCCCCTTCAAATAATAGTGGTGGCCTCGCAACTCCAGGATGCTGGAAATTACAACTTCCTTCAAGCCTCCTCTAGGAATTTATCTATAACTAGCCGTCCCCTGCCACACGTTGCTGTGGCCCAGTCTGTGTATATGTTTTGTGTGTGCGTGTGCATATATTTGTGTATATGTATTTAAGGAAGGGAAAGGTAAGGGAAAGAGAAGGGAAAGGAAAAAGGAAACGGGAAAGGAAAAAACAAAGGGAAAGGAAAGGGAAAGGGCAGGGAAGGGAAAAGGGAAAGGAAAAGTAAGGTGTGCCATCCGCCCAGACGATATAAAAAATAAAACTGCGACGTGCTTCTCTCTATGTCTGAGCGAACTGCAGGTGTCTATATTGAGAAGCTTGAGATACTCAGAAACTGAGACTATTACTGGTTTAAACATCAAAAAAGGATATTTATTTATTCAAAGTCCTTGAAGACTTGGCACAGTTCACCAAAGTTGCAAACAAACAGTCAATAGATGAAGCTACAAAAATACAAGGGGTATTTTTTAAGTATGGTCCATTTTGTTGTAGACACTAGTAGTTCGCGCGCATACCGCAACGAGCACGTGTGTCGTGTACCGGCATGCCTCGGGAACAACTGTGCTCAGTTTCCGCTCTGTAGCTAACCTGTACGGTTCTGTTCTGTGCTTTAAAAATGTTTAAGACTATCAACTCACCCTCCGCATGTGAGGTTCGCTCAGTGATACGGTTTTTGTCAGCAAGGAACCTGCCCGCTGCAGAAATTCATCGACAGATTTGTGAAGTGTACGGTGATACTGTTATGAGTGAAAGCAAAGTGCGTAAGTGGGTACGACAATTCAAAGATGGCCGTGACAACGTCCATGATGAGGACCGCTCCGGTCGCCCTTCTTTGATTACAGACGATTTGGTGGCTTCAGTTGAAGCGAGGAACCTCACATGCGGAAGGTGAGTTGATAGTCTTAAACATTTTTAAAGCACAGAACAGAACCGTACAGGTTAGCTACAGAGCGGAAACTGAGCACAGTTGTTCCCGAGGCATGCCGGTACACGACGCATGCACTCGTTGCAGTATGTGCGCGAACTACTAGTGTCTACAACGAAACGGACCATACTTAAAAAATACCTATCAACTCACCCGCCGCATGTGAGGTTCGCTTGTTTCAACTGAAGCCACCAAATTGTCTGTAATCAAAGAAGGGCGACCGGAGCGGTCCTCATAATGGACATTGTCACGGCCATCTTTGAATTGTCTTCCCCACTTACGCACTTTGCTTTCACTCATTATTATTTATTTATTTATTTATTTACCCCATTTGTATACCGCATTTATCAGCCTGAGACGGCGACTCAATGCGGTTTACAATAAAAATGGGCAACACTAAACAATATATAAGACGCACATACACAAACAACACACATAGTCATCAACGCCTCAATTAGAATCAGATCCCGTTCTCACAGTCCTTTTCCGTTCCTTGTTCAAATGCCGTCTTACTGAGTTAGTTGTCATTGCATAGTTATCCAAATGCCTGTTCATAGAGCCACGTCTTCACCCTCCTCCGAAACACCAGTAACGAAGGGGCCTGCCTGATGTCCACTGGTAGGGCATTCCATAGCCGAGGGGCCACCACCGAGAAGGCCCTGTCTCTCGTCCCCGCCAACCGCGCTTGTGACGCCGGCGGGACCGAGAGCAGGGCCTCCCCGGACGATCTTAAGGTCCTCGTCGGTTCATAGGTGGAGATGCGTTCGGAGAGGTAAGTGGGGCCGGAACCGTGTAGGGCTTTATAGGCTAAAGCCAGCACCTTGAATTGTGCCCGGTAGCAATTGGCAGCCAGTGGAGCTGGCTCAACAGAGGAGTGGTGTGCTCCCTGAGTGCCGCTCCCGTTAGCAACCTGGCTGCCGAGCGCTGGACCATCTGAAGCTTCCGGGCAGTCTTCAAGGGCAACCCCACGTAGAGCGCGTTGCAGTAATCTATACGGGATGTGACAAGAGCGTGGACTACCATGGCCAAGTCTGACTTCCCAAGATACGGGTGCAGCTGGCGCACGAGCCGAAGCTGTGCAAATGCTCCTCTGGAAACCGCTGAAACTTGGGGTTCCAAGCTTAGCGAAGAATCCAGAGTCACACCCAAGCTGTGAACCTGCGTCTTCAGGGGGAGTGCGACCCCGTCCAACACAGGCTGTAACCCTATACCCTGTTCGGCCTTCCGACTGACCAGGAGTACCTCTGTCTTGTCTGGATTGAGTTTCAATTTGTTCACCCTCATCCAGTCCGACACAGCGGCCAAGCACCGGTTCAGGACCTGGACAGCCTCCTTAGAAGTGGGTGGAAAGGAGTGACAGAGTTGGACGTCATCTGCGTACAGATAACACCGCACCCCGAAACTCCGGATGATCTCTCCCAACGGCTTCATGTAGATGTTAAATAACATGGGGGACAATATCGAACCCTGCGGGACCCCACAAGTCAATGGTTGTGAGGACGAGCAGTTGTCCCCCAGCAACACCATCTGGGTGCGATCCTCTAGGAAGGACCTGAGCCACTGTAAAACAGTGCCCCCCAGGCCCATTCCCACGAGGCGACCCAGAAGGATACCGTGGTCGACGGTATCGAAGGCCGCTGAGAGGTCCAGCAGAACCAACAGGGACACACTCCCCCTGTCGAGCTCCCGGCACAGATCATCCACTAAGGCGACCAAGGCTGTCTCGGTACCATGTCCCGGCCTAAAGCCAGACTGTGCCGGATCCAGATAATCAGTGTCTACCAAGAATGCCTGGAGTTGTGAGGCCACCACACGTTCCAGGACTTTGCCCAAAAAGGGGAGATTGGAAACAGGCCGATAGTTGACGAATTGAGTGGGGTCCAGTGATGGTTTCTTCAACAGCGGTTTTATTACAGCTTGTTTTAAGCTGGCTGGAATTTTGCCTTCCCGAAGGGAGGCATTAACCACCACCTTCACCCACTCGGCCAATCCCCCTCTGGCCTCCTTTAGAAGCCAGGATGGGCAGGGGTCTAGGATGCATGTGGTTGCTCTCATCCCTCCAAGCACCTCGTCCACATCCTCAGGTTTCACCAATTGAAACAAATCCATCAAAATCGGACAGACAGGTGTTCTCGTCACATCCTCAGAGACTGCCTGACAGTATCACTGTACACTTCACAAATCTGTTGATGAATTTCTGCAGCAGGCGGGTTCCTTGCTGACAAAAACTGAATCACTGAGCAAACCTCACATGCGGCAGGTGAGTTGATAGTCTTAAACATTTTGAAAGCACAGAACCGTACAGGTTAGCTACAGAGCGGAAACTGAGCACCGTTGTTCCCGAGGCATGCCGGTACACGACGCATGCGCTCGTTGCGGTATGTGCGCAAACTACTAGTGTCTACAACAAAACGGACCTTACTTAAAAAATACCCCTTGTATTATTTTTTTCTTTAGAGGTACCCTTTTCTCCAGATGGCAGATAAGATCCTGGAATCTTAACACCCTAACCTGAAGCTGTTGTGGTTTAGAAAAAAGCAGGGTTTTTTCCCTATCTATAACTTAAGGTTAGTTCTGGAGACAAAGCAGTGAAGACTCTCTTTCTATAACTATATAACTCAATCTTCTCAATTAAGCTTATCTGTCTATAATATCTCAAAAACAGCTCAAAACACAATATACTATCTATATTATCTCAATATAGCTTACTCAGTTTAGTTTTTGCAATGGTTTTCCCAGAGCTAATTGCCTAGCTGTCAGCACGTCTGAAATCTTTCCTCAAACTGAAAAGGCAGGGGAGAATCTAAAATGGGGATCTTTCCCTGGGAGAAAAGGCGGTCCCTAAACTCAAAGAGCTGCTCTCTAAGCCAATAGTTGCAAAGAGGCCTGCAGACTCTGATACTATTAACCTTTAGGACTCTTGCAAAGCTGCAGCAGCCCTGGGAGAAAATGCAAGAGGAAGCAACCTCAAGCAACTATAAAGTAAGGCAAATCAGGCTCCTGGGAGACAGAACAAAGCTTTTCTTCTCAAAAATGTGTAAGAAGAAAAAAACAACAGGTTATGGAAATTCAGCTATGTACGAAGGATATAATGAAACAGAAAAGGAAGGAAAGGAAGGAAAGGAAAGGAAGAGAAAGGGAAAGGAAGGGGAAGGGAAAGGGAAGAGAAAGGAGAAGGAAAAGGGAATGGGGAGGGAAGGAAAGGAAAAGGAAAAAAGAAATGAGAAGGGAAAGGAAAGGGAAGAGCAAGGGAAAGGAGAAGGGAAATTAAAGGGAATGGAAAAGGGAAAGGAACAGGAGATGGAAAGGAAGGGAAAGGGAAGGGGAAAGGAAAAAAGAAATGAGAAGGGAAAGGAAAGGGAAGAGCAAGGGAAAGGAGAAGGGAAATTAAAGGGAATGGAAAAGGGAAAGGAACAGGAGATGGAAAGGAAGGGAAAGGGAAGAGAAAGGGAAGAAAGGAAGGAGAAGGGAAAGGGAAGGGAAGAGCAAGGGAAAGGAGAAGGGAAATTAAAGGGAATGGAAAAGGGAAAGGAACAGGAGATGGAAAGGAAGGGAAAGGGAAGGGAAAGGGAAGAATAGGGAAAGGGAAAGGGAAAAGAAAGGAGAAGGGAAAGGGAAGAGCAAGGGAAAGGAGAAGGGAAATTAAAGGGAATGGAAAAGGGAAAGGAACAGGAGATGGGAAAGGGAGGGAAAGGGAAAAGGAAAAAGGAAGGAGAAGGGAAAGGGAAGGGAAGAGCAAGGGAAAGGAGAAGGGAAATTAAAGGGAATGGAAAAGGGAAAGGAACAGGAGATGGAAAGAAAGGGAAGGGGAAGGGAAAGGGAAGAATAGGGAAAGGGAAAGGGAAAAAGAAAGGAGAAGGGAAAGGGAAGAGCAAGGGAAAGGAGAAGGGAAATTAAAGGGAATGGAAAAGGGAAAGGAACAGGAGATGGAAAGGAAGGGAAAGGGAAGGGAAAGGGAAGAAAAGGGAAAGGGAAAGGGAAAAACAAAGGAGAAGGGAAAGGGAAGGGAAAGGGAAGAAAAGGGAAAGGGAAAAAGAAAGGAGAAGGGAAAGGGAAGGGAAGAGCAAGGGGAAGGGGAAGGCAAGGAAAACGGAAAGGGAAAGGAGAGGAGAGGTAGAATGTGTTTGAGGGTCTTGGAGGAAGGAAAGAAAGATGCATGAAGAAAATACAAATCCAGGCAACGCAAGATAGATAGATAGATAGATAGATAGATAGATAGATAGATAGATAGATAGATAGATAGATAGATAGATAGATAGATAGATATAAAGTCTTGGTCAGAATGAAGCAACAGCTAAGGGAGTTCTAGCACTACTTACCTCTGTTCCAGACCCAAGGCCCTTGCCCAGCTCTGCTTTGGCCTCAGCTCCACCTGAAGGACACAAGGAGACCAGATTTAAGGGGACCCGGCTTATTTTCATGGAGGGGGGAACTCATGCAGCCCCCAAATGTTGTTGGACTGCACATCCCTGAAGCCCTAATGCAACCCGTGTTGCAAATTCACCTTTGGCCATCACAGTAACATGCTTTGCCTCCCAAAGACTAGAAATCCCACCAACTGCTTCTCCTTAGCCCATGTGATTTCTTCCCATCCTTAAAGACCAGGGACTTTAAAGAACTAAACACTGATATTTCCCTGCCTCTCCCGTAAGCTCAAGGAATCATATCTATCTCTCTATCTCTATGGCTGGATGGCTCTTTGTCAGGAGGGCTTTGATTATGTTTTCTTGCCCTGGTGAAGGGAGTTGGACTGGATGGCCTTGAGTATTTTCTGTTGGCCATGGGGGTTCTGTGTGGGAAATTTGCCCCAATTCTGTCATTGGTGGGATTCAAAATGCTCCTTGATTGTAGGTGAACTATAAATCCCGGTAACTACAACTCCCAAATGTCAAGATCTATTTCCCCCAAACTCCATCTGTGTTCATATTCGAGCACAAAGCAAACAGAGGAATTGATCAGCAACTGGGGAGAATTCCCCATGATTTCTAGGAGTTGTATGTACTGGGATATATAGTTCGCCTGCAGTCTAAGAGCACTCTGAAATCCACCAATGATGGACCTGGAACTCACTTGGCACACAGAACCCCCATGCCATGCAAAACATACTGGAAGCCTTTGGAGGGATTTATAGGAATTGTAGTTCATCTACATTCAGAGCGCACTATGAATCCAAACAATGATGAATCTGGACCAAAATTGCCATGCATACTCGGTGTGCCCAAATTTGAATACTGGTGGGTTTTGAGGGGAATTGGTCTGGACATTTTGGAGTTGTAGGTACTGGGATGTATAGTTCACCTACAATCTTAAGAGCACTCTGAACTCCACCAAAGATGGAATTGGACCAAACCTAGCACACAGAACACCCATGAGTAGCAAAAAATACTGGAGGTCTTTGGGGGAAATTCACCATGATTTGGGGGAGTTGTAGTTCACCTACATCCAGAGAGCACTGTGAACCCAAACACAAACTTGGCACACAAACCTGATATGCTGAAAACTGATTACTGGAGGGGGTTGGTGGAAAATGACCTGCCTTTCTGGGAGTTGTAGTTCACCCACAACCAGAGTAATGGTGACCTCCAATAATGATGAACCTGGGCCAAACTTGGCACACAGAACCCCATGACTAACTCTGCCTACTGGAGGGGTTTGAGGGGACTGACTCACCATAGTGGGAGTTGTAGTTTACCCTTCAGCCAGAGAGCAGACTGAAACCCACCGAGGATGCAACTTCCAAACTCAAGGTCAATGCCCACCAAATACTTCTAGTGTTTTCTGTTGGTCATTGGAGTCCTATGTGCCATGCTGGGTTCAATTCCATCATTGGTGGAGTTCAGAATGCTCTTTGATTGTAGTGAACTATAAATCCCAGCAACTACAACTCCCAAATGACAAAATCTATTTTTTTGAGTGATGGTCATTCCTTGGGTTAGTAGGTGTCTTGTGGCCAAATTTGGTGGCAATTTGTCCAGCGGATTTTGAGTTATGATATCTCTCAAAACGAACAGAGAATTTATGCATACCTACATACATCTAACAGTAATGAAAGCTCACGCTGAAATAAACTGATTAATCTTTTAGCAGAGAATGTATGCATACCTACCTACCTAACAGTAATGAAAGCTCACGCTGAAATAAACTGATTAGTCTTTTAGCAGAGAATTTATGCATACCTACCTACCCAACGGTAAAGAAAGCTCACGCTGAAATAAACTGATTAGTCTTTTAGCAGAGAATGTATGCATACCTACCTACCTAACAGTAATGAAAGCTCACGCTGAAATAAACTGATTAGTCTTTTAGCAGAGAATGTATGCATACCTACTTACCTAACGGTAATGAAAGCTCACGCTGAAATAAACTGATTAGTCTTTTAGCAGAGAATTTATGCATACCTACCTACCTAACAGTAATGAAAGCTCACGCTGAAATAAACTGATTAGTCTTTTAGCAGAGAATGTATGCATACCTACTTACCTAACGGTAATGAAAGCTCACGCTGAAATAAACTGATTAGTCTTTTAGCAGAGAATTTATGCATACCTACCTACCTAACGGTAAAGAAAGCTCACGCTGAAATAAACTGATTAGTCTTTTAGCAGAGAATGTATGCATACCTACCTACCTAACAGTAATGAAAGCTCACGCTGAAATAAACTGATTAGTCTTTTAGCAGAGAATGTATGCATACCTACTTACCTAACGGTAATGAAAGCTCACGCTGAAATAAACTGATTAGTCTTTTAGCAGAGAATGTATGCATACCTACCTACCTAACAGTAATGAAAGCTCACGCTGAAATAAACTGATTAGTCTTTTAGCAGAGAATGTATGCATACCTACCTACCTAACAGTAATGAAAGCTCACGCTGAAATAAACTGATTAATCTTTTAGCAGAGAATGTATGCATACCTACCTACCTAACAGTAATGAAAGCTCACGCTGAAATAAACTGATTAGTCTTTTAGCAGAGAATTTATGCATACCTACCTACCCAACGGTAAAGAAAGCTCACGCTGAAATAAACTGATTAGTCTTTTAGCAGAGAATGTATGCATACCTACCTACCTAACAGTAATGAAAGCTCACGCTGAAATAAACTGATTAGTCTTTTAGCAGAGAATGTATGCATACCTACTTACCTAACGGTAATGAAAGCTCACGCTGAAATAAACTGATTAGTCTTTTAGCAGAGAATTTATGCATACCTACCTACCTAACAGTAATGAAAGCTCACGCTGAAATAAACTGATTAGTCTTTTAGCAGAGAATGTATGCATACCTACTTACCTAACGGTAATGAAAGCTCACGCTGAAATAAACTGATTAGTCTTTTAGCAGAGAATGTATGCATACCTACCTACCTAACAGTAATGAAAGCTCACGCTGAAATAAACTGATTAGTCTTTTAGCAGAGAATGTATGCATACCTACCTACCTAACAGTAATGAAAGCTCACGCTGAAATAAACTGATTAGTCTTTTAGCAGAGAATGTATGCATACCTACCTACCTAACAGTAATGAAAGCTCACGCTGAAATAAACTGATTAGTCTTTTAGCAGAGAATTTATGCATACCTACCTACCTAACGGTAAAGAAAGCTCACGCTGAAATAAACTGATTAGTCTTTTAGCAGAGAATGTATGCATACCTACCTACCTAACGGTAATGAAAGCTCACGCTGAAATAAACTGATTAGTCTTTTAGCAGATTATCGCACCAGTGTGTAATTCAAGCTCTGCCTTTGGCGTGAACTTGCTTACCATTGCAAGACGTCATCTAAAGATCTAAAGCACTGGTGGCTAAAGTGACATCTCCAAGTTCGAGACTGTAAGGCCACCAAGGTGGGTGTGTTGCTGCATCCTCATCCTCCTCCTCTCTCCCATTGCGAAGGAGCTGTGTTGCCCTGGCAGTGTCCCTTTCTGTCCCCGGCTGCTAATTCTCCTCCATCTGGCTAAGCGTGTCTAATCCCCTGGCATTGGCCTCAGCGTGGGAAGGAGCAGCTCCTGCAAAACGTGGCCCAAGAAAACCCCCGGCCTTTTCCCGTCTTGGGGTTCCTTACCTTTGGCCCACGGTGTCGGAGAACCCCAGCGGGGAGGCAGCATCACCAAGTGGGAGCAGGATTGGAGCTTTTCCAGTTCTACCTGGCACCTGTAAAGCAGGAAGGAAAGGCACGGGAGAAAGTTTTCAGTCTCGCCTCTTTGAGTTTCCTTGTGGAGAAGTATAAATAAACATAAACATGAACAAAAACAAACATAATAATAATAATAATAATAATAATAATAATAATAATAATAATAATAATTTGCAAAGGCTCTGGCACAAGCCACTCAACATGGTCCCAGTTGTGGTCAGCACACTGGGTGCAGTGCCTCAAGACCTTGGCCTGCACTTAAACACAATTGGCACTGATAATAATAATAATAATAATAATAATAATAATAATAATAATAATTGCAAAGACTCTGGCACAAGCCAGTCAAGGTGGTCCCAGTGGTGATTGGCACACTGGGTGCAGTGCCTCAAGACCTTGGCCTGCACTTATACACAATCGGCACTGATAATAATAATAATAATAATAATAATAATAATAATTTGCAAAGACTCTGGCACAATCCAGTCAAGGTGGTCCCAGTGGTGATCGGCACACTGGGTGCAGTGTCTTAAGACCTTGGCCTGGACTTAAACACATAATAATAATTGCAAATAATAATAATAATAATTGTAAAGACTCTGGCACATGCCAGTAAAGGTGACACCAGTGGTGATCAGCACACTTGGTGCAGTGCCTATAGACCTTGGCCTGCACTTAAACACATAATAATAATTGCAAATAATAATAATAATAATAATAATAATTTGCAAAGACTCTGGCACAATCCAGTCAAGGTGGTCCCAGTGGTGATCGGCACACTGGGTGCAGTGTCTTAAGACCTTGGCCTGCACTTATACACAATCGGCACTGATAATAATAATAATAATAATAATAATAATAATAATAATAATAATAAATTGCAAAGACTCTGGCACAAGCCAGTCAAGGTGGTCCCAGTAGTGATCGGCACCCTGGGTGCAGTGTCTTAAGACCTTGGCCTGCACTTATACACAATCGGCACTGATAATAATAACAATAATAATAATAATAATAATAATAATTTGCAAAGACTCTGGCACAATCCAGTCAAGGTGGTCCCAGTGGTGATCGGCACACTGGGTGCAGTGTCTTAAGACCTTGGCCTGCACTTATACACAATCGGCACTGATAATAATAATAATAATAATAATAATAATAATAATAATAATTTGCAAAGACTCTGGCACAAGCCAGTGAAGGTGGTCCCAATGGTGATCGGCACTCTGGGTGCAGTGCCTAAAGACCTTGGCCTGCACTTAAACACAATCGGTGCTGACAAAATTACCAGCTGCCAGCTGCAAAAGGCCACCTTACTGGGATCGGCATGTATCATTCCCAGATACATCACACAGTCCTAGACACTTGGGAAGGGTCCGACATGTGATCCAATTCAACAGCCAGCAGAGTGTCTTCTGTGGACTCATCTTGTTGTGTTTCAAATAATAATAATAATAATAATAATAATAATTATTATTATTATTATTATTATTATTATTATTATTATTATTATTCTACAGACCCTGGGGCCTGAAGTTGCCATACTTTCAAATTTTCATTATAAATGGCAGTTCCTAATTGGTTCTGTCATAAAAATTATCAATAATGAAATAATAATGAAATTTTGAAAGTTTTGTTAGAGTTCTGAAATTTTCACCACCAGAACTTTAGCAACACTGTAGAAGCAAAGCACCAGCGCCCCCTACTTTTCACCACCAGAACTTTAGTTTTGTAAGTACTTTAGAACCATTTAGAAGCATGGATTGCACATGTCTAATATTTACATTGTAATCCTCCCTGAGTCCCCTGCGGGGTGAGAAAGGCGGAATATAAATACTGTAAATAAGTTACTAAAGTCCGTTCTATGCCTGCCAAAAAACCCCAGGCTGAGGGTGGATTTGGTAGCCAAGCTTTGCAATCTCCACTGTACTGTTGGTGCAGTTTAGCACCACTTTAACTGCCATGGCTTGATGTGACGGAATCCTGGGGTCACCCTTTCATAAGGTCTTTCATGGTCTCTCTGTCAAAGGGTGCTGTTGTCTCACCGAATGGCAAACCCCGCAATTCCATCGCACTGAGCCATCCCAGTGAAAGTGGCATCACACTGCACTCATTCTGCACCCAACATCGAGCCTTTCTGTGTGGACCAAAGGACTAGAAACTTGTCTGTCCTTTGGAAAGTTTTTTCCAAGGAAAGGGAGAGGGCATCGAGTGTGAGGTTTCTTTCCTTCTCCAGTCCCACACTGCTGCTTTTGTTGCCAGCATTTACCCGCGCAACTCTTCCTCCAGTTCTGCTTGCCGGCGTGCGGCTTGCGCCTGCTGGGCCTCCAGGCAGCTCAGTTGGGCTTCTTTGGCTTGCAGCTCCTGTGCCAAGCGCTGGCAGGCACGCTCCGTCTGCTCACACGCCTCCGACAGGCTGCGGTTCTGCTGCGAGAGGAGCGCCCAAGAGGCCCTTTCCTCCTCGTGCTGCAGGGGAGACAGGGAAAGGGAGCCTTGCAATAACTAGCTTTGGCAATGAAACATAAGAAAGGGACCCCTCCCTGCAGAGAAAGAGGAACATGTCAGCAAGGGGGAGGATGTTCTAAAAAAGACGTGCTTATGCTTGAGTTAAGTTGCTAGAACATTAAGTTGCTAACCAGCCCAGCTTACATAGGAAGTGGGTTTGAGGTGAAGCGCAAAATTTGCAAGTAGAGTGGGTTTGCGGAAAAGCACAAAATCTGCAAGTAGAGTGAACAACTGGAAAATAGAGGGAGAAAATGTGGAGGCCGTGACAGACTTTGTATTTCTAGGTGCAAAGATTACTGCAGATGCAGACTGTGGCCAGGAAATCAGAAGACGCTTACTTCTTGGGAGGAGAGCAATGTCCAGTCTCGATAAAATAGTAAAGAGTAGAGACATCAGACTGGCAACAAAGATCCGCCTAGTCAAAGCCATGGTATTCCCTGTAGTAACCTACGGATGTGAGAGCTGGACCTTAGGGAAGGATGAGCGAAGGAAGATCGATGCTTTTGAGCTGTGGTGTTGGAGGAAAGTTCTGAGAGTGCCTTGGACTGCGAGAAGATCCAACCAGTCCATCCTCCAGGAAATAAAGCCCGGCTGCTCACTGGAGGGAAGGATACTAGAGACAAAGTTGAAGTACTTCGGGCACATCATGAGGAGACAGCAAAGCCTAGAGAAGACAATGATGCTGGGGAAAGTGGAAGGCAAAAGGAAGAGGGGCCGACCAAGGGCAAGATGGATGGATGGCATCCTTGAAGTGACTGGCTTGACCTTGAAGGAGCTGGGGTGGTGACGGCCGACAGGGAGCTCTGGCGTGGGCTGGTCCATGAAGTCACGAAGAGTCGGAAATGACTGAACAAATGAACAACAAATGAACAGAATGGGTTTGCGGAAAAGCACAAAATCTGCATGTAGAGTGGGTTTGCGGGAAAGCACAAAACCTGCAAATAGAGTGGGTTTGCGGAAAAGCACAAAATCTGCAAGTAGAGTGGGTTTGCAGAAAAGCGCAAAATCTGCAAGTAGAGTGGGTTTGCGGAAAAGCACAAAATCTGCATGTAGAGTGGGTTTGCGGAAAAGCACAAAACCTGCAAGTAGAGTGGGTTTGCGGAAAAGCACAAAATCTGCAAGTAGAGTGGGTTTGCGGAAAAGCACAAAATCTGCAAGTAGAGTGGGTTTGCGGAAAAGCACAAAATCTGCAAGTAGAGTGGGTTTGCGGGAAAGCACAAAACCTGCAAGTAGAGTGGGTTTGTGGAAAAGCACAAAATCTGCAAGTAGAGTGGGTTTGTGGAAAAGCACAAAATCTGCAAGTAGAGAGGGTTTGCGGAAAAGCACAAAATCTGCAAGTAGAGAGGGTTTGCGGAAAAGCACAAAATCTGCAAGTAGAGAGGGTTTGCGGAAAAGCGCAAAATCTGCAAGTAGAGTGGGTTTGCGGAAAAGCACAAAATCTGCAAGTAGAGAGGGTTTGCGGAAAAGCACAAAATCTGCAAGTAGAGAGGGTTTGCGGAAAAGCGCAAAATCTGCAAGTAGAGTGGGTTTGCGGAAAAGCTCAAAATCTGCAAGTAGAGTGGGTTTGCGGAAAAGCACAAAATCTACAAGTAGAGTGGGTTTGTGGAAAAGCACAAAATCTACAAGTAGAGTGGGTTTGTGGAAAAGCACAAAATCTACAAGTAGAGAGGGTTTGCGGGAAAGCGCAAAATCTACAAGTAGAGTGGGTTTGTGGAAAAGCGCAAAATCTGCAAGTAGAGAGGGTTTGCGGAAAAGCGCAAAATTTGCATGTAGAGTGGGTTTGCGGGAAAGCACAAAATCTGCAAGTACAGTGGGTTTGCGGCTGTCTGACTTCCTTGTGGCCATGATGAAAATAAAACCTTGCCTTTGATCTTCTCTTGGGACAGTCTCATTCCTTACGTGTTCCCATGATCTGGACCTAAGTGTTAAGACCCGATTTAGGGTCTCTAACAAAAGGAGATTCCACCAGAACATTAGGATGAACTTCCTGACTATAAGGGCTGTTCAGCAGTGGAACTCACTGCCAGGGAGTATAGTGAAAGCTGCTTCTTTGGAGGCTTTTAATCAGAGGCTGGATGATCATCTGTTGGGAGGGCTTTGATTGTGCCTTTCTTGCATGGAGACAGAAGGGGGTTGGACTGGATGGCCCTTTCAGTCTCTTCCAACTCTATGAATCATAGAATCATGGAGTTGGAAAAGACCTTGTTAGCCATCCAGTCCAACCCAAGAAGCAGGAATATTGCATTCAAAGCACCCCTGACAGATGGCTATCCAGCCTCTGTTCAAAAGATTCCAAAGAAGGAGCCTCCACCACACTCCGGGGCAGAGAGTTCCACTGCTGAACAGCTCTCACAGTCAGGAAGTTCTTCCTAATGTTCAGATGGAATCGCCTTTCTTGTAGTTTGAAGCCATTGTTCCCAGTCCTAGTCTCCAGGCTTGCTCCCTCCTCCCTATGACTTCCTCACATATTTATACATGGCTATCATGTCTCCTCTCAGCCTCTCTTCTTCAGGCTAAACATGCCCAGCTTTAAGCCGCTCCTCATAGGGCTTGTTCTCCAGAACCTTGATCATTTTTCGCCCTCCTCTGGACACATTCCAGCTTGTCAATATCTCCTTAATTGGTGCCCAGAATTGGACACATATTCCAGGTGTGGTCTGACCAAGCAGAATGGAGGGGGGGGGGGTGGGGGGGGGGGTGATGGCTAACCAAAGCAGAATAGAGCATGGGGAGCATGACTTCCCTGGATCTAGACCAGTGATGGGCAATCTTTTGAGCTTGGTGTGTCAAAATTTGCCAAAAACCCGAGCATAACTTGGGTAGAGTGTCACTTCGAGAGAAAAAAACATAATTTTGCAATATTTATAGTTTAAATAAGAAAAATGTATATTCCATGCTGAGTTATGGAGTGAACAATGCTCAAACGTGCAGATGTTAAATTTGTAGAGCCTTTTACAAATTTAAGGATGGAATTAGATTGGCTCTTATAAGGTGTACTTCTCTGTATGTGGCCACATGTCATCAAAAATAGCCATGCGTGTCAGTGCTGACACGCGTGTCATAGGTTCACCATCACGGCATAACATAATATATAGTGTCAGATCCAATTTTTTGATGGGCCCCCCCCCCCCCCCGCAAAAAAGCCAACAGAATTTTGTCCTGCATCAATAGGAGTATAGTGTCTAGATCCAAGGAAATTATGCTACCCATGCTCTATTCTGGACTTTATCATTCTTGGGGTCTCTTCCAACTCTAGCATTCATGAGCCGGACATTGAAAAGTTCTCTTTCTGGGACACTAGGTTGACTCAGAGCGAGGGCCAGGTAAATGACCTTGGAGAGCCATATTCGGCCCGCGGGCCTTAGTTTGAGGACTCCTGCCATAGAGCATACTAGGAGTTGTAGCCCAGCCAGGAAGCTGTCAATGCTTTGGGGGCCACCAACCAGGACCAGGGTCCTCCTGTTTACCTTCTGCCGCTGCTTGTGCATCACTGCCTCCAATGTGTCCAGTTGCACCTGCTTCTGCTGGCGCTCCTTCTGCAGGCGCTCCAGTCTCTGCTCCACTTCGGCAATGGCCTTCAGTGCCTGGGCTGGCAAGCCCACCTTCCACTCCTCACCTGGCCAACTCATGCTGTGCAAGCGGGGAGACCTGGCTGGACCAGGCTCACTGGGCTCTGAAGGGCCTTTTCTTCCCTCTCGCCGGCCACCGAGGACAGACTGCCGGGATTAAAAAGGCAGCGAAGGCTTACCGTGGCGTCATGGCAGAGCTGCTTGGATCTTTCCGGCGCACGGAAGCAGCAGATGGGGTCGGGACAGGTCTCTCGGTCAGCATTGCAGCGTCATGCAGCAGCACAAAAAGCCAATGTGATTCTCGGGCACATTCATAACAGAGTCAAGCTCCAATTCGTTTAACTCCATTCTGCTTTGATCTGACCTCACATGTCCAATTCTGGGTACAACTCAAGAAGGAGGTGGATAAAGTGTTTAGATGAGGACAACCAATCCAGAACTCCCTGCTTTCAAACTGATCTGATGGGCAGCAGGGAGTTCCGCAGTTCTCCTTTGCCCGCTTGGGCCAGTTTTCCAGCAGCAGCATCAACCGAAAGACTTCCCTTCTGATTTACTTTCTTTCCCCTTCCTAACACTGTAACAAATCCCCCCAATAAAGTATCAAATTAATTGTAACCCTTTCCTCTTTATAGTGTTACTTTGTGTCCTTTACTGCCTCCACACTCTTCAAATCGTGAACTTTCCCTCTCCCGGGCTGCAGGAGGCCAAAATTGCGTTCCTCTGAACCGCGGATATGGAAACCCATCGGGTCCCCGTATCCGCGAGTCAACGGATTGCTTCAAAATCGGTGCCATTCTTCTCCTGGGCAAATTCTAAGACTAATGGCTATCTCGCTTTTGCTCCGCTAACCTCTCCACCCTTTTTGCCTTCATAAACTCAACATGGAGTCCAGCTGGCTCCCGAATGCCACCCCGTCGTTGCCACCATCTCGCCGATGCCCATGGAGCCTGTTGACCTAGGGAACCTGTTGCGGACACTCAGAAGACCAGCGGGCCGTCCGGATCACGGGAGTGGTGGGATCTGTAGTTTTTCGCTCCCGATGTGGTTCCTGACCTCCAGTGGTGGCAGTCATCTTTATAAGGACTCAAATGGACTTCCCCAACTAACTCCCATGGATTTTACAGTTTTCCCAGAACTTTGACCAACTTTTAAGGACTTTTGAAAACCCATTGCACCACCGGGGGCTCCTATTATTATTATTATTATTACAGTATAATTAAATTATTACAGTTATGGGATATCTGCAACAAAACAGGAGCTTTTTTGTTGAGTTCAAGGGCCAGAAAAGCAGATGGCAAAAACAGAACGGCCTGCCTCAGGGGAGTGTGCTTGCTCCATCAATGTTTAACATTTACACAAATGACCAGCCACTGCCAGAAGGGACAGAGAGTTTGATCTATACTGACGATCATGCCATCACCGCCAAGCAGGGGAGCTTTGACATGGTTGAACATAAGCTCTCTGAAGATTTGGCTGCTCTTACTGCCTATTACAGGGAAAACTAGCTGATTCACAACCAGACACAGTGAAGACATCTGCCCTTGTGCTATGCTACTCTGCTGCCGAGTATGCATGCCCAGTGTGGAACACATCTCACCACGCTAAAACAGTGGATGTGGCTCTTAATGAGACATGCCGCATTATCACGGGGAGTCTACACCCTACACCACTGGGGAAATTACAGTATTTAGCCAGTATTACACCACCTGACATACATCAGGAAGTAGTAGCCTGTAATGAAGGGACCAAGGCATTGACATCTCTGGCCCATCCTCTGTTTGGACACCAGCCAGCATGCCAATGTCTTAAATCAAGAAATACTTTCCTAAGATCTACAAAACTTCCAAAATTTAATTATTATTTCATTATTGATAATTTTTATGACAGAACCAATTAGGAACTGCCATTTAGAATGACATTTTGAAAGTTTTGTTAGAGTTCTGAAATTTTCACCACCGGAAATTTAGCAACACTATAGAAGCAAAGCACCAGCGCCCCCTAGTTTTCACCACCAGAACTTTAGTTTTGTAAGTACTTTAGAACCATTTAGAACCATGGATTGCACATGCCTATTACCAATTAGGAACTGCCATTTATAGCGAATTTTTGAAAGTTTTGTTAGAGTTCTGAAATTTTCACCACCAGAACTTTAGTTTTGTAAGTACTTTAGAACCATTTAGAACCATGGATTGCACATGCCTATTACCAATTAGGAACTGCCAATTATAGTGAATTTTGGAAAGTTTTGTTAGAGTTCTGAAATTTTCATCACCAGAACTTTAGCAACACTGTAGAAGCAAAGTACCAGCGCCCCCTAGTTTTCACCACCAGAACTTTAGTTTTGTAAGTACTTTAGAACTGTGGATTGGACATGCCTATTACCAATTAGGAACTGCCATTTATAATTAAGTTTTGAAAGTTTTGTTAGAGTTCTGAAATTTTCACCACCAGAATTTTAGTTTTGTAAGTACTTTAGAACCATTTAGAACCATGGATTGCACATGCCTATTATCAATTAGGAACTGCCATTTATAATGACATTTTGTAAGTTTTGTTAGAGTTCTGAAATTTTCACCACTAGAACTTTAGCAACACCGTAGAAGCAAAGCACCAGCGCCCCCTAGTTTTCATCACCAGAACTTTAGTTTTGTAAGTACTTTAGAACCATGGATTGCACATGCCTATTACCAATTAGGAACTGCCATTTATAGTGAATTTTTGAAAGTTTTGTTAGAATTCTGAATTTTTCACCACCAGAACTTTAGTTTTGTAAGTACTTTAGAACCATTTAGAACCATGGATCGGACATGCCTATTATCAATTAGGAACTGCCATTTATAATGACATTTTGTAAGTTTTGTTAGAGTTCTGAAATTTTCACCACTAGAACTTTAGCAACACCGTAGAAGCAAAGCAAAAGCGCCCCTAGTTTTCACCACCAGAACTTTAGTTTTGTAAGTACTTTAGAACCATGGATTGTACATGCCTATGACCAATTAGGAACTGCCATTTATAATGACATTTTGAAACTTTTGTTAGAGTTCTGAAATTTTCACCACCAGAACTTTAGTTTTGTAAGTACTTTAGAACCATTTAGAACCATGGATTGGACATGCCTATTACCAATTAGGAACTGCCATTAATAGTGAATTTTTGAAATTTTGTTAGAGTTCTGAAATTTTCACCACCAGAACTTTAGTTTTGTAAGTACTTTAGAACCATTTAGAACCATGGATTGCACATGCCTATTACCAATTAGGAACTGCCATTTATAATTACATTTTGAAAGTTTTGTTAAGAGTTCTGAAATTTTCACCACCAGAACTTTAGTTTTGTAAGTACTTGAGAACCATTTAGAACCATGGATTGCACATGCCTATTACCAATTAGGAACTGCCATTTATAATGACATTTTGAAAATTTTGTTTGAGGTCTGAAATTTTCACCACCAGAACTTTAGCAACACCATAGAAGCAAAGCACCAGCGCCCCCTAGTTTTCACCACCAGAACTTTAGTTTTGTAAGTACTTTAGAACCATGGATTGCACATGCCTATTACCAATTAGGAACTGCCATTTATAGTGAATTTTTGAAAGTTTTGTTAGAGTTCTGAAATTTTCACCACCAGAACTTCAGTTTTGTAAGTACTTTAGAACCATTTGGAACCATGGATTGCACATGCCTATTACCAATTAGGAACTGCCATTTATAATGACATTTTGAAAGTTTTGTTAGAGTTCTGAAGTTTTCACCACCAGAACTTTAGTTTTGGAAGTACTTTAGAACCATGGATTGCACATGCCTATTACCAATTAGGAACTGCCATTTAGAATGACATTTTGAAAGCTTTGTTAGAGTTCTGAAATTTTCACCACCAGGACTTTAGTTTTGAAAGTACTTTAGAACCATTTGGAACCACCAATTAGGAACTGCCATTCATAATGAAATTTTGAAAGTTTTGTTAGAGTTCTGAAATTTTCACCACCAGAACTTTAGCAACATTGTAGAAGCAAAGTGCCAGCTCCCCCTAGTTTTCACCACCAGAACTTTAGTTTTGTAAGTACTTCAGAACCATGGATTGCACATGCCTGTTGCCTAGTTTCCAACAGACCTCACAACCTCTGCCATAGATGTGTGTGCCCCGACTCTAGCACAAAAGCACCACACACGGTGTCACTAACACAAAGTCGACTTTATTGTACAGTGCGAGAAGGGGAGGGCGATCAAACAGCACCGAAACTGCAGCATGTCTAGCATGTGACCCCAAAAAGAAATGCTACTCCAAAACACTGCAGCTAACAGGGCGTTGGGGGGAGGAAAAAGCCCCTTCTGATTCGAATCCATTGAAACAATAACAGCACAGACAAATCGGACCCTCCCCTGATTAAAGTGCCAGAGTTCTCTATTGGTTAAATATACGTTTGGGGTATTTTTTGGGGGGGATTTCAAGCTTAGAGACCAAGAAGCCTGCAATAGAGCCAACCAGCCCCACTGCTAATGGTATGAGCGGGGTTTTTTTATTATTTTTCAGCTTGCAGAATGGGAGGTGGTGGTGGTGGGTGATGGGTATATCAATACCAAGCGTGGGATCCAGCCCGCCCCATTTCACGCACTCTCCCGCAATAGTGGACTCTAAACGAAACCCTCCCATGATCCCTCAGTTCTGCGGGGTGGAATAGAGGCTGTGATGATGGCCGCCGGGAACCGCGGCCTGCGAGAATAAAAGGGGCGCCGTGGGAGGGTGGCCCCCAAACCAGTCTTGGTCCCCGCTGCGGTTAATAGAGCCGTACCAGCTGCCGCTGCCCAGTCGTCCGGTCAAGCTGAAAAGGGATTGGTGAGGCGGGGAAGGAAAAGAGTGAAACACCAAACAGTTAAAGATCATCGCAGCTTGGCAAAGGCACACACTTCCTGTCTTAATGAAGAGTCTCTGCTTCCTTGTCTCCTCTCTGGCATGAATTGCAGCATTGGAAGACACCCCAAAGGCCATCTAGCTTCAACCCCTTTCTGCCAGGCAGGAAGATAACAATCAAAACCCTCCCAACAGATGGCCATCCAGCCTCTGCTTAAAAATCCTCAGAGAAGGAGACTCTATCATCATCATCAAAGATTATTATTGTCATAGAATCACTGAATTGGAAGAGACCCCAGGGCCATCCAGTACAACCCCCTTCTGCAGGCAGGAAGATACAATCAAAACCCTCCCAACAGATGGCCATCCAGTCTCTGCTTAAAAACCTTCAAAGAAGGAGACTCCATCATCATCATCATCATCATCATCATCATCATCATTATCAAAGATTATTATTGTCATAGAATCACTGAATTGGAAGAGACCCCAGGGCCATCCAGTCCAACCCCCTTCTGCAGGCAAGAAGATACAATCAAAACCCTCCCAATAGAGGGCCACCCAGCCTCTGCTTTAAAAGCTCCAGAGAAGGAGACTCCACCATCATCATTTTTGTCATAAAATCACTAAATTGGAAGACACCCCCAAGGCCATCTAGTCTTAACCCCCTTCTGCCAGGCATGAAGATACAACCAAAATCCTCCCAACAGATGGCCATCCAGCCTCTGCTTAAAAACCCTCAGAGAAGGAGACTCTATCATCATCATTGTCAATGATTATTATTGTCACAGAATCACTAAATTGGCAGACACCCCAAAGGCCATCCAGTTTTAACCCCCTTCTGCCAGGTAGGAAGATACAGTCAAAACCCTCCCAACAGATGGCCATCCAGCCTCTGCTTTAAAACCTCAAGAGATGGAAACTCTACCATCATCATTATTGTCATACAATCACCCCAAAGGCCATCTAGTTTTAACCCCCTTCTGCCAGGCATGAAGATACAATCAAAACCCTCCCAATAGAGGGCCATCCAGTCTCTCCTTTAAAACCTTCAGAGAAGGAGACTCTATTATCATCATCGTCATAGAATTACGGAATTGGAAGAGACCCCAGGGCCATCCAGTCCAACCCCCTTCTGCCAGGCAGGAAGATACAATCAAAGCCCTCCCAATAGAGGGCCACTCAGCCTCTGCGCTAAAAGCTCCAGAGAAGGAGACTCCACCATTATCATTTTTGTCATAGAATAACTACATTGGAAGACACCCCAAAGGCCATCTAGCTTCAACCCCTTTCTGCCAGGCATGAAGATACAACCAAAACCCTCCCAATAGAGGGCCACCCAGCCTCTGCTTAAAAACCTTCAGAGAAGGAGACTCCACCATCATCATTATTATCATAGAATCACTAAATTGGAAGAAACCCCAAAGGCCATCTAGTTTTAACCCCTTTCTGCCAGGCATGAAGATAACAAACAAAACCCTCCCAACAGATGGCCATCCAGCCTCTGCTTAAAAACCCTCAGAGAAGGAGACTCTATCATCATTGTCAAAAGATTATTATTGCCATAGAATCACTGAATTGGAAGAGACCCCATGGTCATCCAGTCCAACCCCCTTCTGCCAGGCAGGAAGATCCAATCAAAGCCCTCCCAACAGATGGCCACCCAGCCTCTGCTTAAAAACCCTCAGAGAAGGAGACTCCATCATCATCGTCAAAAGATTATTATTGTCATAGAATCAATGAATTGGAAGAGACCCCAAGGCCATCCAATCCAACTCCCTTTCTGCCAGGCATGAAGATAACAATCAAAACCCTCCCAATAGAGGGCCACCCAGCCTCTGCTATAAAAGCTCCAGAGAAGGAGACTCTACCATCATCATTTTTGTCATAGAATCACTAAATTGGAAGACACCCCAGAGGCCAACTAGTTTTAACCCCCTTCTGCCAGGCATGAAGATACAATCAAAACCCTCCCAACAGATGGCCATCCAGCCTCTGCTTAAAAACCCTCAGAGAAGGAGACTCTATCATCATTGTCAAAGATTATTATTGTCATAGAATCACTGAATTGGAAGAGACCCCAGGGCTATCCAGTCCAACCCCCTTCTGCCAGGCTGGAAGATACAATCAAAACCTTCCAACAGATGGCCATCTAGCCTCTGTCTAAAAACTTCAAGAGAAGACTCCATCATAATCATTGTCAAAGATTATTATTATCATAGAATCACTGAATTGGAAGAGACCCCAGGGCTATTCAGTCCAACCCCCTTCTGCAGGTAGGAAGATACAATCAAAACCTTCCCAACAGATGGCCATCCATCCTCTGCTTAAAAACCTTCAGGAGACTCCATCATCATCGTCCAAGATTATTATCATAGAATCACTGAATTGGAAGAGATTCCAGGGCCATCCACTCCAACCCCTTTCTACAGGCAGGAACACACAATCAAAGCCTTCCTGACAGGTGGCCCTCCAGCCTCTCCTGGAAGGGGCCATACTTTCCCCAATGCTGCACTGTCATTTCAAATACAGAAAAAGTGAACAATTACAAGGGAATGAGACACCACCCAGTGTCCACAGACAGAATCACTGCTTCTCACTTAGAATTCAGCACTGCAGGTTGTGGGAAGAGAGGGGAGTTATCTACACTGTAGAATTAATGTGCTTTGACACCTTTAACTGCCAAGATTCAATGCAATGGAGTCACAGGAGTTGTAATTTTGCCAGGTCCCTGTATAGAGGTTAGGAGACAAAAATGTAGTTACCTGCCGGTCAATCCTTCACTATCACGCTGCCCAGGATGGTCAAAAAAGTACGAACGAGAGACTCCAAGCTGCCGGTTGAAGACCCGGCTGGCACTCTGTGGAAATTATTATTATTATTAACTTTATTTGTACCCCGCTAGCATCTCCCGAAGGACTCGATGCGGCTTACAAAGGCCAAGGCCTCAAAACACAACATAACAATACACAACCTAAAGCAAATCAAAAACAGTTAAAGCAATATTAAAACAACAAGCAATAAAAACAATACACCAAGACACAATAAAACTGGGCCGGGCCAGAGTAATGGGTACAGATTAAAAGTGCTGATGTGGCAGGTGATATGTAGGATTATAGGGAAAGTGCAGTGTGCCCACAATCCTAATTTCTACTAAAGTGGTTTTGGGACTTGTTATTGGAGATTTCCTATTCTGGAAAGGCACAATGGAACAGCCAGGTCTTCAAATTCTTCCTAAAGACTGCCAATGTAGGGGCCTGTCTGTGATCTTTGGGGAGGGTGTTCCAGAGTCGGGGGGCCACCACAGAAAAGGCCCTGTCTTGCATCCCCACCAGACGCGCCTGCGATGCAGGCGGAATTGCGAGCAGGGCCTCTCCGGATGAATGAAGTGAGTGCGTGGGTTCATAAACGGAGATGCGGTCACGCAGGTAGGATGGTCCTAAACCGTTTAGGGCTTTGTAGGTAAGCACCTGCTCCTTAAATTGGGCTCGGAAAATAAACGGCAGCCAGTGGAGCTCCTTGAACAGGAGGGTTGACCTCTCTCTGTAAGGAGCCCCAGTTAACATCCTGGCCGCTGCCCATTGGACCAATTGAAATTTCTGAGCCGTTTTCAAGGGCAGCCTCACTTAGAGCACATTACAGTAGTCCAGTCTAGAGGTGACCAAGGCATGGACCACCCTGGCCAGATCAGCCTTTGCGAGGTACGGTCACAGTTGGCACACAAGTCTCAATTGTGCAAAAGCCCTCCCGTACACCGCCGACGTCTGAGCCTCAAGCGTAAGGGTTGAATCCAAGAGGACTCCCAAACTGCGGACCTGTGACTTCAGGGGGAGTGTAACCCCATCCAGCACAGGTTGCCACCCTATACCCTGATCAGGTTTCCGATCGACCAGGAGGACTTCTGTCTTGTCAGGATTGATCTTCAGCATGTTCCTCCTCATCCAGATAGACACAGCAGCCAGGCACTCGTCCAGCACCCAAGAGGCCTCCTTGGAATTGGGTGGAAATGAGTAATAGAGTTATGTGTCATCTGCATAGAGGTGGCACCCAACTCCAAAACTCTGGATGACTTCTCCCAGTGGAAATGGAGAAGTAATTGCCACAAAGGCCTTTCTCACATCGCCTTATACCCACCATGTCTTTCAAGGTTGGCAAAAAGCTTGCTTTCTTTCTTTAAGGCCAATTTTTTTAAAGCAAGGCTTGTGCATTTTGGAGCAGGGTTTCTATTACGAGCATCCTTTAAAAATCCTGCTAGGGCTTATTTTTCGGTGAGGTCTTATTTTCGGGTAAATAGGAACGGTCCCTAAGTGGGATCCTGTGACAAGTAAAATATCTTCTCCCACACCCATCCATCGCTTTCTGTTTCAGGCCTCACTGTGGACTTCATTCCCCTCCAACACTCACCATATCTTGCGCCGGCCGGTGGACGCGGAAGAAGCCAACTAGCAACGACGTGGGCAGCAATTCCCAAACAAAGAGAATGAGGCCAAAGACAACGTAGCCTTGGTCGCCGAGGTCTGTAATCAGATCTGCCTGGAAGGGGACACAGCAGGGACGGCTTAGAAGTGGGGGAGAAGCACCTCCCAGTCTATAACCCATTCCTCTTTCTTTGTTTCATCATCTGAATCCGTAATATAACTTTTTTTTTACCAGTATTTATTTATTTTCGATATTTATACCCTGCCCTCTCTCACCCCGAAGGGGACTCAGAGCAGCTTACAAGTTATATGTACATACAATCTATATATATATAAATGCTCATGTCGTAATGAGTGGCTTAAAAACAAAAGAACCGCTGGGTCAATGCCCACCAAATTTGGCACAGGCTCCGCCACATGGAGCTCTCCTGTGTGTGCGAGCGAGTGCGCACCCCACCCACCCCCCGTCCCAGTACGCATATCCAATGGTATCTTCTCCTTTTTTAGGATATGTCAGTTCTTTTTTTCTTTTGTTTTTTATTATTGATGGTCACACCTTGTATGGTGAGGAGTTTTGTTGCCAAATTTGGTGGGTATCGGCCCAGCGGTTCTTTTGTTTTTAAGCCACTCATTACGACATGAGCATTTTTATATATATAGATAATAATATTATGATCAATATTATATGTACATACAATATATTATAAGCTTTTCTCGATGTGCTCTTCACCAGTCACCAGCCAATCCCTTTCCAATGCCAGAAATACAGCTTAATGGTGTAACATTAGAAAATGTTGACTATTTTCACTACCTTGGCAGCCACCTCTCCACCAAAGTCAACGTCGACACTGAAATTCAACACCGCCTGAGCTCTGCAAGTGCAGCATTTTTCCGAATGAAGCAGAGAGAGTTTAAGGACATCCGTAGGGATTCCAAGGGGCTTGCTTATAAAGCTATTGTCCTCCCAACCCTGCTATACGCCTGTGAGACGTGGACTGTTTACAGACATCAACATTGACACTAAAATACAACACTGCCTGAGCTCTGTGAGTGCAACATTCTTCAGAATGAAGCTGAGAGTGTTTGAGGACCGGGACATCCATAGGGATTCCAAGGGGGTTGTTTATAAAGCTATTGTCCTCCCAACCCTGCTATATGCCTGCAAGACATGGACTGTCTACAGACATCACATGCAACTCATGGAACGATTCCATCAGCGCTGCCTCCAAAAAATCCTGCAAATCTCTTGGGAAGATAACTGGACAAATGTCAGCGTGCTGGAAGAAGCAAAGACCACCAGCGCTGAAGCAAAGGTCCTCCGCCATCAACTCCGCTGGACTGGCCATGTTGTCCAGATCCCCGACCACCGTCTCCCAAAGCAACTGCTCTATTCCGAACTCAAGAACGGAAAACGGAATGTTGGTGGGCAGGAAAAGAGATTGAAAGATGGGCTCAAAGCCAACCTTAAAAACTCTGGCATAGACACGGGGAACTGGGAAGCCCTGGCCCTTGAACGCTCCAGATGGAGGTCAGCTGTAACCAGCAGTGCTGTAGAATTTGAAGAGGTATGAATGGAAGGCGAAAGAGAGAAACATGCCAAGAAGAAGGTGCGTCACGCCTTCCACCTGGAAACCGATGCCCTCACTGCGGGAGAAGATGCTGGTCAAGAATAGGGCTCCACAGTTACATTACAATATTATTATCAATATTATATACAATATATTATATATGGTACCTTTCACCAGTCCTTCTATTAGGCACCAAATTGGGGAGAATTGGCTGACTACTATGAAAAGAAGGGCCGAAGCGTGGTTGAGCTTTAGCACTTGGCCCGCTCACCTGGTCGGACACGTTGTACCAGTCGTAATCGAAGGAATCGAGGCGCGTGCGGGAGGACAAAGCCAAGGCCACCAGGTTGTAGCAGGCTCGGCTGGCGTAGAGTAAGACGATGGTGCCGCCCATGGCAGCCGTTTGGCACAGCGTCGTGCCCTGTGGCAAAAACAAGGAGTTGAAGGGAACGGGCAGTGAGTCTGTTAAGGAGAATGACAAAGCCAAGTCTTGTGGCATCCAAATAATCAAGGCACAAGAACTGCAAGCCAGAGTTTGCTGCACTAAGCTGACAAAGAGATTATCTTAATGCATGGAGGTGTATATTCCTCTAAGTCAGGGCTTAGAATCATAGAATCATAGAGTTGGAAGAGACCTCATGGGTCATCCAGTCCAACCCCATTCTGCCGAGAAGCAGGAAAATTGCATTCAAAGTGCCCCCGACAGATGACCATCCAGCCTCTGTTTAAAAGCTTCCAAAGAAAGAGCCTCCACTATGGGGCTGACTCACCATAGTGGGAGTTATAGTTTAGCCTACAGCCAGAGATCACACTGAACACCACCAGTGATGCAAATACAGCAAACTTGAATATAATCAACTTGAAGTACTGATGGAGCTTTTCAGGGTTAACCTGGTTTGATGGGAGTTGTAGTTCACCCACAATCTTATGCATTTTCTACAACTAAAAATCAACTGTATTGTCGAAGGCTTTCATGGCCAGAATCACTGGGTTGTCGTGTGTTTTCCGGGCTGTCTGGCCATGTTCCAGAAGCATTCTCTCCTGACGTTTTGCCTGCATCTATATAATAATAATAATAATAATAATAATAATAATAATAATAATAATAACATTTTATTTGTACCCTGTTACCATCTCCCCAAGGGACTCGGTGCAGCTTACATGAGGCCGAGCCCAAATACAACAATACAAGCAATAATAATAATACAAGCAATTAAAATTAAAACATGGACAATAAAATAATGAAACATTAACAATGAGACAACACACAATTAAAACTGTGGGAAGGCCAAATGTAAAATTAAAATTGAATATAATGCTGGAACATGGGCGAAAAAGTGATGGGGCGTTTGTGGAAAACCTACAAGCAGACCTAAAAAATGTAAAGTGCTTTGGAGGACAAAGTGCTATGAAATCATTATTCTGGGAAGGCACACTGGAACAACCACGTCTTCAATCTCCTCCTAAAGACTGCCGGGGTTGGGGCCTGCCTGATGTCCTTAGGAAGTGAGTTCCAGAGTCGAGGGGCCACCACCAAAAAGGCCCTCTCTCTCGTCCCCGCCAAATGCGCCTGCGAGGCTGGTGGGACCGAGAGCAGGGCCTCTCTGGATGATTAAAGGGATCATGTGGGTTCGTATATGGAGATGCAGTCACGCAGGTAGACGGGTCCAAACCGTTCAGGGCTTTGTAGGTAAGAACCTGCACCTTGAATTGGGACCGGAAAATGAATGGCAACCAGTGGAGCTCCTTGAACAGGAGGGTTGACCGCATCTATGGCAGGCATCCTCAGAGGTTGTGAGGTCTGTTGGAAACTAGGCAAGTGGGGTTTATGTATAATGTCCAGGGTGGGAGAAAGAACTCTTGTCTGTTGGAGGCAAGTGCGAATGTTGCAACTGTCATCAGTTGGGAGGCGCCCCACCCCCCCCCCCCACTCCAGCACCAACCGCTGCTCTGAGATCAGAATGAAGAGAGGGGCCGTGAAAGTAGTTCCATCTTGTGTGATACTGTTTATTGCTTATGTGATTTATATTAATTGTATTGTATTGATTGTTTTTGTTATTGCTTTTGTTTATTGATGTACTGTGGGCTTGGTCTCGTGTAAGCCTCACTGAGTCCCTTGGGGAGATGATAGGAGGAAACCATGAAAATGAACAAAATCTGGCAACCAGTATTAAAAAACTCTAAAATTACAACAGCACAACAACAGAGAGGAAACAAACAAGGACATCTAATCACCTCTCAACAAAAGTTTGCTCTAGGCACTGTCAGGCCATATGCTAATCAAGGTGGTCAGTTGAAACATTCACACCTAGCTCCAGCAGACAAGAGTCCTTTGTCCCACCCTGGTCATTCCACAGATATATAAACCCCTTTTTCCTAATTCCAACAGACCTCACTACCTCTGAGGATGCTTGCCATGGATGCAGGCGAAACATCAGGAGAAAATGCCTCTAGAACATGGCCATATAGCCCGAAAAAACCTACAACCCAAAGTTGTTGTTGTTGTTGTTGTTGTTGTTATTATTATATTATTATTATTATTATCTTGCTTCCAGTGTCATCAGTTGGGAGCCCCCCCTCCCCCCGCTCCAGCACCAACCCCTACTCTGAGTTCAGAGTGGCCAGGAAGGCAGTTCCATCTTGTCTTCTGCACTGTGATTATAATATAATATAATCTATATATATAAATCTGTTAGGTTGGTTCAACGGGACAGCAAAACTCTAAAAAAAACCAACGAAACTTAACCAAAATTCCCATGCCCATAACACAACCCACAAGGTACAAACATATCTACTCAAAATGAAAAACAACACAACAACACACTCACAAAACGGCAAAACAACAAAACTCAAAAAAAACCAACGAAACTTAACCAAAATTCCCATGCCCATAACACAACCCACAAGGTACAAACACACGCAACCCCACGCACACACACACACACAACCACACGCTCCATCACTCCCCCGCCGCCGCACACACACACGCAACCCCACTCCCCCCGCTGCTGCACACACACACGCAACCCCACGCTCCATCATTCCCCCCGCCGCCGCACACACACATGCAACCCCACGCTCCATCACCCCCCCGCCGCCGCACACACACACGCAACCCCACGCTCCATCACTCCCCGCCACCGCACACACACACGCAACCCCACGCTCCATCACTCCCCCGCTGCCGCACACACACACACAACCCCACTCCCCCCACCGCCACACACACACGCAACCCCACGCTCCATCACTTCCCCGCCACCGCACACACACACGCACACCCCCCTGCCGCACACACACACACAACCCCACACTCCATCACTCCCCCCGCCGCCGCACACACACACGCAACCCCACTCCCCCTGCCGCCGCACACACACACGCAACCCCACGCTCCATCACTCCCCCCGCCGCCGCACACACACACGCAACCCCACGCTCCATCACTCCCCCCGCCGCCGCACACACACACGCAACCCCACGCTCCATCACTCCCCCGCCGCCGCACACACACACGCAACCCCACGCTCCATCACTCCCCTGCCCCAATCTTACCTCCTTTTACTTCACGCCACCTCCAAACCCCACCCCCCCTTCCCGCCCTGTCAAAATCCAGGAAAGACAGGAAGGAAGGAAAGAAGGAAGAAAGAGAAAGGGAGGTAAAGAAAAAGGGGGAAGGAAGGAAAGTTAGAGAAAGAAGGAAGAAGAAAAGGAAAGAAAAGGAAAGATGGAAGGAAATAAAAGAGAGACAGCAGAAGAGAAAGAAAAGGGGGAAAGGAAGGAAAGAGGTAGAGAAGGAAGAAATGAGAGACAAAGGGAGGGAAAGAAAAAGAGGGAAGGAAGGAAGGAGAGAAGAAAAAAGGGAATGAAGGAAGGAAGGAAAGAGGGAGTGAAGGAAGGGGAAGATGTAGAGAAAGAGGGAGGGAAGGAAAGAAGGAAAGAGAGAAGGAAGAAAAGAGACCAGAAGAGAAAGAAAAAGGGGGAAGGAAGGAAAGAGATAGAGAAGGAAGAGAAGGAAAGATGGGAGGGAAGGAAGGAAGGAGGGAAAGAAGGAGAGAAAGAGGGAAAGTTGGCCACAGCAACGCGTGGCGGGTAAAGGTTGTTATTTCTATTATTATTATTATGCTATTATTCCTATGAGACCCTTTTAGGGGGAATGGGAGAGGTGTCAGGTCCCAGAGGCAATGCATTGCATTATTGTTATTGTTATGATGGTGGTGAAATAAAAGGAAATAAAAAGTGAAAGAAGGAAGCAAACAGGGAGGGAAGAAAGGCAAAGGGAAGAAAGGGGGAGGGAATGAAGGAAAGAGAGAAGGATGAAACCAAGTAGTGAAAGAAGGAAAGAAAGAAAGAGGTAGAGAAGGAAGAAAGGAGAGAAAGGGGGAGGAAAAGGGGGAAGGAATAGGTAGGTACCTCTCTTTCATAATAGTCCAGATATCTACCTTAACTTTGATAAGTTTTACTATAGGCCACAGCAATGCGTGGCAGGGCACAGCTAGTATATTGTATATACTTATAATATTGATAATATTATAATGTAATACAATATACTACTACTAACAATAAAATGATATTATAATTATATATTTTATATTAAATGTAATATTACTAATAATATTACAGTACAATGTTATAGTACAATGTAATATATAATATTAATATTGTGCTATGGTAATAATATAATATATTGTATTTACTTTTTACTTGTAAGCCTCTCTGAGTCTCCTTCGGGGTGAGAAGGGCGGCATATAAATGTTGTAAATAAATAATGTGATTGCTGTTGCGTGTTTTTGGTCTAAAATTATTTCACCGCTTGTGCTCCCTCTTTTTAAAAAATTTTTTAGATCCCGCTTTATCTCTTCCCAACTGATGATACTTGGGGAGATGGTAGCGGGGTATAAATAAAGTATTATTATTATTATTATTATTATTATTATTATTATTATTATTATTATTTTGCCCCCAGTATCATCAGTTGGGAGCAACCCCTCCTCCAGCACCAACCGCTGCTCTGAGATCAGAGTGAAGAGAGGGGCCAGGAAGGCAGTTCCATCTTGTCTTCTGCACTATGCTTATAATATAATACAATAGAATAGAATATTATTGTATATACATATAATATTGATAATGTTATAATGTAATACAACATACTAATAATAATAATAATAAAATGATATTATAATTATATATTTTATATTAAATGTAACATTACTAATAATATTACAGTATAATGTTATAGTACAATATAATATATAATATTAATGTTGTGCTATGACAATGGAGCCCCCGGTGGCACAGTGGGTTAAACCCCTGTGCCGGCAGGACTGATGATCGACAGATCGCAGGTACGAATCCGGGGAGAGGCGGATGAGCTCCCTCTATCAACTCCAGCTCCTCATGCGGGGACATGAGAGAAGCCTCCCACAAGGATGATAAAAAACATCAAATCATCCTGAGTAACAAGGCGTCCCCTGGGCAACGTCCTTGGACGGCCAATTCTCTCACACCAGAAGCGACTTGCAGTTTCTCAAGTCACTCCTGACACAACAAAAAAAAATGACAATAATAATATATTGTATTTACTTTTGACTTGTAAGCTGCTCTGAGTCCACTTCGGGGCAAGAAGGGCGGCATAGAAATGCTGTCAATAAATAAATAAATAAATTGGCCACCTTGATTAGCATTTAATGGCCTTGTAGCTTAAAAACCTGGAAACTAGGAAAATAGGGTTTATATATCTGTTGAATAACAGATAGTCACATCTATTTGAAGTAGATGTGACTGTTTCCATTGGCCACCTTGATGAACATTTAATGGCCTGGCCGTTTCAGGTGTGGCGTTGAGGGGTGATTAGCTGTCCCTGATTGTTTCTTGTCTGGAGTTCCCCAATTTTTTCAAATAACCCTGACAATGTTGGGGACCCAAGCTACTTAAGAAATAAGGAATACCTCCAACTTTCCTCGGAGAAATACTCAGACTTTGCACAATGCATACCTTCGCTTCTAGGTAGATGCGGGTCGAAGGCGAGCCACGGGCCACAAGACACAGGCAAAGGGCAAGCGAGACAGCCCCGAGGACAAAGAGGGAGTCGCTGATGAGCACGCGCGCCAGGACCACGGCCCAAGTCTCAGCTCGGCGAGCTCGTACCAACATAGCGCACGCCACATTCACCGCCAGGAAGAGGATGCTGGCACCCAGGCATGCTCCTCGCACTATCAATCTAAGGAAGGAAAAGATAGTTATTTGTTTTTACTGTATGTTTGTTTAAGGTTGTTTATGTCATTCTTAGTATGCCAACCAAATTCGATATGGTTGTTGAGACAGTTTTAACTAGAGGATTTTAACGTCAAGATATGTGATTTTAATGCTTTTGTATGTGTATGGTCCAGTATGTTTTGGCATTGAATGTTTGCCATTTATATGTTTTGTTCCGCCCTGAGTCCCCTTCAAGGTGAGAAGAGCGGAATATACTGTATATACTCGAGTATAAGCCTTTTTTTAAGGCTGAAAAATCTCCCCCTTGGCTTATACTCAACTCAGGGTTTATTATTATTATTATTATTATTATTATTATTATTATTATTATTATTATTACATTTATAGGTTAACTTTATTATTTTTATTATTATTAGGTAGGTAAAGGTAGTCCCCTGACATTAAGTCCAGTCATGTCTGGCTCTGGGGTGTGGTGCTCATTTCCATTTCTAAGCCGAAGAGCCAGCGTTGTCCGTAGACGCCTCCAAGGTCATGTGGCCGGCATGACTGCGTGGAGCGCCGTTACCTTCCCGCCGGAGCGGTACCTATTGATCTACTCACATTTGCATGTTTTCGAACTGCTAGGTTGGCAGAAGCAAGGGCTGACAGCGGAAGCTCACGCCGCTCCCCGGAATCGAACCTGCAACCTTTCGATCAACAGGCTCAGCAGCTCAGTGCTTTAACCCACTGCACCACTGGGGGCTCCTTTATTATTATTACATTTATTATTATTACATTTATTATTTTACTCTATTATTATTGGAAGGATACATAAACACATAAATACATTGAAGAAGGTTAGTCAGAGTTGGACAGTCTTATCTTACAGTTTTATGTAAATATTAATAAACATTCAAGGTACTGATGCTTCAATTAATGTAATATTATTGGTATCTTTTTTTTATTTTGAAACTGACCCATAACTGCTGCATTTCTCATCCTCAGCTTATACTTGAGTCAATAAGTTTTCCCAGTTTTTTGTAGTAAAATCAGATGCCTCGGCTTATATTTGAGTCGGCTTATACTCGAGTATATATGGTAAATACTTTAAATAATAATAATAATAATAATAATAATCTATATAAATAAAAATATAATGTTCGTTTGTGGTATTCACAGAACTAAAAAACCCCAGTAACTACAACTTCCAAATGTCAAGGTCTATTTTCCCCAAACTCCATCTGTGTTCAATGTATTGTCGAAGGCTTTCATGGCTGGAATCACTAGGTTCTTGTGGGTTTTTTCGGGCTATAGGGCCATGTTCTAGAGGCATTTCTCCTGACGTTTCGCCTGCATCTATGGCAAGCATCCTCACTACCTCTGAGGATGCTTGCCATAGATGCAGGCGAAACGTCAGGAGAAATGCCTCTAGAACATGGCCCTATAGCCCGAAAACCCCCACAAGAATCCATCTGTGTTCCTAGTTTGGCATATGGAATATTCGTGCAAAGTTTGGTCCAGATCCATCATTGTTTGAGTCCACAGTGCTCTCTGGATGTAGGTAAACTACAACTCCAAAACTCAAGGTCAATGCCCACCAAACCCTTCTAGTATTTTTTGGTGGTCATGGGAGAACTGTGTGCCAAGTTTGGTTCAATTCCATTGTTGATGGAGTTCAGAATGCTCTTTGATTGTAGGTGAACTATAAATCCCAGCAACTACAACTCCCAAATGACAAAAATCAATATTTTTGAGTGAAGAACATACATTGTGTTGTTAGGTGTCTTGTGTTCAAATTTGGTGTCAATTCGTCCAGTGGTTTTTGAGTTCTGTTAATCCCACAAACGAACATTACATTTTTATTTATATAGACTGACAACTACTGTACAGTATATAAATGTTCTTTTTTTTTTTGTTCAGCAATAAATGTGAATTCTTCTTTATGGAAAAATAAGACATCCCTTGAAAATAAGACCTAGCGCACCTTTGGGAGCAAAAGTTAATATAAGACACTGTCTTATTTTCAGGGAAACAGTATTACCGCTCACAGGCATGCAGATACTCACAATCCTTTCGTCAGTTCAGGGCGGTATTTCGCTTTGGCCTTGAAAACCACCTGGAGTAGTCAAGAAAAGGGGAGAGATTAGTATTTGCAAAGGAATAGTCCGCAAACAAGATGATGTGTCATACCTTCACCTCTTAACATCACCTCAGAAGATGGCTTTGAAAGGCAGCAGATCACAGGAGCTGTCTTCATAGACCTGTCAGCAGCCTATGATACTGTGAACCACCGCCTCCTCCTGAGAAAAATGTAGAATATCACAAAGGACGACCACCTCACCCGCCTCATAGGAAACCTGCTACAAAACAGGAGCTTTTTTGTTGAGTTCCAGAGAAGCAGATGGCGGAAACAGAAGAACGGCCTGCCTCAGGGGAGCGTGCTTGCTCCATCCATGTTCAACATCTACACAGATGACCAGCCACTGCCAGAAGGGACAGAGAGTTTCATCTATGCTGATGATCGTGCCATCACTGCTGAAGAAGGGAGCTTTGAGATGGTAGAACAGAAGCTCTCCGAAGCTCTAGGTCAGTGGTTCTCAACCTTCCTAATGCTGTGACCCCTTAGTATAGTTCCTCACGTTGTGGTGACCCCCAACCATAACATTTTCATTGCTACTTCGTAACTGTAATTTTGCTACTGTTATGAATTGTAATGTAAATATCTAATATGCAGGATGTATTTTCAAATTCCAAATACCCAATATGCCCAAATTTGAATATTGGTGGGGTTGGGGGGGATTGATTTGGGAGCTGTAGTGGCTGGGATGTATAGTTCACCTACAATCAAAGAGCATTCTGAACACCACCAATGATGAAATTGAACCAAACTTAGCACATAGAACTCCCATGGCCAAGAGAAAATACTGGTAGAATTTGGTGGACATTGACCTTGAATTTTTGGAGTTGTAGTTCACCTACATCCAGACAGCACTGTGGACTCAAACAATGATGAATCTGGACCAAACTTGGCACGAATACTCAATATGCTGAAATGTGAACACTGGAGGAGTTTGAGAAAAATAGACCTTGGCATTTGGGAGTTGTAGTTGCTGGGATTTATAGTTCACCTACAATGAAATAACATTCTGAACCCCACCAACGATAGAATTGGACCAAACTTCCCACACGGAACCCATGACCAACAGAAAATACTATGTTTTCTGATGGTCTTTGGCGACCCCTCTGACAACCCCTCGCGACCCCCACAGGGGTCCCGACCCCCAGGTTGAGAAACACTGCTCTAGGTGCTCTTACTGCCTATTACAGGAAAAACCAGCTGATCCCTAATCCATCTAAAACACAGATATGTACTTTTCATCTCAAGAACAGACAAGCATCCCGAGCTCTGAGGACGACCTGGGAAGGAATCCTACTGGAGAATTGCAGCGCACCCAAATACCTGGGAGTCACTCTGGACCATGCTCTGGCCTACAAGAAGCACTGCCTGAACATCAAGCAAAAAGTAGGTGCTAGAAACAATATCATACGAAAGCTGACTGGCACAACCTGGGTATCACAACCAGATATAGTGAAGACATCTGCCCTTGCGCTATGCTCCTCTGCTGCAGAGTACGCATGCCCAGTGTGGAACACATCTCAAAAAGAGAGACAGATTATTTGCGGAGGAGGACTCATTCTAGTGGGGGTTGTGGAATCAGGGTTTCCCACGAGGGGGGGATGACACATATACTCCAATGACAAAAACGTTGAGGCTAAGCAATAGTATGAGATTGTATACCTACTCATCAAAGGCGCAGTGGAAGAGCCAGGTTTTAAGGTCCTTTTTAAAGGTTTCTAGAGTAGGGGCTTTCCTAATTTCTCCAAGTAGTGAGTTCCAGAGTCAGGGGGCGAAAGAAGGGCCTCCCTAGAAGAACGGAGGGCCCAAGTTGGTTCATGGAGGGAGATACGGTCACGAAGGTAGGCGGGTCCCAAACTGTTTAGGGCTTTATAAGTGATAACCTGCACCTTGAATTGGGACCAGAAAATAAACGACAGCCAGTGGAGCTCCTTAAACAGGGGGGTTGACCTCTCACTATAACTAGGCCCAGTTATCAATCTGGCTGCTGAACGTTGGACAAGTTGTAGTTTCCAGGCCGTCTTCAAGGGTAGCCCCATGTAGAGTGCATTACAGTAGTCCAGTCTAGAGGTAACTAAGGCATGGATTATAGAGAAGAGCTATAAGATGGAGATCTGTCTGAGGAAACCGTCCCATTGTTCTGCTCATCAGTAGGGAGACTATGGCTCAATCCTGAGTGCTCTGTTTAGATCTAGTCCCAACCAGAAAGACTCTGGTTTGCCTCACCACAAACACCCATAATCTCCATTAACTTTGACTTACTGGCAAAAGACCCACTACAGTTGAGAAATGCATCCCAAGTGACTCACTCTAGAAAAGTAAATCAGTAGCTAACTAACTCAAAAGACCTTTGGAGCTGCACTAAAAGATATGCAGATAGAGGCGCACATCTCTCTGGGTGAATTGGAGAGATATGGAGGAACTGGACAGATCAATGTGGCCAGAGTTTAAAATCTACAAAAGATAAGCTCTAGTTCCATTTAGCTGGCAGAGCCTGCATTCCTCCCTTTCCCAAGGTCAAAAATATGTGGATTCTAAGCCACTGGCACATACTTCTCAGTGACTTTGAGTGTGTCTACACCAGAACATGGGCAAACTTTCAAACTTGGGGGTCGCATGCTAGCACTCTGTGCTGCCTGGTGATAGAAGGAAGAAAAGGAGGAAGGAAAGTGAGAAGGAAGGAAAGACAAAAGGGAAGGAAGTAAGGAAGGAAAAAGAGGGAGAGAAGGAGGGAAGAGGGAAGGAAGGAAGGACAAAAGGGTGGAAGGAAAGGATGGAAGGGGAAAGAAGGAGGGAGGTAAGGAGGAAGGAAAGAGAGAAGGAAGGAAAGACAAATGGGAAGAGAGGAAGGATGAATGGGTGGAAGGGAAGAATGGAAGGAAGGAGAAAGAGGGAGGGAAGGGAGGGAGGGAGGAAAGGAAAGAGAGATGGAAGGAAGGGTGGAAGGGAAGGAAGAAAAAGAGAAAGAGGGAGGGAGGAAGGAGGGAGGGAGGAAGGAGGAAGGAAAAGGAAAAAAAAGAAAGAAGGAAGGAGGAAAGAGGGAAGAAGGGAGGAAGAGGGGGGGGGAGGGAGGGAGGGAGGGAGGGAGGGAGGGAGGGAGGGGAAGGAAGGAAGGAAGGAAGGAAGGAAGGAAGGAAAAGGGTGGAAGGAAGGATGGAAGGGGAAAGGAGGAGGGAGGTAAGGAGGAAGGAAAGAGAGAAGGAAGTAAAGACAAAAGGGAAGAAGGAAGGATGAATGGGTGGAAGGGAAGGATGGAAGGAAGGAGAGAAGAGGAAGGAAAGAAGAAGGAAGGTTGGGAGGAGAAAGAGGGAGGGAGGCAAGGAAGGGAGGGAGGGAAGGAAAGAGAGATGGAAGGAAGGATGAAAGGGTGGAAGGGAAGGAAGAATGAAAAGAGAAAGAGGGAGGGAAGGAAGGGAGGGAAGGAAGGAGGAAGGAAAGACAAAGAAAGGAAGTAAGGTGAGAGAAAGAGGGAGAGAAGGAGGAAAGAGGGAAGGAAGGAAGGACAAAAGGGTGGAAGGAAAGGATGGAAGGGGAAAGAAGGAGGGAGGTAAGGAGGAAGGAAAGAGAGAAGGAAGTAAAGACAAATGGGAAGAAAGGAAGGATGAATTGGTGGAAGGGAAGAATGGAAGTAAGGGAAGGAGGAAGAGAGAAAAGAGGGAGTAGAAAGAGGGGGCAAGGAAGGGAGGGATGGAAGGAAAGAGATGGAAGGAGGGATGAAAGGGTGGAAGGGAAGGAAGAATGAAAAGAGATAGAGGGAGGTAGGGAAGGAGGAAGAAAAGAGAGAAGGAGGAAGGAAAGAGAGAAGGAAGGAAAGACAAAAGGGAAGGAAAGGAAGGAGAAAGGGGGAAGGAAGGAAGGAGGAAAAGGGGGAAAAAGGAAAAAGGGGAAGGAAAGGAGGGAAGAAGAAAGGAAGGAGGAGAAGGAGAAGGAAGGAGAGAAGGAAAGACAAAAGGGAAGGAAGGAAGGATGAATGGGTGGAAGGGAAGTATGGACGGTAGGAAAGGAATGAGGAAGGAAAGAGACAAGGAAGGAAGGATAGGATGGTGTGAGAGAGGGGGGCCTGAGATGATGATTATGATAATAATAATAGTAACAAATAATTTAATAGTTAATAATAAATCATTATTTTTATTGGATACACAACAAAATTGGTACACAGCAAAAAAAGATCACTGTGCTGGCAGGTGGTCAGTGGTTTGCTCCTCTCCACATTTGCATGTCGTGGATTCCACTTTGTAGCTCTGTTTCTGAAGGTTGGCTCTGCATCTCATGGTGCCAGAGCGCAGTCTGTTCAGCGCCTTCCAAGTCGCCCAGTCCTCTGTGTGCCCAGGGGGTGTATCACGGGGTCTGTGCCCTACACCACTGGAGAAATTACACTGCTTAGCCGGTATTGCACCACCTGACATCCACCGGGAAGTAGCAGCCAATAGTGAAAGGACCAAGGCAGAGACATCTCCAGCTCATCCCCTGTTTGGGTATCAGCCAGCACGTCAAAGACTTAAATCTAGAAATAGTTTTCTAAGATCTACAGATTGTGCATGTGGCAGGGCTCAGGTTGCATTGCAGCAGGTGGTCAGTGGTTTGCTCCTCTCCACACTCGCATGTCGCGGATTCCACTTTCTGGCACCATGAGATGCAGAGCCAACCTTCAGAAATGGGGCTACAAAGTGGAATCCTCGACATGCGAGTGCGGAGAGGAGCAAACCACTGACCACCTGCTGCAATGCAACCTGAGCCCAGCCACATGCACCATGGAGGACCTTCTTGCAGCAACACCAGAAGCACTCCAAGTGGCCAGATACTTGTCAAAGGACCAAACTCACAAATTTTGTATTTTGTCTGTCTGTTTGCTTTGTTCTGTTAGAAATGTAATATAATATGACTGGTTGTCCTGACATGACAAATAAAATAAATTATTATATGTATTGTCGAAGGCTTTCATGGCTGGAATCACTAGGTTCTTGTGGGTTTTTTCGGGCTATAGGGCCATGTTCTAGAGGCATTTCTCCTGACGTTTTGCCTGCATCTATGGCAAGCATCCTCAGAGGTAGTGAGGATGCTTGCCATAGATGCAGGTGAAACGTCAGGAGAGAATGCCTCTAGAACATGGCCCTATAGCCCGAAAAAACCCACAAGAACCTACAAATTATTATTATTACGCAGAAGTTGTTTTCTGGGTTCCAAAGGAGCCTGCCGACTCACCTTGTCCTGACTCACCTGGGCAAAGTACAGGTTCATGAGGGTCAAGGTGAAGAACTGGAGGCAGACGGGGCAGCAGTAGAGGAGCCAGAAGAAGAAGGGGCTCAAGCGGTTGGCCTTGAGGGTGTTGCGGAAGTAGAAGGAGAAGAGGGTGGTGCGCAGGGCGGCCCAGAGCAGGCAGAGGAAGAGGAAGACCGTCTGGTAGCTGAGCTTCTTGTGCCGGTAGAAGAGCACCAGCCATAGCTGGGCGTAGACCGAGAGGAAGAGCGCGGCGTAGAGGGCCGTGTAGAGCGCCGTCAAGCCCACCTTCACGGCTGGCGGGAAGGCCGGTGTGAGGCGCGAGGCGGGCACCACAACCGTACTGAGGTTGCCCAGGGCCTTCTCCATTATCTCAGGAGGCATCCCAACGTGGTTAGAAGCCTGGGGGGCGGCACCACCACGCTCTCAAGATGGCGGAGCTGCCCCCCAACAAGCGGGAGAGTGGGTCACATCCTTAGGGCCGAGAGAGCCTTCTTCGGCGGAGGAACCGAAGGCCGCTTCCATGAGAAGGATGCCCTTGAGATGCCCTCACTTTGGGAGGAGAAAGAAGAAGAAGAAGCCCTTCCCCAAAGACTGCTACTTCACTTAGGCCTCAATTCAGACCTGCCCTCAATTTGGGAATCTCCCCCAAGAAAGAAGGTGCTCCCCTCAAGGCTTGACACTTGCCCCAGGTGTTTCACAGCCTCACTTCCTGTCAAACACCTGCTTCCCTTTAACCCTCAGGTATCTACAACTCCTTTTCCCTCCATTTCCAAAGCCTCTTGCCACAATGGCAGCCTGAGTGGGCCCACTTCCTGTCAAACACCTCCCTCAGGTACCTACAGCCCTATTCCTTCCCCCACCGGAAGCCCAGCTCGTAAAGAGTCCCCCTTTCCCCCACTTCCGGTCCAGATTTAGGAGCCCCCCTCTGCCTGTGCCTCAGCCTGGTTCCCAAGGCACCTGCTTCCCTGCCCGGGTCTGCGCCAAGTGCGTAAGGCCCGCCCCCTTTAAGTAGGCGGCGCTTTGTTACGTCAAGGGCGTAAACGGCGTCGTGAATGCAGCGGAGTGCGGAAGGCTGTCCTTAGAGTGGCCCCGCTCTTTCCGGGCGCCATCTTGAGTGTGGCTCCTTGAGCAAGAGATAGGTCGACTCTACACTCTTTCCGGGCGCCATCTTGAGTGTGGCCCAGATGGCTCAATTAGCAACGTCGACCCTACTCCTGCTTGTTTGCACGGTGGGCCTATATAAGGCAGGCTGGATGGCATTGAACGCCACTATAGGGGTCTCCATATATATTATATGTGGCCAGTATCCACTATATTACATTATATTATAGGATAGGCCCATATAATGCAATCTGAAATACATTAAGCCCCATTATATGGATCTCTGTATATATTATGTGTAGTCAGCGCCATATATATATGATATAATCAGTGCCATATATATATATATATATATATATATATATATATATATATACATACACACACACATACACTATAGGGCCAGGGTAGATGCATATAATGCAATCTGGAATGCACTGAGCTCCATTATATGGATCTACATATATATTATATATAATCAGTGCCATATATATATATATATATATATATATATATATATATACACACACATAGGAGTTAAGTTGAATGGGCCTTAAGAAGCATTGCTAACAACAAGGCAGCAGGAGACGACGGGATCCCAGCTGAACTGTTAAAAATCTTAAAAGATGATGCTGTCAAGGTGATGCATGCCATATGCCAGCAAATATGGAAAACACAAGAATGGCCATCAGACTGGAAAAAATCAACTTATATCCCCATACCAAAAAAGGGAAATGCGAAAGACTGCTCAAACTTCCGTACAGCGGCCCTTATTTCACATGCCAGTAAGGTAATGCTCAAGATCCTGCAAGGAAGACTCCAGCAATACATGGAGAGAGAGTTGCCAGATGTTCAAGCTGGGTTTAGAAAAGGCAGAGGAACGAGAGACCAAATTGCCAATATCCGCTGGATAATGGAGAAAGGCAGGGAGTTTCAGAAAAACATCTACTTCTGCTTCATTGACTATTCTAAAGCCTTTGACTGTGTGGATCATAATAAATTGTGGCAAGTTCTTAGTGGGATGGGCATCCCAAGCCCCCTTCCCTTTCTCCTGAGGAATCTGTACAAGGACCAAGTAGCAACAGTCAGAACTGACCACGGAACAACAGACTGGTTCAAGATTGGGAAAGGCGTACGGCAAGGCTGCATCCTCTCACCCAACCTTTTTAACTTGTATGCGGAACACATCATGCGATGTGCGGGGCTGGATGAATGCAAAGCTGGGGTGAAAATTGCTGGAAGAAACATTAACAACCTCAGATATGCAGATGACACCACTCTGATGGCCGAAAGCGAGAAGGAGCTGAGGAGCCTTCTAATCAAGGTGAAAGAAGAAAGCGCAAAAGCCGGGTTGCAGCTAAACGTCAAAAAAACCAAGATTATGGCAACAAGAATGATTGACAACTGGAAAATAGAGGGAGAAACCGTGGAGGCCCTGACAGACTTTGTATTTCTAGGTGCAAAGATTACTGCAGATGCAGACTGTAGCCAGGAAATCAGAAGACGCTTACTTCTTGGGAGGAGAGCAATTGACCAATCTCGATAAAATAGTGAAGAGTAGAGACATTACACTGGCAACAAAGATCCGCATAATCAAAGCAATGGTATTCCCTGTAGTAACCTACGGATGTGAGAGCTGGACCTTAGGAAGGCTGAGCGAAGGAAGATAGATGCTTTTGAATTGTGGTGTTGGAGGAAAGTTCTGAGAGTGCTTGGACTGCGAGAAGATCCAACCAGTCCATCCTCCAGGAAATAAAGCCCTGACTGCTCATTGGAGGGAAGGATACTAGAGACAAAGTTGAAGTACTTTGGCCACATCATGAGGAGACAGGAAAGCCTAGAGAAGACAATTATGCTGGGGCAAGTGGAAGGCAAAAGGAAGAGGGGCCGACCAAGGGCAAGATGGATGGATGGCATCCTTGAAGTGACTGGACTGACCTTGAAGGAGCTGGGGGTGGTGACGGCCGACAGGGAGCTCTGGCGTAGGCTGGTCCATGAGGTCACGAAGAGTCGGAGACGACTGAACGAATAAACAACAACAACAAATATATAATATGATATTATAATCAGTGCCATATATATATATATATATATATATATATATATATATTGCCATATATTGCCATATATTGCCATATATTGCCATATATTGAAATTGAATCCAGACAAGACAGAGGTGTGCGCCAACTGCGACCGTACCTTGGGAAGTCTGACTTAGTCACGGTAGTCCACGCTCTGGTTACATCCCGCCTTGATTACTGCAACGCTCTCTACGTGGGGTTGCCTTTGAAGACAGCCCGGAAGCTCCAATAGTCCAACGGGCGGCAGCCATGATACTAACAGGAGCGGGGCGCAGGGAGCACACAACTCCCTGCTGCACCAGCTCCACTGGCTGCCGATATGCTACCGGGCTCAATTCAAAGTGCTGGCGTTGGCCTTTAAAGCCCTAAACGGTTCTGGCCCAACTTATCTATCCGAACGTATCTCAGCCTATCAGCCCACCAGGACCCTAAGATCTTCTGGAGAGTCCCTGCTCTCTATCCCGCCAGCTTCACAAGTGCGGCTGGCGGGAACGAGAGACAGGGCGTTTTCTGTGGTGGCCCCTCGGCTTTGGAACACCCTCCCTATAGAGGTACGTTCAGCCTCCTCGCTGATGGTGTTTCGGAAGAGATTGAAAACATGGTTGTTTAAACAGGCATTTGGTTAATCCGTTGCAATCGAATTTTGATGACTAAAGGACTGGTAACCATGGACGACGAATCTTGGATTGTGATTTTAATTACGAGATGCATGGGATGATTATTGGTGGCCCAATAATTTGTATTGTATATGTGTTGTATGTTTCAAATTGAATATTGTTTTTAAATGTTGTAAACCGCAATGAGTCGCCGACTTAGGCTGAGATATTAGCGGTATACAAGCCTATAAATAAAATAAATTATATATATATATATATATATATATATATATATATATATATATACATACATACATACATATACTATAGGGCCAGGTTAGATGCATATAATGCAATCTGGAATGCACTGAGCTCCATTATATGGATCTACATATATATTATATATAATCAGTGCCATATATATATATATATATACTATATATATATTATATGATCAGTGCCATATATATATATATATATATATATATATATACACATACACATACATACATACATACTATAGGGCCAGGTTAGATGCATATAATGCAATCTGGAATGCACTGAGCTCCATTATATGGATCTACATATATATTATATATGATCAGTGCCATATATATATACTATAGGGCCAGGGTAGATGCATGTAATGCAGTCTGGAATACATAGAGCCCCCATTACATGGGTCTCCATATATATTATATATGACAGTGCCATTTAGATATGTTATGGGGCTAGGGTAGACCCATATAATGCAATCTGGAATGCAGTGAGCTCCATTATATGAATCTACATGTATATATATAATAGGGTCATTGTAGGCCCATATAATGCAATCAGGAATGCACTGAGCTTCATTACATGGGTCTCCATATATATGATATATGACAGAGCCGTTTAGATATGTTATGAGGCCAGAGTAGACCCATATAATCCAGTCTGGACTGTATTGACCTCCATTACATAAGTCTCCATATATATTATATATGGCCAGTGCCATCTATCTATCTATCTATCTATCTATCTATCTATCTATCTATCTATCTATCTATAAAAATAATAGGGTCATGGTAGACCCATATAATGCAATCTGGACTGCATTGGCTTCCATTACACGGGTCTCCATATATATTATATATGGCCAATGCTATATCTATATATGGCCAATGCTATATCTATATCTATAATATCTATATAGGGCCAGGGCAGATGCATATAATGCAATCTGGAATACACTGAGCTCCATTATATGGATCTACATATATATTATATATGGTCAGTGCCATGTATATATTATAGGGCCAGGATAGACGCATATAATGTAGTCTGGAATACACTGAGCTCCATTATATGGATTTGCATATATATTATATATAATATATGGTCAGTGTTTTATATATATGTTATAGGGCCAGGGTAGATGCATGTAATGCAGCCTGGAATGCACTGAGCTCCATTATATGGATCTGCATATATATTATATATAATATATGGTCAGTGTTATATATATATATTATAGGGCCAGGTTAGATGCATATAATGTAATCTGGAATGCACTGAGCTCAATTATATGGATCTACATATATATTATAAATGATCAGTGCCATATATATATATATTATAGGGCCAGGGTAGATGCATATAATGCAATCTGGAATGCACTGAGCTCCATTATATGGATTTGCATGTATATTATATATGGTCAGTGCCATATATATATATTATAAGGCCAGGTTGGATGCATATAATGCAATCTGGAATGCACTGAGCTCCATTATATGGATCTACATATATATTATATATTATCAGTGCCATATATATATACTATACATATATTATATGATCAGTGCCATAAATATATACACTATAGGGCCAGGTTAGATGCATATAATGCAATCTGGAATGCACTCAGCTCCATTATATCGATTTGCATATATATTATATATGATCAGTGCCATGTATATATATACTATAGGGTCAGGGTAGATGCATGTAATGCAGTCTGGAGTACATAGAGCCCTGTTACATGGATCTACATATATATGTGGCCAGTGCCGGATATATAATATTATATACAATATAATATTATATATTTTTATATTATATAATTTTATATAATATTATATTGGATATATATTATATTATATTGCAATTATATTATATTGCAGTTATATAATATAATATTGCAATTATATTATATTGCAATTATATAATATAATATAATATTGCAATTATATTATATTATATTATATTGCACTTATATTATATTATATTGCAATTATATAATATAATATAATATTGCAATTATATTATATTATATTATATTACAATTATATTATATTATATTGCAATATTATATTATATATTATATATTATATTATATTATATTATATTATATTATATTATATTATATTATATTATATTATATTATATTATATTATATTATATTATATTATATTATTATATTATATTTATTATATTATATTATATTATATTATAGGGCCAGTGTACGCCCATATACTGCAGTTAGTTTGAACAGCATTGATTCTACAGTGCAAACCTATCCCTAGATCTGGATGGCTTGCTGCACAGGTTTAGGTCACGTGCTCCCAGATTGTGTTCCCGGGCAGAGCGCTCCGGAAATAGCCAATGGCGAGCCACCCCGGCGCGGAAGGTAGCCAATAGGAAACGCCGGGGGCGGGGCTTCGGGAATAAAAAATTACAAAGGTGGGCGGGGCCTGCCTTGCAGCGGGAGTCCCCGCCCCTTAGCCGTGACGTCGAGAGATGTGATTGGACGCAGGGAGTGGCAATCCTCCATCGCCTGGGCGACAGTGGCAGGGAAGAGCCAGGCTGTAAACACGAGTCGTGTAGAGAGAGTGAGGCAGCTCTGCTTGAGGTAAGGAGGATCGGGGCCTGGAAGGGAGGCAGGATTATCATTATTATTATTATTATTAGGCCTTGGCCCTAATAATAATAATAATATGCTGGAATAGATGGATTTGGAGCCTGGAAGGGAGGAAGGAGCAGGACATCAACAATGGCTGCACCAGGAAATGCCTCTGATCAGTCAGAAAGGAAGCCCAGGCTGGGATGGCATGGGAAGCACACTCTCCAATCACTGCCTGGGAGTGTGAGGGAGGTTTTGAAGCAGAGTCTGGCTGGCTATCTGTTGGGAGGGCTTTGATGGTGTCTTCCTGTGGCAGAATGGGGTTGGACTGGATGGAAGTGGGAGGGAGGTTTTGAAGCAGAATCTGGCTGGCTATCTGTTGGGAGGGCTTTGATGGTGTCTTCCCATGGCAGAATGGGGTTGGACTGGATGGCCCACTACTCACCTCTATATATGCTGATGAGCTAGGCCTAATAACACAAGCAGAAGACTTTGGAACAATTAGGGACAGGTAATCATCTCCCAACAAAGGATTCTCCCAGGCTGTAAGAAGCCACACCTTGAAACTGCGAGGCCATTAAATGCTAATCAATGGCCAATTGAAACATTCACGCCTACCTCCAACAGACAAGAGTTCTTTATCCCACCCTGGACATTATAAACCCCACTTTCCCAGTTTCCAAGTGCCATTTAACACCTCCCAACAAAGGATTCCCCCAGGCAAGCTTTCAGTGCTAATCAAGGTGGCCAAAGGAAACATTCATGTCTAGCTCCAACAAACAAGAGTTCTTTGTCCCACTCAGGACATTATTCCATAGGAATATAAACCCTACTTGCCTAGTTTCCAAGTGCCAGTTAACACCTCCCAACAAAGGATTCCCCCAGGCAGGCTTTGAAGCTGCAAGGCCATTCAATGCTAATCAAGGTGGCCAATTGAAACATTCACGCCGACTTCCAACAGGCAAGTTTTTTCTCCCACCCTGGACATTATAAACCCCACTTTCCCAGTTTCCAAGTGCCATTTAACACCTCCCAACAAAGGATTCCCCCAGGCAGTCTTTGAAGCTGCAAGGCCATTCAATGCCAATCAAGGTGGCCAACTGAAACATTCACGCCTACCTACAACAGACAAGAGTTCTTTCTCCCACCCTGGACATTATCAACCCCACTTGCCTAACACCTCCCAACAAAGGATTCCCCCATGCAGACTTTGAAGCTGCAAGGCCATTCAATGCTAATCAAGGTGGCCTAACTCCAACAGACACCTCCCAACAAAGGATTCCCCCAGGCAGTAAGAAGCCACACCTTGAAACTGCTAGGCCATTCAATGCTAATCAAGGTGGCCAATTAACTCCAACAAACAAGAGTTCTTTCTCCCAACCTGGACATTATAAACCCTATTTGCCTAGTTTCCAAATGCCAGCTAACACCTCCCAACAAAGGATTCCCCCAGGCAGGCTTTGAAGCTGCAAGGCCATTCAGTGCTAATCAAGGTGTCCACTTGAAACATTCACACCAACCTACAAGAGACAAGAGTTCTTTCTCCCACCCTGGACATTATCAACCCCACTTGCCTAACACCTCCCAACAAAGGATTCCCTCAGGCAGTAAGAAGCCACACCTTGAAACTGCTAGGCCATTCAATGCTGATCAAGGTGGCCAACTGAAACATTCACGCCTACCTCCAACAGACAAGAGGTCTTTCTCCCACCCTGAACCTTATAAACCCCACTTGCCTAACACCTCCCAACAAAGGATCCCCCAGGCAGGCTTTGAAGCTGCAAGGCCATTCAATGCTAATCAAGGTGGCCTAACTCCAACATACAAGAGTTCTTTCTCCCAACCTGGACATTATAAACCCTATTTGCCTAGTTTCCAAATGACAGCTAACACCTCCCAACAAAGGATTCCCCCAGGCAGTAAGAAGCCACACCTTGAAACTGCTAGGCCATTCAATGCTGATCAAGGTGGCCAACTGAAACATTCACGCCTACCTCCGACAGACAAGAGTTCTTTCTCCCACTCTGAACCTTATAAACCCCACTTGCCTAACACCTCCCAACAAAGGATTCCCCCAGGCAGGCTTTGAAGCTGCAAGGCCATTCAATGCTAATCAAGGTGGCCAATTGAAATGCTAATCAAGGTGGCCAATTGAAACATTCACACCTATCTCCAACAGACAAGAGTTCTTTCTCCCACCTTGGACATTATTCCACAGGTATATAAACCTTAGTATTACTATATTACAATATTTTTATTATATATTATTATATTGTATTTTATTATATATTATTATATATATTGTATTTTATTATATATTATTATATTGTATTTTATTATATATTATTATATTGTATTTTATCCGTTTTATACTTATGTATGCTATGCTTTTGACATGAAATAAAAAAATAAAACCAGCTCTATAATAATAATAATAATAATAATCTTTATTTACAACCATCTCCCCAAATGGGACTCGGGGCAGCTAAGATGAAGCCAAGCCCAAAAATCATACAACATAATTAAACACAAAACCGCAAAGGGAAAAAATCATAACAAAATATACGAAATATTTCTAGCTCATTTAATTTTGTACCTTTCCGCTCAAAAAGTATTCTCGACGCCTGAGAGGCAATTCCTGTCCCGACATGTTAGCAACCGGAGTGAGACCTGAATCATGGACTTCCTGGTTTGCAGATGAGCCCTTAGTCACTATTTCCACTCTTGTTTTGACCTTCTTCCTCCTTCCTCTGCAGACAAGCTCGCTGCCCTGCTTCCCGCTGGAGAGCGGCGGGTCGCGGGACGGGGGCCATGAGAGCCCCCTGACCATGTTCCAGATTGCGGAGTACCATGACGACGACGCTTTCCCGACTGCCGAGAAGGAGCCGCGGGATCCTAAGCTGACCTGGCGGGGATCCTCGGGAGAGGCCAAAGGCCCAGGCAGCCCAAACAGCGCTGAGAATCCAGGTAGGGCTCCAACAACAGTACTTAAACCGCTTTGAGTCCCCTTCGGGGTGAGAAAAGCGGTATACAAATACTGTAAATCTATATAAATAAAAATGTAATGTTCGTTTGTGCTACCATCAGAACTCAAAAACCACTGGGGGAATTGACACCAAATTTGGACACAAGACACCTAATAGTCCAATGTATGTCCTCCACTCAAAAAAATTGATTTTGTCATTTGGGAATGGTCGTTGCTGGGATTTCTAGTCTATATAAATAAAAAATGTAATGTTCGTTTGTGGTATCCACAGAACTCAAAAACCACTGGGACAATTGGCACCACATTTGGATACAAAACACCGAACAACCCAATGTATGTTCTCCACTCAAAAAAATTGATTTTGTCATTTGGGAATTGTAGTTGCTGGGATTTATAGTTTACCTACAATCAAAGAGCATTCTGAACTCCACCAATGATGGAATTGGGCCAAACTTCCCACAAAGAACCCCCATGCCTTGAAGGGACTCTCTGGCACAAGCCTCCCTCCAGCGACCCCCCTAGAGCTCACGACCCCCAGGTTGAGACCCACACAGACCAGGAAGGTCAGTTGTTAGACAGGAGACCCCAATTCACGTTTCTCCATAGTGGAATTATTTGAATCTTCACTCCAGAAGGCAACTGGATAGGATGGGTGGCTGTGATGACGTACAGTCGGCTACCCTGACGTTGTCCTATCCAGACGCCGATGGAGGAAGGGCTCCCATGACCAACAGAAAAAAACTAGAAGGGTTTGGTGGACATTGACCTTGAGTTTGGGAATTATAGTTCACCCACATCCAGAGAGCACTGTGGACTCAAACAATGATGGATCTTGACCAAACTCTACACGAATACTCAATATGCCCAAATGTGAACACTGGTGGAGTTTGGGGAAAATAGAATCTTGACATTTGGGAGTTGTAGTTGCTGGGATTTGTAGTTCACCTACAATCAAAGAACATTCTGAACCCCATCAACGATGGAATTGAACCAGCCTTGGCACACAGTTCTCCCATGACCAACAGATAATACTGGAAACGTTTGGTGGGCAGTGTCCTTTGGTTCTGGGGTTGTAGTTCACCTATATCCAAAGATCACCGTGGACTCAAACAATGATGGATCTGGACCAAACTCTACATGAATACTCAATATGTCCAAATGTGAACACTGGTGGAGTTTGGGGGAAATAAATTAAAACTTGTGTGCCAGCTGTGCCCATACCTTGGGAAGTCCGACTTTGCCATGGTGGTCCACACTCTCGTTACATCTAGGATAGACTACTGCAACGCACTATACGTGGGGCTGCCTTTGAAGACTGCTCAGAAGCTTCAAGTAGTCCCAACGAGAGACAGCCAGGTTAATAACTGGGGCGGCATGCAGGGAGCACACAACTCCCATGTTACGCCAGCTCCACTGGCTGCCAGTTTGCTACCGGGCACAATTCAAAGTGCTGGCTTTGGCCTATAAAGCCCTAAACGGCCCCGGCCCAATTTACTTATCCGAACACATCTCCCCCTATGAAGACAGAGGGGAGCAGAAGACATTTCCATCTTGTCTTCTGCCTATATCATCAGTTGGGAGGGCCCTCCCCCCTGTGGCACCAACTGCTGCTCTGGCCAGAATGAAGACAGAGGGGAGCAGAAGACAGTTCCATCTTGTCTTTACTAATAATATAATATAGTATATTGTATATACATATAATATTTATAATATTACTAGCTGTCCCTTGCCATGCGTTGCTGTGGCCCAGTCTGGTGATCTGGAAAATAAAGTAATGCTCTCTGATTGTAGGTGAACTATAAATCCCAATAAGTACAACTCCCAAATGTCAAGGTCTATTTTCCCCAAACTCCATCTGTGTCCATATTTGGGCATATGGAATATCTATGCCAAGTTTGGTCCAGATCCCTCATTTGAGTCTATAGTGCTCTCTGGATGTAGGTGAACTATGACTCCCAAACTCAAGGTCAATGCCCACCAAACCTTTCTAGTGTTTTCTGTTGGTCCTGGGAGTCCTGTATGCCACATTTGGTTCAATTCCATCATTGGTGGAGTTCGGAATGCTCTTTGATTGTAGGTGAACTATAAATCCCAGCAACTACAGCTCCCAAATGACAAAATCAATGTTTTTGAGTGAAGAACATACATTGGGTTGTTAGGTGTCTTGTGTCCAAATTTGTTGTCAATTCGTCCAGTGGTTTTTGAGTTATTAATCCCACAAATAAACATTACATTTTATTTATATAGATAATATAATACAATATAATACCAGTAATAATAATATAATATTATAATTACATATTTACATTACATGTAATATTACTAATAATATTACAATATAATGATATAGTGCAGTATAGTATTATATAATACTGATATTGTGTATGCTAATAATATAATATATTGTATAAAATATATTATATTATTAGCATAGTACAATATCAGTATTCTTTGGAAGCTTTTAAATAGAGGCTGGATGGCCATCTGTCAGGGGTGCTTTGAATGCAATATTCCTGTTTCTTGGCAGGGGATTGGACTGGATGGCCCATGAGGTCTCTTCCAATTCTATGATTCTGTGATTCTATACCTTGTAAGCTGTTCTGAGTCCCCTTCGGGGTGAGAAGGGCGGCATATAAATGCCATAAATAAATAAATATGAACCATCACGGAGATTAAGATCCTCCAGGGAGGCCCTGCTTTCCATACCGCCATTGTCACAGGCACGACTGGTGGGGATGAGAGACAGGGCCTTCTCGGTGATTGCCCCCTGGCTATGGAACTCCCTTCCCGGTGAGATCAGTTCGGCCCCTCCCTCCAGTCCTTCAGAAGGATGGTAAAAACTTATAAATAAAGCAGCAATAGATTACCAGGCTGATTAGATTTGACGCAGATGACCAGGACGGTTTCAAATGGTGTATTTTGATATTGAGATAAATGTTTTTAATCATAGAATCAAAAAGTTGGAAGAGACCTCACGGGCCATCCAGTCCAACCCCCTGTATATGTATGTGAATTTGTGTCCTGGCATTGAATGTTTGCCGTATATATGTTGTGCCGTATATATGTTGTGCTCCGCCCTTCGGGGTTGAGATGGGCAGAATATAAATGTTTTAAATAATAATAATAATAGGTTCTTGTGGGTTTTCTCGGGCTATAGGGCCATGTTCTAGAAGCATTTCTCCTGACATTTCGCCTGCATCTATGGCAAGCATCCTCAGAGGTAGTGAGGTCTGTTGGAATCAGGACAATGGGTTTATATATCTGTGGAATGGCTGGGGTGGGGCAAAGAGCTCTTCTCTGCTGGAGCTAGGTGTGAATGTTTCAACTGACCACCTTCATTAGCATTTGAAGGCCTGGCTGAGCCTGGGAAAATCCCCTGTTGAGAGGTGTTAAGATGTGCCTGGTTGTTTCCTCTCTGCTGTTTTGCTGTTGTAATTTTAGAACACAGAAATGCTGGACCACACCAACAACCACCATGTCAGACTACACAGAAAAGCCATTGAAATCCACTAGAAGCATGTGGACAATTTCAACAGAAAGGAAGAGACCATGAAAATGAACAAAATCTGGCTACCAGTATTAAAAAACTCTAAAATTACAACAGCAAAACAGCAGAGAGGAAACATCCAGGCACATCTTAACACCTCTCAACAGGGGATTTTCCCAGGCTCAGCCAGGCCTTCAAATGCTAATGAAGGTGGTCAGTTGAAACATTCACACCTGGCTCCAGCAGAGAAGAGCTCTTTGCCCCACCCCAGCCATTCCACAGATATTTTTTTGATTTAGGTGATCCCTCGCTTTCCGAGGATGATTGTCTTCCAATATTCTTGTGGGTCCGTATGTGGCTGTGGAGCCCTATTCTTGCTCTGCATCTTCTTCCGCAGTGAGGGCATTGGTTTCCAGGTGGAAGGCGGTCTCGGGGGTTGGCTTGATGCGCCTTCCTCTTGGCACGCTTCTCCCTTTCACCCTCCATTCGTGCCTCTTCAAATTCTGCAGCACTGCTGGTCACAGCTGACCTTCAGCTGGAGCGCTCAAGGGCCAGGGCTTCCCAGTTCTCAGTGTCTATGCCAGAGTTTTTAAGGTTGGCTTTGAGCCCATCTTTAAATCTCTTTTCCTGCCCACCAACATTCCGTTTTCCATTCTTGAGTTCGGAGTAGAGCAGCTGCTTTGGGAGAGGATGGTCGGGCATCTGACAACGTGGCCAGTCCAGAGGAGTTGATGGCGGAGGACCATTGCTTCAATGCTGGTGGTCTTTGCTTCTTCCAGCACGCTGACGTTTGTCCGCTTGTCTTCCCAAGATATTTGCAGGATTTTCCGGAGGCAGCGCTGATGGAATCGTTCCAGGAGTTGCATGTGACGTCTGTAGACAGTCCACGTTTCGCAGGCATAGAGCAGGGTTGGGAGGACAATAGCTTTATAAACAAGCACCTTGGTATCCCTACGGATGTCCCGGTCCTCAAACACTCTCTGCTTCATTCGGAAAAATGCTGCACTCGCAGAGCTCAGGCGGTGTTGTATTTCGGTGTCGATGTTGGCTTTGGTGAGAGGTGGCTGCCAAGGTAGCGGAAATGGTCAACATTTTCTAACGTTACACCATGGCTGTATCACTGGCATATAAACCCTTTTTCCTAGTTCCAACAGACCTCACTATTTATTTATTTATTTATTTATTTATTTACTCCTTTTGTATACCGCCTATATCAGCCAAAAAGGCGACTCTAAGCGGTTTACAGTAAAAATGTGCAACATTGAACAATATATAAGACAAACATAGACAGACAATACACATAACGTCATCAAGCCTCGAATAGAATCAGATCCAATCTCACAGTCGTTTTACCATTCCTTGTTCAGTATGCCGTCTATCTGAGTCAGATGTTATTGCATGCTTATCCGAACGCCTGTTCGAAGAGCCACGTCTTAACCCGCCTCCTAAACGCCAATAGCGAAGGGGCCTGTCTGATCTCCGCTGGTAGGGCATTCCATAGCCGAGGGGCCACCACCGAGAAGGCCCTGTCTCTCGTCCCCGCCAGCCGCACTTGTGATGCTGGCGGGACCGAGAGCAGGGCCTCCCCGGCCGATCTTAACATCCTCGCCGGTTCATAGGCGGAGATGCGTTCGGAGAGGTAAGTGGGGCCGGAACCGTGTAGGGCTTGCGATAGATGCAGGCGAAACGTCAGGAGAAATGCCTCTAGAACATGGCTCTATAGCCCGAAAAAACCCACAAGAACCTAGTGATTCCAGCCATGAAAGCCTTCGACAAAACAATAATAATAATAATTTATTATTATTATTTTAAATAAATAAATAAATAAATAAAATATTTGTGTTGTGTCTCCCTTCTCCTGCATCAGAGCTGCGGCGCCGTATAGGGTCGGATCCCCCTTTGCCCGACCCAGAGATCCCAGATGAGGTGGGCACTTTCCGGGCGCGCTCTCGCTCCGCCCCTCCCATCCTATGGGCCGCTCAGCGCTACGGGCGGGAGCTGCGCCGGATGAGCGACGAATTCCATGGCGCGCTGCAGGTGAGGCCCGAAGGCATGTCACGATGTCCTTTTTGGAAGGTGTGTTACTGGGAAGGCACACGCACACACCCACTATTTGTTGTCAAGCCAGTTCAGTTCATTTCACTTTAGGCACCCAGCAGTGCGGATTAATGCGTGCTAATGTCCACTGGTATGTGGTTGCATTCATAAAGCTTGCTGTATGGGAGTGAGGGTGTAACTTGGAAATAGCCCGAAGCTGTTCGCAGACAGCTGAATGACTGAATGGCAGCTGAACAGAAAATCAGATTCTCAAAATGGGCGGCTCTTGAACTCCTTCTCGGATAATAACAACAACAACAATGGAGGTATATTATATAATAATATACCAGAAATCAGAGGCAAATCAATGGACAACAAAAAAAATACAATATAGTGAAGCCAAGAGCCAGGGGAAACTATCTCTTTCTACAAGACTATGGTATTAACAAGATTTAAATTATAATATAATATAAATACATATAATATTTATAATATTATAATGCAATGCAATCTATTTAAATACAAATGTAATGTTCGTTTGTGGGATTAACAGAACTCAAAAACCAGTGGACAAATTGACACCAAATTTGGACAGCATACACCTAACAACCCAATGTATGTCCTTCACTCAAAATTTTTTGATTTTGTCATTTGGGAGTTGTAGTTGCTGGGATTTATAGTTCACCTACAATCAAAGAACATTCTGAACTCCATCAACGATGGAATTGAACTAAACTTGGCACACAGAACTCCCATGGCTAACAGAAAATACTGGAAGGGTTTGGTGGGCAGTGTCCTTTGGTTTTGGAGTTGTAGTTCACCTATATCCAAAGATCACTGTGGACTCAAACCATGATGGATCTGGACCAAACTCTACACGAATACTCAGTATGCCCAAATGTAAATACTGGTGGAGTTTGGAGAAAATAGAATCTTGACATTTGGGAGTTGTAGTTGCTGGGATTTATAGTTCACCTACAATCAAAGAGTATTCAGAACTCCATCAATGATGGAATTGAATTAAACTTGGCACACAGAACTCCCATGACCAACAGAAAATACTGGAAGGGTTTGGTGGGCATAGACCTTGAGTTTGGGAGTTGTGGTTCACCTACACCCAGAGAGCACTGAGGACTCAAACAAGGATGGATCTGGACCAAACTCGTCACAAAGACTCAATATGCCCAAATGTGAACACTGGTGGAGTTTGGGTAAAAGAGAATCTTGACATTTGGGAGTTGTAGTTGCTGGGATTTATAGTTCACCTACAATTACAGAGCATTCTGAACATCACCAACGATAGAATTGGGCCAAACCTCCCACACAGAACACCCATGTGGGCCACAGCAACGCGTGGCAGGGGACGGCTAGTATAATACTAATACTACTAATAATATGATATTATAATTATATATTTATATTACATGTAATATTACTAATAATATTACAATATAATATTATGAATGTGTATGAATGTGTGCGTGTGCATATGTATATGAGTATATGTGTGCATGTATATATGGTGTATTTTTTGGGTTTTTAAGTCTGTTTCGCTGGGGTTTTGTGTGTGTGTGTGTGTGTTTACGGGTGATGGACACTCATTGAACTGTTAGGTGTCTTCTGTCCTAATTTTGTGTCAATTCATCCAGTTTTTGAGTTCTGTTAATCCCACAAACAAACGTTACATTTTTATTTATATAGATTATTATTATTTTTCACCGGCATTGAAAGGCAACAGAAGATGCTTCCAATAAATAAATAAATGTTGTGTTTTCTTCTCTGTCTCTGTCTCTCTGTCTCTCTCTCTTTCTCCCAGAAGCTGCCGCGTCCCAAGAGCGCAGGGACCACTTCCCAAATGCACCAAACATCCGGCTGGAAGGCGACGCTGCAGTCCTGGTGGCAACGGAGCTCCTTGGGGAACACTCCCCCGAGAAGTCCTTCATGACAGCAGGGCTTCCGGCCTGCTTCCCCGTTACCTCTGGGCCCAAAGAGGAGCGCCTCTCTACGGTCCCAATGGCACCAGTTCCTCTCCTGAGCGATCCCCACGCATCCGGGACAGAGTCCATTCCATTCCTGGGACGCGGTTCGGCCCCGACATTCCCGGAAGGTCCACTATAATGTGACGAAGGCTGCCTCACATGATAGTGGATGATCCGACATCATTTTGTACATTTCCACGGGAACATACATGCCTTTCTACCTTGGTTCTCCACACTTTAGTGCCCAGTCCCTCCCGAGAACGCTGCCCTTCCTTTTCTCTCTAGAGCATCTTTCCCAAAGGAAAAACAAAAGGGAAGACAGAAACCATGCTGTATTAAGTTCGGATGTAAAAGTCCTTTATTATTTTGTGTTTTTTTTTCCTCTATGGAGAATTAAAATGAAATGTTGCTACTCCTTTGATTCACACCCCTGATCAATAACCTTCTTGTCTGGTTGGGTTGCGGGACTGAGAATCCTAAGAGTTGGGAGGGACCCCAAAGGCTATCCAGGCCAACCCCATTCCACCATGAGGAAAGCACCCCCAACAGATGACCTGCTAGATATTCCCAAATGGCACCTCACCATTGCCTATGCCGGTGTTTTTCAACCTGGGGGTCAAGACCCCTGGGGGGGGTTGCAAGGGGGGTTTCAGAGCGGTCACCAAATACCATATTTCTGATGGTTTGAGGAAGCCTTTTGGCATTGAAGGACGAAGATCTCTCTGCCTGTCCTTCTCTTCCTTTTTAGTGTTGGTGAACTACAACTTCCAGAATTCAAGAACAGCTCCCCAACCCCACCAGTATTCAGTGTTGGCCATCTAGGTAGTGTGCCAAGTTTGGTGCAAATACATTGTGGGCTAGATTCAGAGTGCTCTTGTGTAGGTGAACTATAAATCCCAGCAACTACAACTCCCAAATGTCAAGGTCTGTTTCCCCCAAACTCCATCTGTGTTCATATTTGGGCATATGGAGTATTCGTGCCAAGTTTGGTCAATATCCTTCATTGTTTGAGTCCACAGTGCTCTGTGGGTGTAGGTGAACTACAACTCCAAAACTCAAGATCAATGCCCACCAAACCCTTCCAGTATTTTCTGTTGATCATGTGGGTTCTGTGTGGGAAGTTTGGCCCAATTCTATCATTGGTGTGGCTCAGAATGCTCCTTGATTGTAGGTGGACTATAAATCCCAGCAACTACAACTCCCAAATGTCAAGGTCTATTTTCCCCAAACTCCACCAGTGTCCATATTTGGACAGATTGAGAAAACCCATATTTCTCATGGGCATAGGAACCCATTTGGCAGCAGAGGACGAAAATCTCTTCCTTTTTAGTGTTGGTGAACTACAACTCCCAAAATTCAAAAACAGCTCCCCCACCCCAACCCCATGTTGGCCATGTAGGTAGTGTTCCAAGTTTGGTGCAAATCCATTATGGGCTGGGTTCAGAGTGCTCTTTGATTGTAGGTGAACTATAAATCCCAGCAACGACAACTCCCAGATGTCAAGGTCTATTTTCCCCAACTCCACCAGTGTTTACATTTGGGCATTTTGAGTATTTGTGTCAAGTTTGGTCCAGATCCATCCTTGTCCGAGTCCACAGTGCTCTCTGGATGTAGGTGAACTACAACTCACAAACTCAAGGTCAATGCCCACCAAGATCATGGGAGTTCTGTGTGCCAAGTCTGGTTCAATTCCATCATTGAGGGAGTTCAAAATACTCTTTTATTATAAGTAAACTATAAATCCCAGTAACTACAACTCCCAAATGTCAAGGTCTATTTTCCCCAAACTCCATCAGTGTTCACATTTGGCCATATTGAGTATTTGTGCCAAGTTTGGGTCAGATCCATCCTTGTTTGAGTCCACACTGCTCTCTGGATGTAGGTGAACTACAACTCCTAAACTCAAGGTCAATGCCCACCAAACCCTTCCAGTGTTTTCTGTTGGTCATGGGTGTTCTGTGTGCCAAGTTTGGTTCAATTCCATCATTGGTGTAGTTCAGAATGCTCTTTGATCATAAGTAGACTATAAATCCCATCAACTACAACTCCCAAATGTCAAGGTCTATTTTCCCCAAACTCCACCAGTGTCCACATTTGGACAGATTGAGTATTCGTACCAGGTTTGAGCCAAATCCATCATTGTTTGAGTCCACAGTCCTCTCTGGATGTAGGTGAACTACAACTCCAAAACTCACGGCCAATGCTTACCAAATCCTGTGTGCCAAGTTTGGTTTGATTCCATTGTTGGTGGGGTTCACAATGCTCTTTGATTGCAGGTGAACTACAAATCCCGTCAACTACAACTCCCAAATGTCAAGGTCTATTTTCACCAAATTCCACCAGTGTTCACATTTGAGCATATTGAGTATTTGTGCCAAGTTTGATCCAGATCCATCATTGTTTGAGTATGGATGTAGATGAACTACAACTCTAAAACTCAAAGTCAATGCCCACCAAACACTCCCTGTATTTTCTGTTGGTCATGGGAGTCCTGTGTGCCAAGTTTGGTTCAATTCCATTGTTGGTGGGGTTCAGAATGCTCTTTGATTGTGGGTGAACTATAAATCCCACATTATCTGCTTTGAACTGGATTATATGGCAGTGTGGACTTGTGTAATCGAGTTCAAGGTAGATAATGTGGATTATGTGCTTTTCAACTGGATTATATTGTAGTGTAAAAGGTAAAGGTTTTCCCTTGACATGAAGTTCAGTCCTGTCCGACTCTGGGGGTGGTGCTCGTTTCCATTTCTAAGCCAAAGAGCCAGCGTTGTCCATAGACCCCTCCAAATTCATGTGGCCTGCATGGAACGCTGTTACCTTCCCGCAGGAGAGGTACCTACTGATCTACTCACATCTGCATGCTTGCATGTTTTCAAACTACTAGGTTGGCAGAAGCTGGCACTAACAGTGGAAGCTCACGCTGCACCCCAGATTCGAACCAGCGACGTTTCAATTAGCAAGATCAGCAGCTCAGCTGACGGGCACAACCTGGGGATCACAACCAGACACGGTGAAGACATCTGCCCTTGCGCTATGCTACGCTGCTGCTGAGTATGCATGCCCAGTGTGGAACACATCTCACCACGCTAAAACAGTGGATGTGGCTCTTAATGAGACATGCCGCATTATCACGGGGTGTCTGCGCCCCACACCACTGGAGAAATTACACTGCTTAGCCGGTATTGCACCACCTGACATCCACCGGGGAGTAGCAGCCAATAGTGAAAGGACCAAGGCAGTGACATCTCCAGCTCATCCCGTTTGGGTATCAGCCAGCACGTCAACGACTTAAATCAAGACATAGTTTTCTAAGACACTCGCTGAAACACCTCAGCAAGCGAGAGTCCAAAAGTGGCAGGCTCAAACCCAGAACCTCTTCTCAAATCCTCCAACTCCTCCCTCCTGTCTCAATCTTTTTTTTTTTTACTTTCATAAAAGTTTATTCACACTTACGGAATCTCATTCCCATCCATCTCTTCCCCTACCCTTCTCCTGAACGTTTGCACTTCTTCCTCTTGCCCCTAAGCCACACCACTGGGATCCCAGCAGTAATGTTTCCCACAATCCATCGCATTGAGTTCCTCCATATCCGCCTGGCTGAGCTCCCAAGTCCAGAGCTGAGCATTTTCGGCTACACGACTCGGGGAGGCCGACTTGGGGATGACGCTCACCCCTTGCTGCAGAGCCCAGCGTAACAAGACCTGCGAGGGCTGGCGACCGTGGCGCATGGCCACCTTGGCTACCTCTGGCCGACCCACCAAGTGCCCCGCGCCCAGCGAGGAATAGGCTTGGAGGTGGATACCCTCTCGACGACAGAAGCTTAGCAATGGTGACTGCGCCAATTCCGGGTGGAACTCCACTTGGAGAACGGATGGACGCACCCGGCACTCGGCCAGCAGTTCCTCGAGATGCCGAATGGTATAATTCGAGACTCCAATGGCCCGCAGCTTCCCGCCGCTGTGCAGCTTCTCCAGCGCCCTCCAGCTCCGCAGCCTCCGCTCTCGATTCCCCGCATCGTCTTGAGGCCGGCCTTGAGTTCCCGGCCAGTGCACCAAGTACAGGTCCAGGTAGTCGCAGCCCAGTTCCTTCAAGCTGCGGAGACAGGCGGCTTCGGCCTGTTCCTCCCCGTGGTCCTTCGGGCTCAACTTGCTAGTAAGGAAGATATCTGCGCGGCTGAGTCCGTGCCGAGGCAGCAACGTGTTAAGCGCGGAGCCTATCGCGGCTTCGTTGCCGTAGACGGCAGCTGTATCCACCAAACGGTAGCCGTTCTCCAGAGCGGCCTCCAGGCTGAGGCGCACCGTCTCGTCGCCCCGAAGACAGAAGGTCCCCAAGCCCAGCAGCGGCATCGGCACCCCGGCATTCAGCCACACGGTTCGGTCTGGCACCCTGAGAGCAGGCAGAAGGAGGTCACAACACGATGTCAACAACATTTGAAAAAAATCTGTTCCTGGTTCAAAAGTGTGATTTCCTGTTTAATTGTGCAGTTCTGACTTCGAAAATAGTTGTTCTACTCCAGAAACTTTGTTTTTCTGGCTGCCACAAACTAGATTGGGTTGGTTGAGACTCGGTGAGAGATTCATTGAAGAACTAGGGCAAAATGTGCGACGGGATGTCCCGTCAAAACAAAGTTTTTGCAGTTTAATCAACTTTTTCTTTGTTCTTATGCTAGAACCAATTAGGAAATGACATTGATAACCCAGGAACAAAAATCATGTTACATAGTATAATGTATTATTATTATTATTATTATTATTATTATTATTATTGACAGAAAAGCACGATATGTCACAGCAAACGAGATCTATATGCTGGATTTCGTTTCACAAAATCACAAGTCGAACACTTCCCAAGCATCTAGGACTGTGTGATTTATTATTATTATTATTATTATTATTATTATTATTATTATTATTATTATTATTATTATTATTCAAGTTCTAGCTACCAAGGACTGCTGCCTGCCTACTTTTTCTCCCATTTCTCTTTCTTTCCTTCCTTACCTCATACATATACATATATATCGCCTTTCTTTCCCAGGGACAATACCGAGGGCCACTTCCCCCTAACATCAGTTGGTCCAGTGTCATCAAAGGGCCACTTCACCTAGCAACAGCCAATAAAATGACCACAGAGGGCCACCTTACCCTAACATCAGCCAGTCCAGTGACCGGCACTTCACCCTAACATCAGCTGCTCCAGTGACACCACACAGGGCCACTTCACCCTAGGAACAGCCAATCCAGTGACACCAGAGGGCCATCTAGCAACAGCCGACTAAGTGACACCACACAGGGCCACTTCACCCTAACATCAGCTGCTCCAGTGACACCAGAGGGCCATCTAGCAACAGCCGACTAAGTGACACCACACAGGGCCACTTCACCCTAGCAACAGCCAATCCAGTGACACCAGAGGGCCATCTAGCAACAGCCGACTAAGTGACACCACACAGGGCCACTTCACCCTAGCAACAGCCAATCCAGTGACACCAGAGGGCCATCTAGCAACAGCCGACTAAGTGACACCACACAGGGCCACTTCACCCTAGCAACAGCCAATCCAGTGACACCAGAGGGCCATCTAGCAACAGCCGACTAAGTGACACCACACAGGGCCACTTCACCCTAGCAACAGCCAATCCAGTGACACCAGAGGGCCATCTAGCAACAGCCGACTAAGTGACACCACACAGGGCCACTTCACCCTAGCAACAGCCAATCCAGTGACACCAGAGGGCCATCTAGCAACAGCCGACTAAGTGACACCACACAGGGCCACTTCACCCTAGCAACAGCCAATCCAGTGACACCAGAGGGCCATCTAGCAACAGCCGACTAAGTGACACCACACAGGGCCACTTCACCCTAGCAACAGCCAATCCAGTGACACCAGAGGGCCATCTAGCAACAGCCGACTAAGTGACACCACACAGGGCCACTTCACCCTAGCAACAGCCAATCCAGTGACACCAGAGGGCCATCTAGCAACAGCCGACTAAGTGACACCACACAGGGCCACTTCACCCTAACATCAGCTGCTCCAGTGACACCACAGAGGGCCACTTCACCCTAACAACAGTTGGTCCAGTTATATCACAGAGGGCCACTCCACTTTAGCAGCAGCCAATCCAGTGACATCACAGAGTGCCACTTCACCTAGCCAATCCAGTAACACCACAGAGGGCCACTTCACCTAGCAACAGCCAACAAAGTGACACCACAGAGGGCCACTCCACTCTAACATCAGATGGTCCAGTGTCATCAGAGAGCCACTTCAGCTAGCAACAGCAGATAAAAATGACACCACAGAGGGCCATATTACCCTAGCATCAGCTGCTCCAGTGACACCAGAGGGCCACTCCACCCTAACAACAGCCGATTCAGTGACATCACAGAGTGCCACATGGCCTAGCCGATAAAGTAACATCACAGAGGACCACTTCACCCTAACAACAGCCGATCCAGTGACATCACAGAGTGGCCACTTCACCTGGCAACAGCCGATAAAATGACACCACAGAGGACCACCTCACCCTAACATCAGCCGGTCTAGTAACATCAGAGAGAGGCACTTCACTCTAACAGCAGCTGCTCCAGTGACACCACAGAGGCCACTTCACCCTAATAACATCCAATCCAGTGACACCACAGAGGCCACTTCACCCTAATAACATCCAATCCAGTGACACCACAGAGGCCACTTCACCCTAATAACATCCAATCCAGTGACACCACAGAGGCCACTTCACCCTAATAACATCCAATCCAGTGACACCACAGAGGCCACTTCACCCTAATAACATCCAATCCAGTGACACCACAGAGGCCACTTCACCCTAATAACATCCAATCCAGTGACACCACAGAGGCCACTTCACCCTAATAACATCCAATCCAGTGACACCACAGAGGCCACTTCACCCTAATAACATCCAATCCAGTGACACCACAGAGGGCCACTTCACCCTAATAACATCCAATCCAGTGACACCACAGAGGCCACTTCACCCTAATAACATCCAATCCAGTGACACCACAGAGGGCCACTTCACCCTAATAACATCCAATCCAGTGACACCACAGAGGCCACTTCACCCTAATAACATCCAATCCAGTGACACCACAGAGGCCACTTCACCCTAATAACATCCAATCCAGTGACACCACAGAGGCCACTTCACCCTAATAACATCCAATCCAGTGACACCACAGAGGCCACTTCACCCTAATAACATCCAATCCAGTGACACCACAGAGGCCACTTCACCCTAATAACATCCAATCCAGTGACACCAGATAAAAATGACACCACAGAGGGCCACCTTACCCTAACATCAGCCAGTCCAGTAACATCACAGAGGGCCACTTCACTCTAACATCAGCTGCTCCAGTGACACCACAGAGGGCCACTCCACCCTAACAACAGCCAATCCATAGGGCTGGGCAACCACGGAAAAATTTGTTTCTAAACTCGATTCGTTTTTTGGGGTTTTTTGCGTTTCGATATTTAAAAGAATTCCAAATTTTTTCTTTAAAAAAGTTCGATATTTACGAAATTTCGTAAAATTACGAAACAAATACAAAACGAATACTAATCGATTTGTTAATGGCGGATGCGACCGCGCAATACGCTAAAAAACCTCCAATGGGACAGGGGGAACTTCTGAAGCTTCCCTCTCCCTCTGTTGTTGACTGTTGGTGTGATATTTATAATTTTTTTTCACTGATTAAACAAACAACAGCTATAAAACTTGCCCCAGACATGCGGAAATAATAACGAAACGATTTCGATACAATTTCGAAACGAATACGAAACGAATACGAAGCAATTACGAAACGAATTAAAAAATTCGTTTAGTTTTTTAGATGCTCCTGAATGGTTCGTTATCGCTTCGTAACAAAAAAATAACGAATTTTTAACGAATTACGAAATTACGAAACGAAACCGCCCAGCCCTACCAATCCAGTGACACCACAGAGGGCCACTCCACCCTAACAACAGCTGATCCAGTGACATCACAGAGGGCCACTTCACCTAGCTGATAAAGTGACATCACAGAGGGGCACTTCACCCTTAACATCAGCTGCTCCAGTGACACCAGAGGGCCACTCCACCCTAACAACAGCTGATCCAGTGACATCACAGAGGGCCATCTTACTCTAACATCAGCCAGTCCAGTGACATCACAGAGGGCCACTTCACCTAGCTGAAAAAATGACATCACAGAGGGCCACTTCACCTAGCTGAAAAAATGACATCACAGAGGGGCACTTCACCTAGCTGATAAAGTGACATCACAGAGGGGCACTTCACCCTTAACATCAGCTGCTCCAGTGACACCAGAGGGCCACTCCACCCTAACAACAGCCAATCCAGTGACATTACAGAGGGCCACTCCATCTAGTAACAGCTGATAAAATGACGCCACCGAGGGCCACTTCACTCTAACATCAGCTGGTCCAGTGACACCACAGAGGGCCACTCCACCCTAACATCAGCCAGTCCAGTGACACCACAGAGGGCCACTCCACCCTAACAACAGCCAATCCAGTGACACCACAGAGGGCCACTCCACCCTAACATCAGCCAGTCCAGTGACACCACAGAGGGCCACTCCACCCTAACATCAGCCAGTCCAGTGACACCACAGAGGGCCACTCCACCCTAACAACAGCTGCTCCAGTGACACCACAGAGATGGCCATCTTACTCTAACATCAGCCAGTCCAGTGACACCACAGAGGGCCACTCCACCCTAACATCAGCCAATCCAGTGACACCACAGAGGGCCACTCCACCCTAACATCAGCCAATCCAGTGACACCACAGAGGGCCACTCCACCCTAACAACAGCCAATCCAGTGACACCACAGAGATGGCCATCTTACTCTAACATCAGCCAGTCCAGTGACACCACAGAGGGCCACTCCACCCTAACATCAGCCAATCCAGTGACACCACAGAGGGCCACTCCACCCTAACATCAGCCAATCCAGTGACACCACAGAGGGCCACTCCACCCTAACATCAGCCAATCCAGTGACACCACAGAGGGCCACTCCACCCTAACATCAGCCAATCCAGTGACACCACAGAGGGCCACTCCACCCTAACATCAGCCAATCCAGTGACACCACAGAGGGCCACTCCACCCTAACATCAGCCAATCCAGTGACACCACAGAGGGCCACTCCACCCTAACATCAGCCAATCCAGTGACACCACAGAGGGCCACTCCACCCTAACAACAGCCAATCCAGTGACACCACAGAGGGCCACTCCACCCTAACATCAGCCAATCCAGTGACACCACAGAGGGCCACTCCACCCTAACATCAGCCAATCCAGTGACACCACAGAGGGCCACTCCACCCTAACATCAGCCAATCCAGTGACACCACAGAGGGCCACTCCACCCTAACAACAGCCAATCCAGTGACACCACAGAGGGCCACTCCACCCTAACATCAGCCAATCCAGTGACACCACAGAGGGCCACTCCACCCTAACATCAGCCAATCCAGTGACACCACAGAGGGCCACTCCACCCTAACATCAGCCAATCCAGTGACACCACAGAGGGCCACTCCACCCTAACATCAGCCAATCCAGTGACACCACAGAGGGCCACTCCACCCTAACAACAGCTGCTCCAGTGACACCACAGAGATGGCCATCTTACTCTAACATCAGCCAGTCCAGTGACACCACAGAGGGCCACTCCACCCTAACATCAGCCAGTCCAGTGACACCACAGAGGGCCACTCCACCCTAACATCAGCCAGTCCAGTGACACCACAGAGGGCCACTCCACCCTAACAACAGCCAATCCAGTGACACCACAGAGGGCCACTCCACCCTAACAACAGCCAATCCAGTGACACCACAGAGGGCCACTCCACCCTAACATCAGCCAGTCCAGTGACACCACAGAGGGCCACTCCACCCTAACAACAGCCAATCCAGTGACACCACAGAGGGCCACTCCACCCAGCAGCCAATCCAGTGACACCACAGAGGGCCACTCCACCCTAACTGCAACCAATGCAGTGACCTCACAGGGCCACTTCACCTTTGTGAGACAAACATGCATAGCCTCCGGCCCTTCTTTGGGCGGGGTGGGGAGGTGGGGCGCCATTCTTCTTACCATGACTTCGGAATCTCCCGCTCCGATCGCTCCATGTTGTCTCAACAACGTGTAGACGCGCTACAGGAGGCGGGCGCCGGAGCGGAGATAGACAGGAGGCGCCGTCCAATAGGAGCGCGAGGAGGAGCGAAAGGGGGCGGGGCCTCGAGAGAACGACGCTGCACCAGGAAGAAACGAGTTTCCCTCAGACGAGCTTGCGCATGCGCTCTTTCCTATGCATTCCCATCTCGCTCCCCCCTATTTTATGAATATGGAATAGCCCTGATGGTAGGTGGCTTCGCTGCCTTTGGGCGATACCATCTATTCGCGGGGGGGGGGGGGGGGAAAGAAAGCAACAAGACTTCCGTTTTGAAACAATTTGGAAACATACTGAGGAGAAATGTTTTCAAAACAAAGTACAACAACAACAACCCTGTGAGGCAGGCCTCCAAGAGGACATGCCATTGTTTTCCAAGTGGAGTGGTTCCAATGTTGGGCAAGAGGGTCATTTAGCCCAACCCCAGTCTATCATACAATAAGACACCACCAAAGCCCTCCTGACAGATGGCCATCCAGCCTCTGCTTAAAGATATCCAAAGAAGGAGACTCCATTATTATTATTGACTCCTAGAGTTGGTAGAGATCCCAAGGGCCATCTAGTCCAACCCTCTACTGCCAGGCAGGAAGACACAGTCAAAGCCCTCCTAACAGATGGCCATCCAGCCTCTGCTTAAAGATATCCAAAGAAGAAGACTCCATTATTATTATTGATTCCTAGAGTTGGTTGAGATCCCAAGGGCCATCTAGTCCAACCCTCTTCTGCTAGGCAGGAAGACACCATCAACCCCATTCTATCATACAATAAGACACCATCAAAGCCCTCCTGACAGATGGCCATCCAGCCTCTGCTTAAAGATATCCAAAGAAGGAGGCTCCATTATTATTATTGATTTCTAGAGTTGGTAGAGATACCAAGGGCCATCTAGTCCAAACCCCATTCTATCATACAATAAGACACAATCAAAGCCCTCCTGACAGATGGCCATCCAGTCTCTGCTTAAAGATGTCCAAAGAAGGAGAACCCATTATTATTATTGACTCCCACTCCCAGAGTTTGAGATCCCAAGGACCATCTAGTCCAACTCTATACGGCCAGGCAGAAAGACACAATCAAAGCCCTCCAACAGATGGCCATCCAGCCTCTGCTTAAAGACGTCCAAAGAAGGAGGCTCCATTATTATTATTGACTCCTAGAGTTGGTAGAGATCCCAAGGGCCATCTAGTCCAACCCTCTACTGCCAGGCAGGAAGACACCATCAAAGCCCTCCTAACAGATGGCCATCCAGCGTCTACATAAAGACATCCAAAGAAGGAGAGTCCATTGCTATTATTGACTCCCAGAGTTGGTAGAGATCCCAAAGGCCATCTAGTCTAACCCTCTACTGCCAGGGAGGAAAATACCATCAAAGCCCTCCTGACAGATGGCCATCCAGCCTCTGCTTAAAGACGTCCAAAGAAGGAGACTCCATTATTATTATTGACTCCCAGAGTTGGTAGATATCCCAAGGGCCATCTAGTCCAACCCTCTACTGCTAGGTAGGAAGACACAATCAAAGCCCTCCTAACAGATGACCATCCAGCCTCTGCATAAAGACCTCCAGAGAAGAAAGCTCCACCATCATCATTATCAAAGGTTATTATTATTATTATTATTATTATTATTATTATTATTAATTTGCCTGGGTTATTTGAAAAAGTAATTTTTAATGGTCCAAAATGCATAAAGTTGTGGGTGAACTACAACTCCCATCATGCCAGGTTAACCCCCAGAAACTCCATCAGTACTTGAAGTTTGTTCTGTTGGGCAAGTTTGCTCTAGATGCATCATTGGTGGGGTTCAGTGTACTCTCTGGTTGTAGGGTAAACTACAACTCCCACCATAGTGAGTCAGTCCCCTCAAACCCCTCCAGTAGGTTGAGTTAGTCATGGGGGTTCTGTGTGCCAAGTTTAGTCCTGGCCCATCATCGGTGGAGGTCACCGTTTCTGTGGTTGAGGGTGAACTACAACTCCCAGAAAAGGTCAGTTCCCCCAAATCCCTCAAGTAATCAAATTTCAGCATATCAGATATTCGTACCAAGTTAGCTTGAGTCGCCTCTGGCTGAGAAAGATCAATCATTGGTGGAGTTCGGAGTGCTCTTAGATTGCAGGGGA